TCAAACTCAAGCAGAATGAGGACGTGGCAGAAAAGCAATGGCAAATACTGGAATTGAAAAGTAGAACTTGCTGCCAAAGGAAATAAGAATGCGAAAAACAACAACATTCACAGCTTGGTCTGTTGAAAGACGGTTTTTAAACAACCAAATATTGCTCGATACATAGAACTTGTGCTGTTAATCACAGCCAAGGCTTACAGATTTCAGACTTACACGATAACAGATTAGATAGAAATGGTTCCGTTACGATAGCCGGTGACGGCGGGATTGCGTGACCTGACGGTAGAGTAATATTGATTACGTCTAGAAAGACAGATTTTCTTAAACACCCTGTGAATGATAGTATTAGCCTCGGTAAAGAAAATTCTTTCGAAGCCCCAATGAGTATGCAGATTAGCTCGAAAAGACAAGAGGTTGTATAAACTCGTTTGAAAAAAATTGGCTTCGCCAGGTCACGTGATAAAACATTACTCGCATCTGTGGCTATCGCTAGTAGGGGGTTGTGAAATAGAGAATGGAGTGAGTCCCCTTCTAGCGATAGTCACAGGAGTGCGAGTAATTTTTTTATCACGTGACCTGTGCGGAGCCAATTTTTTTCAAATCGAGTTTGATACACCTCTTGTCTTTTCCGAGGCTAATCTGCATACTCATTGGGGGCTTCGAAAGAATTCTTGTCTTTACCGAGGCTAATTTTACTATCATTCACAGGGGGTTTTAAGAAAATTCTTGTCTTTTCTGAGGCTAATCTATGTACTCTACCGTAGGGTCACTGGCAAGCCCGCGTAGCGGGCTTCGTAGGGGAGCTAGTCTTCCGTTAATTGAAAGTTGCTTCAAAACATTTGCAGCCCAGGTCTATTCGTGTTCCTCGTTTAAATATTTTAATGTGTTACCCCTTAAGTCTCCTGTTTCAATTTTCCATAAAATTTCATGTTAAGACTTCCCAACCTTACTTATCTGTTTACTCCTCTGACAAATCAAATTAAAGTTGAATCTATCTTGAAAATCAGAATAAAAAAACAATGTCCTCCTACATTCTTTCAATTTAATAAGGAATGCAAGCAAAAAGTGTAATATCATACAGCAAGCAGGCAAGGATACTTTAAACGTGACAAAAGGCAAACATAATTAATCTAATCCATAGTCACGCCTACTGTGAGTAGCATATACTATTGGCAAGAGCAGGAAATAATTGCTCGAGGACAAAGTATTATTTACTTGCAGCAACAACCCTATTGAGATAAGAGCTATTTTCGTGTAGGAAGATAATGCTTTATTACCTTGATTGTAATTCAGTAAATCCTTTTAGAAAAGTAAACCCAAACTTAATTACTTGCTGGCTCCAGATACCCATACTTGCGAAATTCCTAATAGAATCAATCCAATAAGTAGTTCCCTGATTATTATGATTACCAATTAGCAATATCATAGCTTTCATCACCATCTGAACCCCTTTGAAATCGAGGTTAATAGCACTCTTGACTTTCAGAGGCTAATCTTACTATTCCATTCCGGGGTCCATAGGGTGCCCGCAGAGCGGGATTTACTGGGAGCTACTCTTCCGTTTATTAAAATGTACACACCAATTTGATACATAAACGGTTGCAATATCGAGGCAAGGCAGAAAAGTTCTTCAATACATTTTGTAAGCCACGATCTAATTGGGGTCCTCGTTTAAATACTTTCACGGGTTACCCTCTTTAATTCTCCTGCTTATTCTAATTGCAATTTTCAAAGTTTCCATCTTCTTTTATCTCTCGGTGTATCGTGGTGGTCGTTTAAATATCTTGCAGGCTTATCTAAAAGCTTTGTTAAATATTCTGAATTCTACTTTAAACTTGACAGCAACATGCTTCTGCCAGTCCCACCAATTCCTTATGCTCGTTGGCACATTTTCATGGGTTACTCCTAGAGGTTCTCCTATTTAGTCAGAATCAAATTTTTAAGTTTTCCAATCATACACTCTTAGCCCTCGTCGACTTATGGGGCGTTTTTAAATATTTTCTAAAGTCATTCTTAGAGCTGTAATGTTCATTTTAAAGCACTTCGTTCAATCTTTGTTCACTTGTGATGCTGTTTTTAGACATAATTGCGGGCCACCCTCAAAGCTCCCTGTTTATTCTGAATCAAACACCTCTTCTAAACCCCAAAGAGTTATAAAGTTATTACGCAGTTCTATACATTTGAGGTCCACATATCATATCTTCGTCACAATTAGCTTTTGAAACACTGCAGCAACAAAGCACTTAAGAAATGGAAAGATAGAAAACAGCCAAAGTTTCGTGCATCAGAAATGATTCTTACTCCAACAACAAATTAACAAAATACAATTTACGGACAACAGCTAATCTTTATAACTTTAGTCCTTTTCTCCACAGTCAAGAATCACGTCTGGGTCATAATTATTGCTTGAAACGATCTTTGATCTAGATGAAGAACATCACAAATAATTAAGATGTTATTCCATGGTTAATGAAAGCACTTTTTAAGGAAATCCATAGTCATAATGCTTTGTAAAAATTTCAGAAAAAAAGGTTCGCCCCGAGGGTTTAGCCACCCCTTTATGCGACCTGTTTTTAGTGAAATTTCATCAAACTAAGCATAAAATCATTTGAACTTGTTCTTGTGAAGCGAGCAATACAGCAAATCCATCTTCCTTGAAGGACAAAACTACGAAGAGGTAAAACATTAAGAGAAAGGCGTTCGTGGCGGGTCTAGCGACTCCTTTTAGCAACCGGTTTTTAGTGTAATTTCACCCAAATAAGCATAAAGTCATTTGAAATGGTTTCTAGAATAATTGTCACTCAGGAGGCAGGCAAATCCCATCTCATTCTCAGTGGGAAAATCTCACAAAAAGTGAAATTTTAATAGAAAAATACTCACTTGTTGAACCAAAAAGTCAGCGAATCCGATCGTTTATCTAAAAAAAACGAAGGCGGTTAGGAAAAGTTGCTGCAAAGGATTCTCGATAGGCATAAAAAGTTTGGGGCTGGCGGGATTACATAATTCGCATTACAACGGGTTTCCTATGAAAATCAAATTTTCTTGCATCAAGAATAAACAGCAGGAAAAATCTACCACAATTCTTCATACTTTGATTGCAATAAAGCCAATCCAGTTTCCTTTAAGCACAAAACCACGAGAAGAGGTAAAAAGTTTTCGTTCGCAGCGGGGGTCTAGCAGCCGGTTTTTAGTGTAATTTCATCGAAATGAGCACAAAATCATTTGAAAAAAGTAATATCGAAAACACGTAAGAACAACAACGCTTACTTGTATTCGCATGCCATCGATTCTGATGCCAATGAAGAACAGGAACAGCCAGCAGCAATCGCAAAACCAAAAAACGGGCAGCAGCGTGCGTACCGTACGTAGCTACTAAAACGAAGAAAAGGAAGATTGTCAAAAGCACGAATCACATGGCTCTTGCAAACAAAATAAGAAACGGGGTTCAATCGTCGATCGATAAAAAATCAGTTGATAAAAAAAGCTAGCAAGACTCACCTGAGGTCTGTCGAGAGCACCCAGCACGATTGACTACTGGAGCTGTAGCTGTAGCACACGACACCGACCGTCGACGACCGCTTCGAGTTCGAAAAGGAATGCCAACCAGCAGTGCACGTAGATTTATCATCCAATTCCAAATCACCTAAATTATCGGCACACAGTAGATTCTTTGTGGAAAGCGAAACGAATTTGAAAAGCCTCCGTTCAAATTGAAGGGTTGCTGTTGGAAGGAGTTTTGAAACCTTTTGTAGAGAGCAAGAGAAAAGAGAGAGAAAGAACCTTTAGAAAGTCGGGACAAAGACCGCGGAGAGCACTAATCGTGATCGAGAGGATTTCGAACGAACCCGGGAGAAAACCGTAAATATCTCAGGAACGGAAGCGAAAAGGAGAAAAAGGAGACCGTAGTATGGTGAACCAAAGATCGAGGATGAAGGGGAAAAAGGAATTTTGAAAATCGGCCGAGCGGTTTTGGCTGGAATCCCTCTTAATCGCCGGGCGGTGGGGACCTTTTGTTCGGGGTTAATTTGCATATACGAATTTTAGTTATGGTGAATCCTGTACATCATTGAGTTTTCTATAAATCAAGCATTCTTGCTATATATCTGAATTTATTTAGCTCTTGCTCATCTGATTCTGTTGAAGATTCGGTTTAGAAAAGGAGTAATATTCACAGAGTGGCTGGTTCCATTCCATTCCAGCCACTCTGTGAATATTTGAACAAAAAGCACTCTACAAGTTCAGTTTCATACCTGTTTTCCAGTGATTAGCTTTCGGGATGATTCAAAACAATTGAGATATAGTCTATCACATGCCAGATATCTTCATTGTTTGGCTAATGTTGATGAGAGACAAAAATGCAAACGCTCCCTCGATGAAATTCAAGCTATGAAAAGGAAAAAATGTTATCAGTCATATAACAAAGCAGAAGACTCATTCTGTCCTGCCAATACAGTGTGCCAAAGAGATGACGTCATAAGAATATATTCTCAAATTGTATGTATTTGGACATATTGTCTAAAAGAGCACCATAAAAGAGCTCTTGAATTGCAGAAACAGGCAGATCCGATACAAATTGCTATGGCCACACTAGTATAAGCTTTTTTCTAATTAAAAGACAGTTATTGCGTCTTATGAATCAGACCAACACAATCCGTAAGCAAATTTCATATATCAAATATCATAGCTATATCTCAAGAAATCTTATTTTAATTAACTGATTTTGTATATTAAGTCGTATTTCAATATATCCTTTGTGCTTTTGTTATCAAAATTTATAAATTTAAAAAAAAGATTTTTGCCATGCCATCAATGCCACTGACGGCCTGTTACGGCTTGCTAAATCAATATTTTAGTACTTTAAAGTCAAGTTCCCATAAAATCGTAAGAGTCGGGAACGTGTCACCGATCTCTTCTTCCATCGTCCATAACGATCAAAGATAAAATTTTCCCATGACAACAAAACAACAGCAAGCAATAAGGTATAGTAAATTCTCTCCTGGCCGTGTGAAGAATCTACCATCAATCAAACTCTTCGTCTGATGTTTTTCGAATTTTCGTTGAACAAAACAAAACATATCATTTTAATTTACAAAGTACCAAAAGTTCGTCCGTTGTTCAGTTTTCCTCTTCCATTACCTCCTCGTGTCTCTAAAAGTCCCGGATGCACCCCCGTAGCGTCCAATATTTCCTATAAAGGCGCCAAATCATTTTCCTTTGATTGGTTAATTACATCAGGTGATCGTTTCTTAACAATAGTTGATCGACGACGTCGGTGACCCGTGCTCCCTTTTAAATTTTTCTCCCGACCTTTACGATTCACAGTCAGCGCAGTCGTAATGATCGGAAGAAAGTGTTCCCATAAAATCGAGAGACCAACGCAGACTGTCGCCGACCAGCTCACGATTTTATGGGAACCAGGCTTGAAACTTCAGTTGTGAACACAACCTTTCATTGAGGTTCTTTAATATTGAACCAAGAATACTACTTGAACCGAGAACAATCCGGTCTAGATACTTCTTGGTGGTAATCGATAGCTTCATTGCAAGTGGTATAAAAAAGGTTTTTATTAAATGTCTACTGCTGATAAAACGGACCAGGGTTATTCAATGTCCCTTAAACATTGGTGACCAGCGTGATTCTATGGGGAGAGGTGCTTTCGTGACCTGTATCGTGTGACATATGCCAATTCGAGAATTTACGGTAGCAGCGGGGATTTATTCAAGGATTTACGGTATTCCTCCATCAATTGATTTTTAAATCTTATACTCTATAACTTCAACAATTTTCACAAATCTGTTTCTTTCAATTGCAATGATAGAACTATCATTACATTGCGTCTGGGTCTTCTTTTGGGATACTGTCAAATAATCCTGAAAGTCTTAACACTAACACACAAATTTTTGGGGGCTTGACTGATATACTACAGAAAGATAAACCATTATAAAGTAAAAAATACTTTCAGGTTTGATGTATTCCTAGATATGATATACATCAGAGTTAACAACGCTAGTAGATAATTTTTATAGGCTCCCACAAATTGTCCCAGGTCTAAAGGAAAAAAATTACGAGCACGACTAAGCGATTTGGCATATGCTTATAGTGGCTCTCCCATCAACCACTCTGATTTTCTTTTGCATAGAGAGCATTTCCAAGCACTAAAATCTCTACGGGCTAACAATGACATCTTTATTACAAAACCTGATAAAGGGTCTGGAGTGGTAATTTTAAACAAAAAGAACTACGTCAATAAAATGGAGATTATTCTCCACGACAAAGAAAAATTTGCTAAATTGGGTGATGTCGAAACACAGGACAAAACGGCCAAACTAGAGCGGAAACTCCAAAAACGTTTGTTGGAACTGGTCAACTCAAAAGTGTTGGCTACAGAAATTTATGATAGGATAAGACCCACGGGCTCTCGACGACCACAAATGTATGGCCTCCCTAAAATACACAAGCCGAACGTCCCACTTAGACCTATCTTGTCTATGATTGGTTCAGCACAACACGAACTGGCTAAGTGGCTTTGTGAAGTTTTGGACCCTGTTCTTCAAAAATATTCAAAACATTTCATCAAGGATTCTTTTACGTTCGCTGAGTTCATGCAAAACTTGAACATCGAAAACGAAACATCTTTCATGTGTTCTTTCGACATTAGTAGCCTTTTCACAAATGTTCCTTTGAGTGAGACCATCAGGAAATGTTCCTTTGAGTGAAAATATGTGCCGACGCTTTGTACCGGAGCGAGCTCAATAGCCCACCATTCCCAGAGGAAGTATTCATTGAACTGATGGAAACTGCAACACGTTCAGTTGAATTCAGCTTTAACAATGAAATGTGCCAACAAAAGGATGGTGTCGCTATGGGTAGCCCTCTGGGTCCTGCCTTGGCCAATATCTTTGTTGGCTTTCATGAAGAGCGTTTGTTTGACTACGACCAAAAGCCAGGTGTCTATTTTCGGTATGTGGATGACACATATACCATTTTCAAAACAGAGGCTGAGTGTGATATTTTTCTAAAACATCTTAATAGCCTACACCCAGCCCTCCAGTTTACGTTTGAAAAGGAAGAAAATGATTTCTTGCCATTTTTAGAAGTTTTGGTCGAAAAGTCTAACACTGGATTTCTTACCAGTGTATATCGCAAGCCTACTTTTACCGGTCAGTACATACGCTGGAATTCATTTTGCCCAAAACAACGCAAAGTCAACCTTGTCAAAACATTAGTACATAGGTCACTTATGATCTGTTCGACATCTAAACTGCACGCTGAACTGGAAAAACTCAAAACGATCTTCTTGGACAACGGCTATCCTGAAGACGTCATTTTATCTTATACTAAGGAGAAGATCGCAAGTTTTTCGGCTGTTCAAAAGTTTGGTCCGCAAAAGTGCCCAGTTTATTTGAAACTACCATGGATTGGTAACACTTCCTTGCTTTTAGACAACCCAGATTGTGCAAAACTCTATAATGACGACATGCTTCGGATAATTGGCAGAGCCCGGTCGTCCTTCCATCTAGCAATTTTTGAGTTAATCTACATAAAAACAAAAAAGCCGCCATTGTGTAGACAAAAGGAGTTCGTTTTCTCTCTTAGACTCCATTGGTAATTTTTCTTTAGGCTCGCGGCACTGATTGGTCAACTATACCGGTCTTGTGCTTGCGTTTTTCTGATTGGCCTATTTCGACCCACAACTGGGTATATATTTTCCATCGTGTTCTTTCGGAACCTTATTGTGACGTTTTTGCTCTGAGGAGTGTCAGACGAAAAAGCTTTTAGTATGTCGTAAAATGTTTGCTTTTTTCAAAGCCATTTTCAAATTCTGTACCACAAAAAAATTGTTCAGAAAAAAATTTGTTGAATAAATAAGAGGCAATTACTTCAATTTTGCATACAAAATGCAGAAGCATGTTGCTTCAGCTGGACAAAGAATGGCTGAAACACCGCCCTGTTTCTGGAAAATAAGTTGCACTGCACCAAAGAAAAGACTACAAGAGTATTCAGTAAATAATGCTCTTTTTTCAACTCAGAATTAACTTTGGCTGCACTGAAGAATAGAGATCCAAAAAAAGACAGACAAATGTAGTTATTGTAGAAATTTTGCTTGTAAAACTACATGATAAAAATTCTAATTAATCCTCTGTCTTGCGTCTCATGTTCTTTTTGTTTTTATTGACAGCACAGCAGTGAATTTCTCTGCAAGGCCTGGGGAATGAAACAAAAATTTGCAAGGTAATAGAAGCAGGTAAAGAATGTAACATTACAAGGACATTTTCTGAAAATATGGAGACAAGAGATTGCTTTTGTAAGGGAATAGTTCAATCTAGTGGATTTTGTTGTAACTAAGGAGTAGATTAGCAAAATATTAAAAAATTTGATAGCGTTAAAAAAGTAAGTTTCACATACAGTTCAATTACATATCTAATACAAAATATCAATTGTAGCCTAATGTCTCATATAAAAGAAAGACAGCAATCTGCCTTATTTTAGGTATATACTTTGTGTCTAATGTAATTGATAAATCAACTTAAGGATGTCTTTACAGGTCTGCATGTTATTAATGGAGGGTTTAATTACTCTGCACCATTTTATAAACCTAAACTACAAACTTGTACATAGTAGACTGTTGCTCAGAGAATTGTAGTCAAATAATCCTCCATGGTGGAGTCAAGATAAAACTGTCATCATACCAACAGTCTTGCTATTATCATAAAAGATCTTCAGTAAAATCAAGCTAACATACCATGAATCACCTTGGCCAGCTCCAACCTTCTCCAACTGGGCTTTAGGTCTCATTTATCACTAGTTGCAGAACCACCAATCTATTGAAAATTTCAAACTGTCAAAATTGTTTGGAGTTTTCAAGCAAAACTTTTTTTAGTATGAAGAATTTGTGTAAAAATTCATTAGGCATCATCAGTTAGGAGCGAAAGAATATATATATGTATAAATCATGAAATCAGCTGAACTATGAACTCATCATCTGATGCCACCATAGAGATGTGAAGTAACATTGAGTGAACATACCAACAGTTTGGAAGTAGACTTTGCCAGTTCAAGCCAGAGAGGACGCTCAGTTAAGCTTGATATCTGTCAAATAAAGAATTTAATAGATATTCATAACGATAGAATGAAACAACTATTGTCAAGGTAGAAAGCATTTGTGTGGAGCAAAAGAATATATATACACAAGGCATCATCAGTTAGGAGCGAAAGATTATACATAAAATCATGAAATCAGCTGAACTATGAACTCATCATCTGATGCCATTATTAACATTTTGTAAAGAAGATTGGACAAACATACCCATAGCTAGAAGGTAAACATTGCCAGATCAAAATTTTTTGCATAACCACCTGGGCTTGGTATCTGCCAAGTAAAGAATAGAAATGAATATTCACAGGTTGAAGAAGAAAATAAATCTTCTTAATTGCAAATATCAAAATAGGATTATATATATAGAATACAAGGATTGAATGAAAATTTTAAATATTCTGAACAACTTATTGTCAAGTTGCAAAAGATTTTGTATGGGAAATTCATGTGGCATCATCAGTTAGGAGCGAAAGAATATTTATGTATAAATCATGAAATCAGCTGAACTATGAACTCATCATCTGATGCCATCAAACTACTTCACAATAAATTTAGGAAACCATTTGGCTTGAGAAACAAGCATGGTCGAGCTAAAGAGATCAAATAATCAAACTTGTCTAAAATTGAGACATAAAAGAATTCACAACTAAACATATATATATTATATATATACACAAAAGAGAGATAAACTATAGATAACATAATGGACAGTGAAGCCTTGTTAATAATTTTTTGGGATCCCAAACAAATATAATACTAAAATATAAAACATTTCAATAAGGAAAGACTTACCTGAGAAAATTTGATCACACTTTTTTCAATCTGCAAAAAACACAACCCGTCTTAAATTTGATACTGCATTAATTAATACCATAATTTTTGTTTTCTTTTCAAGCTGCCTCAGAGATCTTGGTGGTCAGTCTAATCACAGGGTATCAGTAGTAGCAAATAGTTTCATCATTGGCAGCATTGACATGGTAGCAACAGTGGTGATCTTTCGTGCACTGATGAGACTCTAAGGAGCCTGCAGAAACTATTTTCTAGATCTAAACAATTTATAAAAACAATCATAAGTTTGATTTCTCCAGAAAACCGTACTTCATCAACAGTCTTTATGGAATCAAAAAATACTGAAACTTGTTCTTTTACAATCAGGTACAAAAAATATATGTCATTCTCATGTACCGATCAATACTTGACAATCCTGATTTAAATGCTCACTGCTTTTGCATGTTTCCTCAGTTAGTCTCAGCAACCAGCAGCTGCATAACCAAGTAAAAATATCCACCTGAAAATTTTAAAGAATCCTTTGATATTTTATCCTCTAAACTTGCAAAGGTATACCACAGGGAACATATAGACACAAATTTTACCCAAGTTTTTTATATATGACATATATATAAATGACAATGTTAACTTTATTTTCATATTCACATAATTCAAACAAACTCTTATACAACTCTTTTATGATGTGATCAGAGTAAAAAGTAAATGGATTACAGAATCTTTTAATTCAAGTGCTCAGATTCTGCCACTATCAATTCCTCTTTTAAAATCAAGGAGTTTCCTCTCATATGTCCCTATGAGTAATCATCATAGCACTTGTAAAATACATGAAATCCACATTTTCCAAACATATATTATACAAAATAGTTTTGTTATTATAATAGCTACCTCTGCTTAAACTATGGATCCTGCAAACATCATGGAATACTAGAGTTCCAAATGAGGAGAGTGAAGGCAGGGTCATTACATTTTATATTCTTTATGACTGGTTGCAGGAACGTCATATTCTTGAGTCTTCTTCCTGTAAATGCAAGTAGAAAAAACTAATATTAAAACAAAAATAGCACTGCAAACTTAGATGTACACAAATAAATGTTTAAATGTATAACCAAGACCATAGGTTTAAGTGTCCTATTTCTTTCTAATGGCGCCTAAATTGTTCCTTATTACCCCCCTAAGATGTCCCTAATTGCCCGACCAGGATTAATCTTCATCAAGTCAAGTCAACTGAGTGCTCAGATTTTGTAACTATCAAATTCCTCGTTTAAAATCAGAGAGCTTTGCAACTCTCATATGTCCCTATGGTTTAATCATCATAGCACTCAAAAAATCTGGTCTGGTGACAAGTAGGCCTAGGTAATTTAAAGGAATACTCTAGAGATCTATCTTGGCTAGAGCCTGAACTTTTTAGGGGCTAATGCAAAGACACGTCTCTAGCTAAGGTCATCGAAACATATTACCACTACAATCGTCTGACTTTTAGAAAAGTGGGATTTTCTATCTAAGCTCATCCAACCTAGACCACGTTTCAGCACGCATGGTTTTCACACACGAAAATACTTTCAAAAAGTCATTGATAAGTAGATAAATTGAAAATAAAAGAGATGAGCTTTTAGATGAAGGAACCCAATCCGGCTACAGCGATAAAACACAGAAAGGTGGTTAATTTCACGTACTTATCCTTTTACATCCTTTGCTGTTCCAGATGCATCACATGGCCGAAGGAAAAGACCTTACCTCATGGTGGGAAGACTTTTATAGCACTAGAGAACTCTGGGATAGCTAAGGGATTGTGGGATAGGTCAGGTATGTTTCGTTAGTTTCAGTGCAGACAGTTTTTTCAAACTGAGGCTTAATCAATGAATCAATCGTAGAATCGGAGATATCACGTGATTTTGTTTCCTGTTGTACAGAATTTTGAGGCTGTCATATTTAATTGTATAGAACATTAATATATTCAGTGACAATGAGCTGAATATAAGTTGACAAAGTTTAGGCTTATATTGGGATCATGCTCAAAGTACAAAAGACAAGAAGCTGTTGTCTAACAACACTTTTAATTTTGTTAGTAATCGTTGGTAGCAGATGTTTATCAGTGGGGGCAAGATTAACGATTGGAAAATCTAACACTATCAAAGTATTTGATGACAATTCAAAAGAAAAACAGGAGGTTTGTTGAAGCCAATGAGATCATTTCTCTATTGAAAGTAAAAGTTGGACTTAATTTTTCTTGGCAGGTGATGCATAGATGAGCTAATTACTACTGTTTCAAATATCATGGGCTTCAAATCTCATCATAATACACCAGTCTGAATTTCATGGCAGTTTTCCATGAGATCCAGGGAGGGCACAAGATATTATCCGAGAGTGTAAGGGTACATTTGTGATAAGTGTGCACATTTGAGTATGCATCAAATTTCTCAGTGATTCTTGAGCGTGTGCATATCTTGTACGGCACTTTTCCTGTTTACATCAATTTTACATCTCAGGGAATTTCATGATTGAGAGTTGAACTATGCCTACAAACGACTACCATCAGTGGCTGTTATTCAAATTCCTAAAAATTTGGCAAGTAAAGAGACGATTTGAAAATAATGTTTAGAAAGGACAAAAACAAGATCTGCTAAGATCTAAAGGGTGATGTCAAGCAGGGCCACTGAGAGAGGAACAAAGAGACAAATTGCCTAAGGGCCTCAATGTCTAGGGAACCTCATCATAAAGAAAAGAATTCCATTTTAAGAATAGAATTAATCCATTTATTGTTAAATTACAGTAATCAGTTTATACATAGTATGGTTTATAGAATGGAAATAGTAGTAAAATGTGACAATGAAACAATTGAAATGAGGTGATATTGAAACAATTGCAAGAGAATGACTGCAACGAATATTTTGAAGTGTATTTTAAGCTAATCTGAAAAATAGGGTCATAAAATTTTTTTGCTTGCTTCGCTCACAAGTTTCAGTATTTTTTGATTCCACAAAAACTTTTGATGAAGTAGGGTTTTATGGAGAAATCATGCTCATGATTGCCATATTTGAAAAAACTTTTTAATTTTAGCCACATCCAAAAGCATGCCCAAACCATGCCCCATCTTTTGGGTATGCAAGAGTGCACCCATCAATTTACAAAAATTTCTCAGTAGTCCAGCTGTCACAGAATAAATACTGGATGGTACATGTGCGTCCTACTTGTAGGGATCCAGACTGAAAAATTTGTCTCTTGCAGGGAAAAGTTTACTTTGAAAATTTGAGACTGCATGCCTGAAATCATACACTGTCAGTTATTTTTTAGAGTTATTGATGTTAAATGTTATTATCAAGGGATTTTGCATGGCCAGTATATTAAATCATGCACAAATGTGTGCGGGCAATATAACTTGGCCTGCAACAAAGTTTCCAGTCTGGGTAGGGATTTTAGAAACTGACCTAAGGTTACCAAAGGAGAACTCCAGAAACGCTTCTGTCAGGATATGTTTACTGACATATGTATGATCAGGCCTTCCATTTACATGAGACCCAAAAAGATGGCTCCAAATGAAACTATTAAATCAAAACAAAATAAAATTTTTCTAATCTTTTTGTTAAGACTGACTGTTCTGATGTCAGAGGCTTGAACTCCTCCTACCAATGCAGTTTTGTGAAAGACACTGGTGACTGCAGATATTCCACTGGATTCCTGCAATATAACAGTTTTGTTTACTGTCAATTTAGAGGCAATTCATCATGGGGGTTGGTAGTTCTGGTAGGTTTATTTTTACATTTTTAAATATTGTTGAGATATATTTACTCATTCATCCAGTGATGAAATTGCAGGTAACATGTAACTCTTGTGTACAAATATATTTGGCCAAAATTATAGATCATTAGTCAATAAAGGCTTTACAACAGATTTGCATGTCAAGAAGGCTAAAGCAGCTCAGTACATCATCACATGATCTAAAATATTGCTAGCACGGTCTGCAAAAAGTTTTGAATTTCTTTGAGATCTTTATTCTTTGTATGCAGCTGCTTAATAACAACCAGTTGCACTGTGTTGATTTGCAGTTAAAAATCAAATAATGTAGTTAAAAGTACTTCTTCAGTGCTTCTTCCAAAAACCTCCTGGATAAATTACTTTCTCAAAACCTCTCAAACATTTGTTATATTTAGCTCTCTGCCTATCATGTCAAAAAGTTTTTTTTTGCTCCCACATTACTTTCAAACAATCTGTATAAAAATTTATGATTACCTTTGATTGTTATTTGTTATTTTTATACTCAAAAAGTACTTAATTGTGCTGTTTTCACTCTTCCTTGTTTTCTACAAACATTGCTGTTTCAAAGTCTTGTTCAATTCTGTAGAAATTGAAATTCTAAGAAAATTCTTCTATTTTAGCTTCTTCTATTAATTTATCTTTTCGTTGCTCTTGGTATCACTGCAGAAGAATTGTAAGTTTCTTTCCTTGGCCTTGTATTATGAATAGAGATTAATTTTGCTGTGTTAACTTTACGTACAGGGAAATAACTGATACAATGCTATCTTGTATTGGCCACATTTTAGTCTTTGCTAACGGCTTTAACAAAATAGAATTTACTTTAATAAACATCAGTGTAGGGAGTATTAGAATTAATCAGTATTTTCTTACCTTTAAAATTTTATTTCTTTTTTAAATTTTTAATCATGTGACATGTGCCCTCAGTATATTATACATACAATCTTAAAATTTAGCTTCAACACTTCTTTACTATTCCATTCATTTTCAGCTTCTGTCCTTGCTTGAAAACATTCTCCAAAGCTCTACATATGAGTGACAGTGTTGCAGTATCCTTTTCACAGTTCATTTCTTTTGACCACATAGTGTCCAAATTTTCTGATGTTTAGCTATGTATCAAAATTAACTGTAGGGTCTTAATAAATATTCCCTATTGGTTCCCTCTGTTATGTTCATGGTACCAGATACTTTTAGTCCAGACACCAATTATAATCAGTTATCATCATCATCAAGCATCAACATTATCAGTCAGTTCTACCTATATTATTGTCCTTTTTCTTAGGTTTATCTTAGGTTTGTCTTAGGTTGTATTTATGTTACTCATTGTGTTTTCATCATCATCATCAGCAGGTACCATCTTCTATCAGAAGGTTGGCTACCATGACCCTCCAACTATCCCAAAAACTGAGTTTTGGTTTGTTGTCATGGTCATAGATAAAACTAAGGGGCTAATAGTAGAGATGGGCCCCCAGAACCACCTCTACAGTGTTTTTAAAGAGACACCATCCCTCTTACCAGGAGTTCTTCCGCCCAAAGCTGTTGACCCCTGGAGTCGTAGCTCATCCGCCCTCCTTGCCGTTCTCCTGTTGAGTTAGTCGTTGGCCATCGCTCGTAGCCCTGAGCTAGGGAATCCTGCCAGGTGGTACCAGTCAGGCTGGTCAGGCTGGACCTGTAAGCTAATGGAGGGAAGGGATGCCTTAATTCCCCATTCATGTCCTGTCGGAGCATGCCACTGCCCTGTGTTTTACATTCCATGTTTTCACTTGACAAATGTCAGGGAGTTACACTTCTGGCCCTTGGTAATGGAGCACCAGATATTTTTAGTGTGTTGGCTGCACTGACATCAGAAGGACAAGACACTGCACCTCTTGCTTTTCAGGAGCTCTTTGGTGAATACATTTTGTACTGTTTCGAACAGATCTGTTATAAGTCAATGACCGAGGTGAAATTTTAGCAAGAGATTGGATGCTCTAGTCGCCGTGCTGATGTAGTCTCTATAACATAAAATAATGCTTCATTTTTGCAAACTTTTGAGGGGGCGAAAACCTTCAGTTCAAATAATATTCCTCTGAGAACCTCTTAGAATCTATTTAAAACCCTTTAAGGTGCCATAAATTGAAGTAAAACCTTTGCACTAAAAATAATGTAGAAATTAGAAAACAAGCAAATACTTTGACACTGAAAATTCTTTTTCAGGGGCAGGTATCTTTGTGACTACAGTAGTTGCTGGAAGTATCCAATTGCGGAATTCCTTCAAACTAGCAAGGAGACCATTCATTCGTGATCTGGTCTTCTATCTCAGTGCCATCAGCTGGACATTTGCAGTTATGTATCGAAAAAGCATTCAAACAGCAGAAGCCATTGGTATGAAAATTTAGTTCTTCAAATTATATATAGATGATAATAAATTTAATTCTTTATTTAACATTTTTAGTGTAAGTTTGTTGTAGAGTTCTCATGTGATGACATCATCAAAATCTATTTCTAGAATTGTTGAATTTGGATCGCATAACCCGAAAAAGCATCATGTAAAACCTCTACATATGCAAAATCAGCTAAATATGTTGCGAATTTGCTGAGATTTGGCCACAAGGGGACAGGCTCTTTTCCCCATCAAACTTTTTGTTAGCGGAATTTAAATCTTTCAATGGCCATATCTCAACCGATTTTTGACATAGTTAATTGGTTTTACATATTCAGATGTATTTTATGGTTTTCTTAAAGGTTATATGGTCAAAATTCAAAATTTCTAGGAACAAATTTTGATGTCACACCTAAGAAATCTATTGCCAACATTAACTTTATTGGTTTCACATTGAATGATAGAACGAAAATAATAGTTCAATGTTGTCTACTGATGTTAAAGAAATCATTCTCTGGAATTAAACTTTTTTGTACTGTATGTCGGTGTTTCTTTTTTCAAAGGTTTCATTGTTCTCTATGTTATTTACGTGACACTCGTTATTGCGGGCCAAGCTGTCAATAGAAGCATGAGAGCGAGGCGGCCCTCCTCAATATCAAACGACCATATCATTAATCCAGGAAATGAAAGTAAGTATTTGGCCAGAATGTTTGTTGAAGATAGCCAATTGAATATTTAAAACGTGTTTTCTTTGCGATTAGAATTTAGAAACATTTGCACTTATAAGATCTAGCTACTTCAAACCAGACCTTCCGTGGCTCTAATGCTTTTGAGAGGTCCTCGATAAACGTTGCTTAGCCCTTTCGGCTCTTTATTACCTATCTAGGAGGCAATTGACTGTAGCTACAGATCATGCTGAATAAAAGGGATTAAAAGGGAAATATGGTTGATAAAAAGGTGAAAAATGGCAGACTTTATTCAGAAATCTGTTCTTTGAATGCATTTTCAATTGCCTGCTCCCCTCCCTAGACATATACAAACCTACACGGTTCCGAAAAAGACGGGCTTGGATCGAGGACCTTCACGCTAGCGCAGATTTCACTGACTTTGATCCTAACGACCGAGCACTCGTGATTGGCTCGCAGCATCACCGCTATTTACCATCAGCTGCCGACAATGATTCAGTGGCTGGAGAAAATGAAAGTAAGTACTCGTGCTATTTATAGGCTCTTGCGCAACCGGCATGCTTAGCGGCAGTTGTCTTGAGAAATTGATTGTGTTTTGTATTTTCATGCAGTTCGATATTAGGCCGATTTTGAAAATATAGCCGCAAAGCGCATGCCGGTTGCACAAGAGCCTTTATGGTTCCCATGTTATGTCTTTATGGTACCCATAAGCCAGCTGGTATCAACTTGAGCAAGTTCTCTGACCACTTTTTTGTCTTAAATACGTTCAGGTAGACATCAGATATGCACAAGCCAATAGATGACCATTTTGATATACAGAAGGCAATAGGATGAGCCATCGGTTATGTAAAGGGCCACAGGATGAACCACTGTATAACAAGGGACGTGATTCTGCTCACATTCCAGCATAATAGGGTCTCACCCTCTGCTTAGGTAACAGTTTTCAGCACTTATTTTAGGAAGGATTTCTCAAAGTTAGTTAGATACATCCTGATAACAAACTTTCTGCTCCACTTTATTTAAGTATTTCCTCATATACTCCGTCAATATGCTTTGATGTACAAAACAACTCCAAGTTTCAGCTCTGAATGTAACGCTTACTTCGAACGTACGCCTTTTTCGCTGGCCTGTGTATACTCCAGTGTGTACAGCTCCGTCAATTCCTTATCTAGAACTAAATTACAGACCAGTAATCATTGGTCTCCATTGCTGCCTCACATAAATTTACGGTATAAGGGGAACTCACTCCTTATTTGTGTTTTCATGTGTCAATTTTCATTGGCAGATCAATTTCAAGACACCGATGACGATGATATTCCAGAAGAGGGTGTTGTGGAAAGACTGACTGGGTTTGCTTATAAGGAATGGAAAGCAAAGGCACTATTCTGGAAGTTTTTTGACATCATCAAGGTACATTGCCTTATCAAATTTGACAGAACCCTGCCCAACTTTGTAACACAGACTTGAGGGATCTTTTCACATTTGTCCTTTTTCCGGCAGTTCTTTCTCAATAGAGCAATAATGTTCTGGGAAAATCCATACTTAGACCCCGTAATAGCTTAGCATCCACTATGCCAATGCTTGCCACTAAAATAAAAGGCATTTTTAGTGATGTGATAAAAATCGTCGCGTTATCCTCTCTTTTCACAGATTCCGTTGGAGATTGTTCTCAATATCACGAACCCTGTGATAGATATTGACATTAAAGGCTACAGATGGAACAAATATTTGATCATGCTACAATGCTTTATAAGTCCAGTTGCCTGCGCCTTTATTACCGAAGGTATTTATTCTTCGTTTTAATTAGCAGTTTTTCTGAATAAAATTTTCATACCTGAACTATTTCTATATCAGCACATTTATAGAATTTTTTTTAGACATTTTTGTCATTTTGTCAACGAACCGGAATCCATCGAGTAAGGTTTTTGCGAATCACCTCTTGCGATTCACTGGAATTCCTTTCCCTTTTAACCCCAACCCCTCCACTATGTTGCTGTTTCTCTGTCATAAGTAGCAAATCACCATTTTTATCCTACCCTATTTTCATACAGTGTCACACAGATTGCAGTGTTACTTTAATATTTGTTTGTAATTATTCATGTTCCTTTTTTATTTATTTTTATAACCCATTAATTTTGTAGAGGCGTTTACGAATGTTATTAAAGGGATCGTTGTATGGCAAGTACTTTTGATGATTGGAGCAGTGTTAGCACTCCTGGTGATGCTGACAACAACAGCCCTTAAACCGCCAAGGTTTCACTTCGTAAGGTTTTAATCAATATTCCTGTCGATATTATAAAAGCATCCCTTCTCTAATTGTTCATTTTAACATTTTTCTTTAAATTTTTATGATGTAAACAGAGCTCATACCTTACTTAGTTAGAAGGGACAAAATTCACAATAAAAAGGACCATCTATCTTACTCTCTTCGCTTACTTTGTTTTACCTTCAGCGCAAATCAGCTTTAGATGTTTAATGCTTGCATACTTGTAGTTAAGTATAATGTTAGTATGCCTATTTTCAGTATTTCCCTTGCAGTGTAAATATGTAAATATGTTTCTTACCGAAATGGCCCAATGGCCAGTAAATACAGATCCATAGGCATGATAAAATCTGTTGATTCTGCCCTTTGAATAATTCTTTCGGTATATTTATTTTGCAGCTGCAATGTCAAACCACCTTTTCATTAGTAATTTTCAAGAAGAATTTTAATTTGTTTTTTTCTAGATATTTGCGATGGCCGGATTTATTGTGTCCGTTATTTGGATTTATGCATTAGCACAAGAGATCGTGAATCTGCTGAAGGTAACCGAGATTTTCGTTGCCGATCATGATTTCATGTGTAATAGGCCTAAAAGCCGCAGTGGAGCAGGACTTGAGGTCCTAGATATACCAGGGAAAGACTGAAGTCTCGTCTGTTATAAGACCCCCACATACCATCTAGCCCAATTTCATTTATAACGGTACCTTGTAAGAAGAGACTGATATTGGCCTAAAAGGTACTTTGGCAAACTATGTTTGATCTTATGTAGAGTGTTTATCTGGCGAGAGAATGCAAAGATAAGACGCAAAACCCGTAAATAAATATTACCCGATATGCCGGGATGGGAGTTCACCCTACGTATGGCTTTGGCAGTGGGCTACATACCCCCTTCCATCCTGGTCCCATTGTGAATGCTATGAGAGGCATATCAAGGCTCCAGTTTAACCAAGAATTTGCATGGTCGTTTTTTTACTACCCTTAATTTGCAATCGTCCTCATTAACTTTTCATTGAGTGATCTGAATTACAATTGTCTCACACCATGCATTTAAGGCCTCTTAATCCATTTACCTATTCAGAAGTCTCACTTTTTGCTGCTTGAATCTCTAAATAGACTCTAGGTATTTCACTGGGCATCAGCAATGCTGTCTTGGGACTGACGCTTTTGGCATGGGGCAATAGTATAGGAGGTATGTTGTAACCATCTAATTTTTCAATTGTTTCGCGATCTGAGGCTTTTGGCCCACGTTTATGTCCCCGCCTCGCCTTGATTCAGCAATAAACAGGAGCATATTCACAATTAAACCTCCCATCAAAATTTTCACGCCTTTGATATATGGCAAGTATCCCTTTTTCTAGGCGCTTACTCTACTTGGGAATGCTAGAACAGACCCAACCTACTAGATATGATAAAGTTAGCTCAGAAATAAAATGGTGCTGTTTACGATGATAGCGTTTTAGTATATGAAATTCAATTTGACATTAAAGCACATATTTTGCTAGTAGAGTACCTTGAAGTAGCCTTTTCAAAACAGAGCACAATTTGATTTAGGAAAACCCGGTCACTATACGAATGATATCTGGCAACTCCATGTTTGGAGGGCAAGCTTTTTGCTAATTAGAAGTCTGAACAAAAATCTTTTGATTTTTTAAATAAGTTTATGCTTCCCGATTTTCAGATTTTATTTCTAATATGGCAATGGCCAAGAATGGAGCTCCACGTATGGCGATAGCAGCTTGTTATGGTGGGCCACTGCTCAGTATCCTTTGTCATCGTAAAAGTCAACTTATCCTCATTTATCCATTCCCAGTCGCCATCTTTATTGATAAATCCTTCCCTTGTCATTCCTCCAAATAAATAATGTTTGTTTATTGTAGTGTTTTGTTCTCTGGTCAAGGAAAAGAATACCGATGTGACCTCTTTTTCTTTCAATTACAAAACGCATTCTATATTTGATATGCATTTTACGATGAAATTCATTTAACCTTGGTATATCATATCCTTACGCCTCAACTTGTTGTTAAATGCCCTTGTGCAACCGGCATGCTTTGCAACTTTGATTCAATAACCAGCCTAATATCGTACTGCCTGAAAATACAAAACAGTCAAATTTCTCCTCGCGTGAAAAGTCAGCTGCCGCTAAGCATGCTGGTTGCGCAAGAGCCTTTAGGCCATAAGGCTATGCTCAAAAGTTGAAAAAGGATACTCAAAAGAGTGTTTGCCTCTAATGCATGGTGCTTTTCACCGTGATTGCCGTTAACACCCACTTCACTCTGTTTCGGATTCATTTATACTATCTTTTTAAAGGTATTTTGGGTACCTTCTTATTCTACTATTGTACCTTAAGACATTCACAGACATGGTATTAGGCGTTGGTATATCGTGCACATTTTCATCGCTGACTCATCACGGACACGTAACGGTATTTTTTTTAGAAATTTTCAAATGTGCAGTAAAGTTGATGCTTTGCTTCTAATGGCAATAAGTTAGGTCTTTTCTGTCTCAACATGGAAAACTCAGTCCTATATATCTGCCAAAGTTGATTTCTTAGCAAAACTTCATACGAACAGTACTTGAAGCTACTACTACTTTTTAAGATACTACCATCACAACAGGGCAACACGCTTTTGATGGTTCTAAGTTGCTATTCCGAGTTTCACGCTTAATGCGTTCACTGCTAGAATATAATTGTTTAATTTGTAATTTATTTACTTTTTGTTTATTTATTTATTTGTATCATTCTTCTTCACATACAGCTCATTCATGGCCACTTGCAGTACATTCTGTCCGCATCGTTTCTTGGTATCAGTCTCATAGCTGCGTTGGTCCTGATGCCAATTTTAAAATTCAATACCTCAAAAGTAGTTGGTGTATCTCTCATTGTTTTTTACTTTGTTTACCTAAGCGTTTCGCTTTTAAATGCGTTTGGAATTCTGTCAAAATTGTAATACAGGATGGAAGTATTTTCGATTGAAAATCCTCGATGTTAATGGTATAATCCTTTGAATATTTCAGTAAAGAAAGCTGGGGCATTTTCTTAAGGTACTTTTTCATTTATAATCTAAAAGGTTACGGCTTTAAATCTTTAAATCTGGTAGCTCCTTGAAGTTGAAGCTACCATTTTGAATTCTACAGCGTTGTATTCTTTGAAAACATTGCTATAATTTTTTAATCTAGTAACACGTGCCGGTTTTTTAGCTTTTAATCATTGCATTTCAAGCACCACCAAATTGGACCTATTTCATAAAACATTAAAGGGCATGTGTCGTGAACATGATTGCCTAATGCAATACAATTATCTCTTCTGTTTAGTACAAAGGAGGGAATCGAGGGTGAATTTTTACGGCAGTAGAAATTAATTTAAAAAGAAATGAAAAGTCATGAAACAATGGAATTCCACTCTAAACGCTTTTATTTCATTAGCCAACTGCTAATGCGACATATGCCCTTCAAGTAGTCGATGCGTTTTCTTATTCCAAAGAACCTGTAAATTACAAATTTATATTAGCATTAGTCTGAAATAAAAAAGACAGAGATGCAACCGCTTCAGAACATTATCACACTGTAGAATTTATTGGAGCATTTAGCAGCAGTTTCATACCGCCAGTGCAGAGGAAGTGTATTATACCAACTGTAATATACCATCTGTGCTATATCTAAAAGTTCATATTGTATTTAAATAAACTCTTTAATTGAGTATAATTTTAATTTTCTTACAATGTCTACAACCTTTATTTTGAGTTAGTTTAACTTTCAATTCAAGAACACACCTTTCTTTTTTACGGACGTTTTCCACCAAAATTGACAATATGCGTCAGGTTAAGGAATCATCTTGTTGATCGTTTTGTTTGAAGATATACTCACCAACAGGCATAAAATAGGCAGTAGTAACTGTAATTTTAGCCACTTTGTTTGTATGCTGAATGAATTGATAATGATTAAGAAGGTCATGATGATTGGTGATCGTGATTGTTGTTGATGGCTGATGATTGATTATATTGACCCTGATAACCGTGATCGTGATTTGTGATCGTGATTGGTGATGGTGATTGGTGATTGTTGTTGATGGCTGATGATTGATGGTATTGACCCTGATAACCGTGATCGTGGTCGTTGATTGTGATTGGTGATGGTGATCGTGATTGTTGTTGATGGCTGATGATTGATGATATTGACCCTGATAACCGTGATTAATCGCGCCAATGATCTTGACAGAGACTAAAGTTTCCATTGCCGAAATTAACCTAGTTTAGTCCTGCAGTCTAATGTGTTCTCTACCCTTGAGCTTCTCATTGAATTGGTGGAAGCCTTTTTTAGCAGTAATTCAATATTCTTGGTAACTGAGGTTAATAGCTTTGAGATGAGTGTAAATATGATTTTAGCAATTGTCCAGGGCTAGGTAATGCCCGTTCGATTTAATTAAAAAATCGTCTCAATACGAAACATGTTGATAGTGCGAGCAATGCTCTTGTAAAAATCCCGAGCTTTTAGTCAATTATGTACTATTTTGTTAAAGAACTAATTGAACCCTATAATATTAACAATTGTATATGCGTGTGTGATAATTTTTTTTAAAACTCTGTAAATTGCTTAACCCATTAAAATGATTAACCATACCGCTTATTATCTTCGCAACATTTACTTTCACTGCAACTTGCTTGTTTTCTGCATGTCAGTTTTTATCATTTTAACACCAGTGTTTAAGCGAAAAAGCTTTATTTTGGGTATGCTAAACGTTCATGGCTGCAAGAGCGCTCCTATACTGAATTTGAAGATGATTTTGAAAAATGAAAAAACATAGGTTTTTCTTTAGATTGCAAGCCATATTATCAGAAATTCGGGTTTTTATAACACAAAAACCGCACTTTTCAAAGACGCCTGCCTCCCTTGAGGGCCATTGCCTTCCTTGCTCTCTTTAAATTTAGAAATGTTTTTCATTTTCCTATAGTTCTGCACATTTTTTGGCGCTTTACCACCTTAGCTACAATTTACCTCTATAGCGTTGAAACACATTTTGCAAATGAGAAATTTGCTTAGGGTCACGCCAGGCAATACACCCAATCCTCTTTTATTTAATATGCTTTGTAGAATGCTGATTTCAATTTTTAAGTAGTTCGTTCAATTTGCAGTTACAAACAACTGCATTTCGACAATTGGACTGTGTTAGGAAAGGAATTTTTCGATTTGCTGACGTAGCTTCCATTTTATCAGTGTATTTCGAATGCCCTTACCTTTGTGCATGAAGCCGCAAACGCGTACGTCTGCGATTCGAGAGATAGATGGTTCCAGCAAATAGTGATGTTTATTGTAGTTAATTGAAATGAATTCAATTTTAGAGACCCTTAAATCGATAAAGCAATCAAGTATCCCGATGCTTAATAAGCTGTAGTTGATATATTGCAGGAGAAGCAAAAAATTCACTATTTCGCTGTTTGCAACGATTCTTTTCAATTTAAGTAAACTACATGACAATACTACTACCACTTAGAGTAGGAAAACGAAGAAATATTCTACTTTGACAAATGGTAATGATGAATTTAATATTTCCCTTGTCTTATTTTATTGTATACAAGATCGAGATTCTGCTTAGGGCCACTTCCGCAAAATAACCGTAATGAACAATAAAACCACTTCCCTAAAAGTGATAGCCAATTCTTGCATCAGTGTCTCATATCACTAGGGTGTCGAGGGGCAATTCATTCTTGCAAATAGCGGACACGATATCCAGGGCTTATCAGATTAGAAAATGGATTTCCATCAAAGATGAGCGAGGTTTTCATAGAGTGATTTGCCCCTCGATATATTATATTTTGGTTTTTTCCCCATATATGGCTGCAGTTCCATCTTTAAAAGCGTCTGTTTCGTTGAGATGATGGTAATTCAAAATACTTTCAGAACAATGATATTTCAAAAAGTCGTTGCAACCTTTGACAGTACGAGCCTATAGCCTTTTCTTATTGACATCGAGTTTTCAGATTCAATAAAAAGTGGACAAATCTTTTCCTTTGATCACTTGCATTTTGAAAACCTAAGTACTGTCTGTTACTTAAAATGCATTTCCATTCACAAAATCAACCTATGTCAAAAGTTGTGATTGCACAATCTATTAAAAGGGCACATGCATTTGTAGTTAGTTCAATTTTCAACGGTTAAGGCGAAATTCAGTTTAAGATGCAATATCATCAATATCTTTCTTGTTAAAGATGCAATATCATTTGAAATCATTTGATCTATTTTTTGGCATATTTATGTATAACGAAGTTCGTTTTTAGATCTAAGAGGGCAAGGGCACAGTTGATCTTCTCATGAAACTCTCTCTCCTTCTCCATGTTTTTAGTTATTCCTTGATCATACCTTGGGCCGTGCATGAACATGCCTTGGTGTCCAAATGCTCTAATTATATCAAACTTCTCAGATCTAGGCATCATCATGGGTTGACACATTTTCCATCCATGCATCCACTCGTTTCTCATATGGAAAGTCTTTTCTCGGGCAATGTTTTCAAGATTCTCAAATAAAGACATATGATGTGTTTGAATATTAGCCTCTTTCTTCACTATATCATCTGGACTGTTGACATTTTTTATCCTGTTCACTTCATTTAACTGCCTTCCAGCTCCTTTCAACCGCTTTGCATTGCAATTTGTGTTCATCAGACTGAGCTTCTTTGACCTCCAGTCCCTGATTTGTTTTTCATTGATTCCCAAGTACCTTGCAGTTGCTCTGTTGCCATTTATCTCTGCGTGTCTTACAGCAGCCAATTTAAATGTTATGCTGTAGGATAACCGGCATTTTTTCTTGGGACTAGTTGCCGTACTCATCGCTCCTCAACAGCACTGGCCTGCAATTGCAACTGACATAATGCCCAGCTAGATCTGTAATGATAAGCCGCGCAGTAAAGCGTGATAGCAAAGATTCTGTAATGGTTTGGCGCTCACTGGCCAATTACAATTAATGAGTTATGACTGCTTAGGAACAAACAAGCACCCATGTGTACAGAAGATTTCAAAAAAGTAGATTGCTTCCAAAATAAAACTGACTTTGTGGCCAAGACATTCTATCCATCAGAACTTGATTAATTGTTGAAGAATCCATAAGACCATTTTTGCAAATTTATAAGGAATTAGGAGCTACTTCACCGTTGTGAGTCAACACGTGAGAAGCTTATAAGCAGGTGCAAGCAAGACTGTGAAGTTATCATGCCGTTCTTCTCTTCTGATATTTCTTATATATAACTGCCCCAGTCTTGCGTTCCGTTTATCAGTTTCCAAATACTCAAAACTTCATTCTATTTTGAATAATTACACTAGTTTTGGATAAAATAACCTAGACGAATCTGCCCAATTCATCAAGTCGTGTTTACTCATTAAATGCATGCTCAGTGATTTCCAGTAATTGCCTGTGGGTGTTTAAGAAATCTCGTCTGCAGGAATCATCCAAGGTCCGGGATAGCACTGAATAGCTACCTTCAACAGATTATGCAAAACCTCTCTATAGCACTGATATATCGAACAAATAACAGTAAATAGATCCATTGTTGGAAACTCTTTGAATAGGCCACCATTTCCGTAGAAAATCGCGCAACAGTTGTAGCTATAAGCTCACCAGATATAGATACAATTTGGCGTCATGTTCTTATCAAGATATCATTTTGATAAAGGTCGTTGTCGCCAGTTTTCAGTATTCTGCTTTCTGGAGGCGATATATTCACCATGTTCTTTAGATGCTTGGATCCATTGGCTATACAATTTTCCTCTGATTTAAAGTATTGAGTTGCATGAATCAACAAATTAACAGTGATATTATTCACTTTTTAACCGTTTAACTAGTCCAGGCGGATGAGCTTAAAGCTGCAAGTAAAAAGCGATAGCCTAACCTTTCAAACACTTCACATTTTGCAAAGCGAAATGAAAAGCATATACAAAATTTTGGCAATGCTCATATCGATGTTTCTTTCTTTCGAAAATAAAGACTTCTGATTTGGATTCTTCAATTCGTCTTCAACCTTGAACCTTATTTGTATAGAGAAACTTCATAGCGCCAGCTACCTTGGAGAAGACCAAAAAGCAGGGCTATTTAAGCCTTTTTACAGCATAACAAGGGAATTTTCTTTGATAAAATAGATAGAAACTAAAATAGAAAAAACTATTCCTTATGCGAATTTGCAAATGGTAGCATCAATTTTGCAATTATTATGTTTTAGCACTGGCTTCTGCCACCTTTCCTCCTCCGCGGCTAATCATAAAACAAACTCGCCCTGAGACAATTGAAATCGTACCAAGAGTCCATTTGGATGACCTAGATAGGTATTTTCTGACATTGTTTAACCGAATGTTGAATTAGCCCTGTTCGTTGCTTCATCATTGATTACTTGCGAGTTCCGCACGCTTGATTACGCAAAGCCGCAAACGGGTCAACTGAGTTCGCGGCTACTATTACTCCTTTGTGCTGCTGCCTTCAAGCCATAGAGCTTATCCAGATATTTTGCAAGTTGCAACTGAAATTGCTTTTGCTTTACCCTTTACGGAAGAACACCGTCGTTCGAGTTTTAATGTATTGCTCAAATATAAAGAGCCTTTCAGGGTCTCTCTGTTAATTTTAGTCCGCTCCACATCACGAACTAATTTCAAAGAATGCAGCTTCAGATTTTGCATCGTTCTAGAATTCTTCAGTTTTTTAACTTAATTATTCTATTGTATTTAATGATCTATATAATAAATAGAGAAGAAAGTATTTGTTTAGATCAATCATGAGACTTGACTAAAAGCTTCAAAGGCTGATATGCTTTAAAAATTTGATAAAACTAAAAATTTGCTATCTAAAATCGTTTTGAGAATAAAAGCGGCTTATGAAAGATAATTATAAAGATTGTACTTGTAAGGTTTTGATGATTATGCGAAAAACCTAAGATATTTGATATGAAATCTTTGATGCAAGGAATTGCACAATCTTAGGCAAGACGAGCAAGGCATGATATCAAGCCTGTATTGATGATCTGTAGATCTATAACGCAGCTTTATAATTCAAAAACCGGCATACACTTGCAATCTTCATGGGTTTATGAATTATAGATGAACCGGGGATGTTGTTTTCCGTGAGTGCTCAATGAATCTGATAGCATTACGGAATAAAAATTGTTACGCTCAATTGCAGGGCTCATGATCATTGATTAGCCTAGATATTATGTCAGTCGCAAGCTGTAACCGCAATCGCTTCGAAGACACTACATATAAACATGGCTAGCTTAAAGATTGGCGTGAAAAAGCATCGTTTGTCGTACAGTGTTATGTTCAAGCTTGCAGCCGTTCATTATGCTGAGATGTATGGTAACAGAGCAACAGCGCGCTATCTTGGCGTCAATGAGAAACAAATCAGAGACTGGCGATCAAAAAAGCATTCTCTTGTGCAATGCGACTCGAATGCGAAACGGTTGAAAGGTGCTGGAAGACATATATGTCAAATGCGGGACGATCTTCAATTTGAGCAAGCCAAAAATCAGATGAGACTAAAGGATAATGCTGTGTATGATATTTCAAAAAATTCAAAGATTTTTTCAGCCTTTCCAGGTAAATATTTGGAGACTTCAAACTGGAATTCCACTTTTTCAATAAATGGACTGAACCACAATGGGATTTACAACATTGAAGAATATTATAAAGAGCAGAGCAAGGGCTCATTTGCAAAAAGGAAAGAAACAGACAGAGAGTTTGATTTCCACGAACGCTTTTCTTGTGCTCTAGCATTACTAGAGCTGCAGAAAGGAAATTGAATTATTTTACCTTTCTTTTATTTCTATGTTTCAGCGCAGTGTATGCAAATTTTGTATGTTTTGAGAATGTATCGTTTCTTTTACTATAAAATGTGTTGTTTGACAAATGGCTGGTTGAAACTATTAAGTGAGCCTACCGATCGAAACGTTGAAACATACAATGCAGTGGATTTTTATAACAACGAATTAGAGTATAGCTAATTACTGTAAAAAGTACAAAATTTTAAAATGTTTTATTTGATATGAAATTAATAACAGATTCGATTGTTTTTATTGTCCTTGACTCGATTAATCATCGTTAGTATTTGACGAACTTTTACGGGTTTTACGAGTTTTTACGTGTTTTAACGAGTTTTTACGAGTTTTAGCGAGAAATAAACGAGACATCAGTTACTAACCAAGTTGCTGTCAAATGTGAAAATCTATTTTCAAAATGTTTTTAGGCAAGACAACAAGAATCGCTATATAAGGCTTCAGAGATGGGGGCTGGCTTAAATTCAGAATATGTTGTGCCTTTTGTAAAGACTCTTTGGCAAATTTCAGGTTTCAACATTGTTTGTACTTTTTCAAAATCTTTAGAATTTTTGGTATTGAAAAATTTGTGTATTTCATGGTGCCCTCATTGCTGAGGTTCTCTGACTTTCATATAGCGACATTCGATGAAATTTTCTCTGATGACATGCATGCGGTACATTTGAATTTGGGCCGTTTTGTTCTCGATGACAGTTTGCATTTTAAGTTTGGATTTGCAAAAGTGGGCAAAATAATATCAAAACTCATTACGAAATTCTGAAAGAGGGGTGACACTAAACATTCTCGAACAGAGGGGCTGAAAGTTTTAAATAAGGGGTGCTAAAAGGGCTGCAAGGTTTGTACATAGAGTTTGGTAACAGTTCAAACCTACGTTGGTAAAACAAAAGAGATTTTTCTCAGGCCAACAGGCTTGCATGATACTTTTTTGGGGAGTTTAGCCTTTTAAACCCCTGCTAAGGCTATCTCTTGCGCAGAAGCCTCGACTTCAGCTTGGCCGCCTATTTGTTGCTGTTGTTGCTTTGCTGCTTCCAACTTCCTCCTGTACAATTTTGGTGGCAGGGCTTGGTCAAACGAAGGAAGAAAGGTCTATAGCACTTCGAAACAGCCACAAAATGCCTGTGAGTTAAGTTTTATTTTTTTAACTATTTTCAGCCTAACCAATTTCAAAACAATGCTCCGTAAACTCCCTGATGAACACTGTGTTTTGGGGTGACACAATATTGAGCTCCGTTCGATCCCGATTCAGGGCTATAATATGCTGTCAACAGTAAATTGCCAATGAACAAGTTCTTATTAAATAAATCAGTCTCTAGGAATCGTAACAAGTGTATAAGGAAGGTTTTGTTATAGGAGAAGTTTTAGAACTGTGAAATACTTTTTCTGTTGACTTTACAACGTGATTGCTGTCAATTCCCTGCATTTTCCTCTTTATATAACATAAGCCTAGATATTGTCATCTAAAAGCCTTGTTGATAATTAGTTTTTCAAAAATTTAGTCATTAATCTCTAAATTTCTCTTAAAAATGTCATGTTTCCTTCAATTTTACTGTGTGTTGCAAGTCCCAAACTCAATAAATTGTATTTCTGTTCAATTCTATTTTGTTGATTCTTTGTTTTGGCCATTAAACATGACATTGATTAAACAATTTCAAGAAAAAATTATTGGCTTTTGGTGAATAATATGGCTAAGGTTTGGTAAGGCAAATTGCCTCCTCACCATTATTGAAGCAGCAAATTATATTCCAATGTACTTTGTAAATTCAATCTTCAATCGTTAACTCCTAAAGGCTATACAACCAATCTGGAGCATTTACACAAGGAGCATTAAAAAAAGGAAAATTAACTCAGGAGTAGGATTAATACCATTTCCACCCAGCGCTCCAGTTTGCAAATTTATGCAAATTTATTGCAAATTTATGCAAAACGTAAGACTAAAAAAATGTAAAACTATCTTGGAATGCTAATCTTGGCATATCTTGGTTGAGTTTGTAATGTCAACTGCATTTAGCATGCTAGTGACATATTTTCACCACTGTTTTAGTTATAGAAAAATCTGTGTACCTACAGCTTTTGTTTCTAATATTGTAAATTTAGCATCGATATTTCCAGAGAATGGCAAACAATATCTTTGTTTCATCCAAAGAAAAATGAACCATTCCTTCTTCATCATTTATAATGCTGTTAATATTGGGCTTGATCTAGCTCTAGGTTGTAAATGTCAATAAATGCAAAAGAAGATGCTGTCTATCTGTACAATGATTCTTTTTAACTCATTGCTAAGCTGTACTGTATCAGAAGATCAATATATGTTGACAATTTTCTGATAAATTTTAGGCCTATCATTCATCGCTGTCTGGGACTACCTCTATATGTAAGATGGCCTTGTTACCAATCAATACAAAGTTCAAAGGACCAGCACCACCAGCCCCAAAAGGTAATTTCTAGAAATGTATTTCTTTTGGAATTTGTTACCTGATGGTAATGGTGTTTCAACATAAATGCAAGAATAAGTATTATATGGCATAATATCAAGAACAAGGGCATTGTGGCTCTCAGAAAAGGGCCTGGAGAAAGTGAGCATAAGGGGGCCCGCTAATTTGTATGACATCTCCAATCACAAACCACAGGTTGCGAAAAATGGTACGTACCTGCAAACTTTGCACCTACGAAAAATTAAAAAGATGCCAGTTTTTATCATCTTAAAGGTTCATTGGCTATATTTGTTGGGGTGTATCCCCTTTTCTCTAACCCTACTCTCTTTGAGACTGCAAAAATTGTGGATGGTAGGCAATGCGAGCAAAGTGAGCAGAAAATGTTTTCTGGTCACGCCCTTTAAATTAGCATCAAGTACATTTCAGAGTGTTTTTTGCATGCGTTTAAAAATCTGTTCTTAAATTTGAATTCCTTGCTTTAAGAGGCCCCCTAGACCTCAAGGCCCTGGGACAGTTTGCCCCTTCTTGTTCCCCTCTTGGCAGCCCTGTTCATATTCCATGCATCCCTTACACAGAGGCCTGCTTTTCCTGGGTTTTAAAAACTCACTTGAATAAGGCCCAACAGGAAATTTCCCAGTGTCCCACCTAGTCACAACGCCCCTGATCAAGATGTGCTTTTATTGTCTGGTATCTCAAATAAGATTATCAAGCATATTTTTCATGAATCTCAATCATGAAAAAAGCATGAAGCATATATTGAATTCTTCATCATTGCTCAAAGCAACTTTTTTGCAGTCATTAAACCAAAGCTTTGCAGTAGCGTCCCAACTGGAAAGCATTTAGGGGGTTTGGAGGATTTAAAACTTTAGTTTTCACTTCCTTATATCAATTCTCAATGATCCTGTTTAGCATTAAAATTTGCAAGCGTATAGTACCATAAGTGTTATGAATCATGGGAATGCTTTGAGGAAGGGTTTTATGATTGTTGTTTGTTGTTTACTTTCTGTGATAAGAAATTTGTTAATTTCAGGCAATTATGACAGACAGTGAAACTATTATTTCATTATTGATATCTAAATTGAAAAATGAATTTAAAGAAATATTTTGCCTCTATTAATATGAGACTAAAAGTGCTGAAATATTTCTTTCTCTTTTTAGACATGGCATTTGACGTCATAGATGAGACTCTGAATTACTTCAAAGCAAATGTCTTTTTTAAGAATTATGAAATCAAGGTAAAATTATGTTGTATTGAACTTTTCTTTCTCTCGTGATATCCTGCCAATCTTTGTAAAATAAATTTTTGTTATTTGCTCCATATGAACTGCACACATTTTATTGCAAGGCAATACCAGTGTAGTAATTTGAAATGGTAAATTATTACCTTTTAAGCTTAGCAGTATTGCATTAAGGGTAGAACTGAGAGTAGCCACTTAGAACCATCCTGTTTTATACACCAAAAGTGTGTACAGCTATGCCAAACTGACAATGAGAGATCGATAAACATTAATTTTCATATCCTGTATGAGTTGTTTTTTATCATTCTGTCTGATGGTGGGTGAAATATGATGCCCCTAGGTGAAATATTGAAATTAGCAATAACAATAAATGTGAAATATATCAGTAATAATTATGCACATGAATGTAAATTTAACAATTCATTATTTATACCAATTTTCGTTACTTTTGTTGTAGGGTGAAGCTGACAGAGTTTTGATATATCTTACTCTTTATGTCACTGAATGTTTAAAAAAGCTGCAAAAGGTGATTCAGTTTTAAATTTTCTTGCGTTTTGTCCCCATCTATCAAATGATTCAAAAATCTTCTTTTGAAAGCTTCATTTTCTTTTCAAAACTTAATCTTAACTAAAGAAGGAAATATCATTTTGGCAATGATATTCTGTAGCACACCAAAAACTGTCCACTTATAGATTTGATAATAACCAAATATTCTCAACATTTTCTGTATAATTACTCCTATTACTGGTGGTGTCACATTGAATCTGAGAGAAAAATGTTCAGGGAGGGTAATAAGCTAAGCTTTTCATGGCTTTATTCCTTTGCTTTGAATTGTAATAAAAAATTTGTCATAGGCATTTCCTGTTTATAACATATTTGTTTGCTATTGGTAAAAGGGCATTTTCTGGCAGTTAAAAGGGCAAGTTATAAAAATTTGTGTTCTTCTCACACCTACCAATGACTGGGAAAGCAAAGCTGAAAATTTTATGTGATTGACAAAAATTAAATTTTTAGCTAAGTTAAAGCTTTGAATTGAGTATTTTCTTTTTGTAACGTATTCTAGTCTGTATAGTGATTGCATATAATTTAAGAAATGGAATACTTCTTCTAATTTAATTAAATCATTGCTATCTTTTTCAAGGACTGCATGTAATAAGGCTAAGATGGATGCAAATGATGTTTTTCGTTTCCACAATCATTCAATTTGCTGTGAAAGTTGCTTTGCATAAATCAAAATAATTAAAATTTGGAATCACTAATCAAAGGAGATTTTTGCAACATAAAAACATTGTAAATTTTTGAGTAAGATTTTTAAAGTGTATATTTTTCAAACAGGTATATGCAAAGTATACCTAAACAAAGCGAAGCATTTGATGTTTTTTAGTTTCGTTTCTTTCAATGTGTTTGATACATGTTTTCTTCTGATAGATGTTACTGAGTTTTGTTTTCTATAAAGTAATCCAGTAAAATCTTTGCAGATTGGGTCTAAAAATGTTGCTGTGAAGGAAATGCAGACATTTGCAATTCTTGACTTCCCTCTACCTGGAAGTCCTGGATTTCCTTTAAACGCAATGTATGGAAAACCAGAGAATAAAAACGAAGAAGGTAAGGAAAGATATGATATCTGTGAAGAGCTCACAGTGCACAAGTAGTATAAATAATGAACTTCTACATCACAATACTTTTACCATGCATTCATACTTATTTTGATCACAATGGCTAGATCAAATTCTCTAGAGATAATGGAAATTTTGATTTTTTTCATACTGCAGACATGTGTCGAGGATACTTGGTGCAGCTGAGACAAGAACTTGGGCAGCGTCTCATCGAAAAAGTTTTCGATCCCCAAACAGACAAGCCAAGCAAGGTAATTAAATCCTTGTGAAAATGACAAGAATAATTTACTAAAATCTTTCTGTCTTTTTGTTAGTCAGCTCACCGTTGTAAGTTTTGTAAGTGCACCTTTGTAAGTTTTAGTGACTCATAGCTGAGGAAAACTACTTTTTTTCTTATTTAACTGAAACTCTTTTCATATCTAGCTCAATATTTTTATGTATGTAAGCATGGATATACTGATATATGGACTTCTAAATGAAGATTTATCTCTTTCTTGCAGTGGTGGATGTGTTTTATTAAAAGGAAGTTCATGGATAAATCACTTTCAGCACCAGGCAAATAAATTGATACCTGTTTACAGCAAGGTGTGGATTTTTTCTTGATTGTAAATCAGTATATGCTACATTTGAAATCCCTTTTTCGTCTGTATGCTCAGTTTTGTATGATTTACTTAGCATGACATTTTCCATGTATAAGTTTTTTGCATATGGCAATTAACCAAATAAGTTTTTGGTACCAAAAGATTTGAAGAAAGCTTGAAAAAGGAAAAACTTTATGGCAAATAGTCTATCATTTTTTTTTGCATAAAATTTTTTTAAAGGAGGGTTTTTATTTGAAAAACTATTTGAAAAAGGCCTCAGAATACAGCATCAATAGAACAGAGAACAATGTAAGCAAAATTGAAGATACCAAAATAGAGTATATTTAACTTTTGTGAAGACAATCACCATGGGACAATATTGATATTTGGCAGAATTTGTTATGAAATTTGAACATTTGAACAATACAGTTCAATTACTTTGTAGGGATGAAACTTTTATGGTACATTGCATACAGAAACAAGGACAGTGTCCAGTCATTGGTTGGTCACAAGCTGTAATATTGTTATGGATAATTATTTTAAACTTAACTGTAAACTGATTAATCTAAATACCTTTTGTAGTTACATTTGCCCATTTTTGCATGTTATAGCAACATAAAAATCGTTTTATTGGTGTCATGTGTTTATCTTTTATCTTGAAATTTTCTTTTCAACCCTGGAATCCTCGTTGACAATGAAATGATCCTAAGCTTAATGAGAAATATTTTTCCTTAGAAGAACCTTTAATAAACCATTAGCAGTGCTGTGCATTAGCAGTAAACCTTTAATAAGTGCTTTTTCTTTCTTTGAATTGAAAAGTTTTGGGAAATATTATTCATGGGTACAGGCAATTTCTGTTGAGCATTAATGATAAATTAATCAAATCTTGGAGGTTGTAGTGACAGAAATTGCATCAGTAGCTTTTTGTGTGTTGTCTTATGACCAGGCGACATTTTTGTCTTTTTGGCAAGGTGCAAGAGCCACAGTTGAAGTGCAAACAATTTTCTTGGAATACAGTTTCTCTGAGTCAGCAAAAGAACATACAGCAGCACCACTGTCAATATCTATGAAGTCTTCGAATTTTTGCAGGTGTTGCAATACTTTTTTAGCATAATCCGGCCTGGCCATTTGGGGAGAGCCATAGCTCTTGCTCCCCTCAAGGCTCCTCTTAAATACTGCAGATTGCTCTCCTAAACTGTTTGAAAAGCAAAGTGGTCTCCTTGAAATCAATGCCCCTTTTTTCTATTCCTATTTATCTATACCTCACCTGGGTATTCCCAGGAGAACCCCCTTGCTGCTACTCTATCAAAAGTTATATTAGACTCCACTTATGCCACAAAAGATAAAAATCTGTTGTGAAATAAATTGAACTGCATATGACGAGAGACAGTACCCTGTCTGCCAGAACATCGTAATTTCATAATGGCTATGATAAGTTTATGCATGAAATTGTAGGTCAGTAATTACCTCTGTTTGTAAGTTCATTTTAATCTTCATCCTCCAGAGCTTCCCTTGTAATAATTTTGGAGAAATCAGCAATGTCTTTTTCTGGGATTTTAGTAATGTTGAATAACTGATTTGCCACCTTCAAAAAAAATGTGCTGTCTAAACAACTCAACATAGTTCTTAATTTTGGAACTTTTTGTGAAGTGGACAAAAGTAAAACCAAATAATACTCAATTCAATCAAACACCAAATACTTTTTTTATCCCCTCAAAGAAAAAGCAACGGATTGCCACTTCATAAAAATAAAATAATCATGGAGTCAAATATCTGTGTTTTTACATATTATAGTTTTTTCTTTAGTATTGGTTTTTAAGGATGATTGTACAATTTCATCTCTTATTATTTCGTATTTTGTGCTTTTTTGGATAATGTCTTGTTATATGTGAAAGAAAATTTGATCGAATATATAAGGGTATTCTGGAGGGGTAAGCATTGCTATTATTTCGGTAATTGTTCGTTACCCTATTGAGATTATAGATATCATAATTGCTTGAAGATCGGTGAATGTCATTACTTGTATAAAATAAATTCGATGCAAAAAAAATAAGTCAAGAAAATATCTATCCACTGACAAGAAAAATTATCGTAGAAAACCTACAACAATTATGAATGTTGGATTTCGACTGGCTTAAACCGCACTAAATCCAGGGACGGGAATTACGTGGGTGTGGGCAGAGAGCCCCTAGCTTTCGCAGTTTAAACACAGTTTTTAATGCTTTTGTCGGTACATTTTGTCAGGTGTCGGCAAATTTACTTCTTCGAGGTTTTGACTCTATTCTCTACAGTTTTTCTCCTCTAAGATAACCATGGGCGTAAACCTTTATCCAGAAATATTCAAAACAGAGACTAGTTCACGTACAAGTTCAAATTTATATTTTTAGCTTGTTGCATAAAAGTTTTATCTAATCATAAATGTTACATTATCACGGAACCGCTTGGGATGGGTAGATAATTCTTTGTTCGTCCTGGAAAAAAATTTTTGTCTTACTGATGATTTCTCAAAATTATTTAAAGCTCATTGAAGGCGTGTTGAAAATTTGACATCCAAAAATTTGTATGTAACAAGCGAGCCAGCTCCAGCACGAAAGAAACGCTATATTCCGAGAAGTTATTAATAAAAGAATGGTTCAAAACAATATGCTTTTATTTAGCAGATCTGGCTGTATTTCAAAGCATATAAAAAACTTAGCCTAAGCTGTTTAAAAACACTCTGTTGTAAAATATGTAAAATAAGACAGATTCTAAAACATTCTGCGTTTGCAGACGCACAAAAGTTATTTCCATTAGGGGGTTACCATCTCACTGTCACTTCGAGCTTAATATCTTATTAAATTCAAAATATAATATCTTACCACACCAGAGCAGTCCGTGTTCAAAATATCAGCGGCAGAAAGAATGATGGATGTGGCAAGCAGCAGATAGTCTGCACCAAGTACCGAGACATCATGCCCATTGACCTCGTTCACTGTTAATTTGCACAACTTTTCCAGCATCTGCCTTCTCTTTAAGTAGAATGTGTCCAATAATTTCAAGGCAACCTCATGAATAAGTTTGACTTTTATGTTTGCATCATTGAGACCTGTGAGAATTAGGTATGTTCAAAGTAAGTGTTTTTGAGTACAGAATTGTGTGCTTTTGAGAAAAGGCAGTTAAATATAGTGTTCACTAGATTAACTACGTTTGAACTGCAAGGTAATGTGGAAAAAGAAACGATGGGCAATGGGAGAATGTATTTTTATTGCATTTCCTTATAGTAGCTTGATTAGCGCTTTAAAACAGTACTGTAGGATGGATGGAATGAGGGGGCGCTCGAAAGCAATAAGCACAAAAGGGGTTGTTCACTGCAAAAATAGGTTTGTGCCCCTCCCCCACCCCAAGAACAATAGTAGCTACAGCCCTGCAAAACTAAAATTTAATAAACGTTCCTAAATATGCCTCACTTACTAGTGCAGGCAGGCACCGCGCAGCCATTGGGCTAGCAGGGGCTATAGCTCCTCCACTTTTTTGCAATAATAGGTTAGAAAACTTTTTGGAAAGGTTACTCTAACTATGTTCTAACGCAACATTGAATCGTATACTCCTAAGGAGTAGCAGTTTTTCTTGACTGGGAACCCTTTCTGTTCATTTTCTAGGTGTTTTTCTTGATGTTTTATTATCCCCAAGCTAATTTTTTCTATCTTTTCAGCTATTGATATCTACTCTGAACCAGATTGTTTATAAAACCCTTGTAGAAATAAGCCAGTATTTTAGAAAAGAGGCGTTTTCTGGCGTCCTAGTAGGCATAGCCTCACAAAATTTTCTGTCACGCCCATTTCCCACATTTTTTAATATCATGGGACGAGACCAGTATTATCAAAACAGTGACATTGTCTGTCCCAGAGCATCGTGGTTAGTGCACAAATCAGCAAATTTTACGTTGCCAGCATGGATTTCTGTACCAAGAAAAACGTTTTTCGATTAAAGCTTTTCCTGAACTATGATCCTTTGACTTCTACAAATGCTAGCTAGCCATTCAAATTATCTCCTTCCTAACATTAGTAGAGTGGAAAATTACCCAGTTTTCAAATTTGAAGAAACCTATTCTTTTGATTAAAAGCGTCATAAGATAATTTTCTGTTTAGGAACGTAAATGGAACATGTGTGCCTGCTGATCGCATTAAGCATGAAACTCGGAGTAGCAACTTAGAACCGTCCTGTTCTAAACATTGAAAGCGTGTACAGCTCTGCCTATACGGCATCGAACACTTTATGACAGACCGGTAATAAGAAGTGATTTTTATTGATTTTGAACTTTACATTTATGGAAAGGACCGATACTTACCTAACACCTCTAAAAGTGTTTCGAGGAAAACCAGCGGTGTTGGCACAGATATGCGAAATTCAAGAGTCTTCAGCAATCTTATTTCAGATTTGATAACACTTGCAGTTGTATAATGGTACCCAAGAGATGCCAAAATCCTCTTTGCCTTGGATGGGCTTAAAGCCTGTGACAGGGAGAAGGGATATATACTCATTTGAATGTCTAAAAAATGAGCATATTATATCCCCAAGGGAAAAGAGAGGAAGAATAGTTTCCTAAGAGAGTCTCGTTTAATGTGCTTTCTGGAATTCTTTTCAGGCGACCCTAAGCAACACAGAATGATGGAAAAGTAAGGGTGTGGTGAACACATTCCATGATTATGGACCCTATGATATACATTTATTCGCCAAAACAAGTTTGAATAATACAGTAAAGACAATTACTCAAAAATGCAAAATCACATGCAAAGAAGCTGGAAAAGAGATCTCCTTGGAATACGTGCATAGATGTAGATTATAATACATCCTCTATAGCAAACAGATACCATAAAGCAAAACCCTCGAAGTGCCACATGGTGCGATTTTGAGCGCGCATGGGGTGTTTAAACGGGTACCTTTACGTGTAAGGTATAATACGCCCCCCTCCTGATTTCGTAGCCAATTTATAGACAGCTGGTGTATAGAAGCATCAGTCTTAAAGAAGGGCTTTCGTATATTGTAGTTCGTCGGACTCCATCATCTTTCGCTTTATTTTATCCTTACTTCATCATAGGAAATGAAAAGATGTTTCCAAAGACGGGATTCAATGCATTCAAATGAAACCAGATTTGTTGCTACAAGAAGACCTTGACTAAATCTTGAGACAAGAAATACGACGAATATGCTAAATGAAAACAAGACTATGCTATCTACAGCTATAATACAAAAAAATCAAACATCTTAACGACACCTTGTAATGTGAAGCCAACTTGCTAGATACTTGAATGCATGTGACAGCTCTCAGGGGTAACTGTTCCTTTACTCGTTGCTCCACATTGTTCCAGTCAGTTCGTCTATCTTTGCCTGATGAGTTTCTGACAGTCTCGTATAACTCTGATATATGCTTTCCCATGAACCTAAAATCAGCACCCATCTATCACACTTTTAGGCAAATGAAAGAATTCTAGGGTAATATCAAGCCATTTTTTAACAATAAATAATCGAAAGCAGAATGTGACCATATTCAAAATCTGGGTTTGTGGCAGTCATCAATTTAATTATTTTCCAAAAAAACTTATACGGGTTTAGCTGGAGGCTGGAGTATGTTTATTGACGCAGCTTTCCCGCTTATTGTTCCTAGGCGGTTCAGTTATAGAATAAATCCGGGGGGTGGCTGGGTAGGCTGTAGCCCCCCTACTTTTCGTTAAAGTATGATATCAAGGTTGTGGCATTGTGGCATCAAACATACTGGTGGCAAACTATGTAAGGAGCCCTCTCCACTTTTCTAGAGCCCCTCTCCCCCCCCCCACTCTAAAATGTGATCTGGCGTCCCTGTTGTTTTAATGCGCACTGAATGAAATCATGATTCAGTTCAGTAATAAAGTAACTAGCCAAATAGCTTTGGTAGCAAAATATATAACACACGTTTACCTGTCAAACAATTCAACTGCCACGAATCTTGTTACTGGTGGAAATCGGAGCTGCTGACAAAGTCGAAGTATGAATTCTGCAATTTAATGTCATTTATTATGAATGAATAGAACGTTAGAATGTTAGAATTACATTACAGAGTACCAGGCCAAGTCTCAAGACTAAAAAATTCGACTGCATAACCTTTTGCAGTTAGCATGGGCTCCGACAAACTTGGAAAATGGGGAGACAAGGGAAAATTTAACATCCATAACAAAAGATTTTGAAAAAAGCTCTATTGTTTTGCGAAAAGGGCGGCCATGCTGCCCCGGCCCCTCTTCGTTGGAGGTCCTTGTTGGGTCCTGTAATTATTGCGCTTACTGCTCTTTTTAAAATATTTTATGTGTCCTTGGATCATTTATTGCAAAATACAGTGACTTCAAAACTAAATATACGATACTCTGATAACGACTTACTTGGGAATCAGCATAAACAGGATAATAATAATAATGAGGAGCAGTAGTTTTTCATCTCAGAGCACTAACTTTCTATAAACAGCAAATTACTAAATGACCTTCACAGAACATTGAAAGGACGCCGAGAGGCTGAGTTTCTGCATTTTTTTTCAAAAGCTATGACACAAAAGCTCTTCTCAAAAGTAAAACTTAACCTACGGCGCTCTTTTTTCAAACTAAGCCATTTTTCAGGATGCTTGATTTTTTTTCTAAATAAGACTTATCATGCACGAAAACATAGTTTTTAATGTTAAAAATCAAATCACTATAAAAATTGCTTCACACCTCAAATATTCAACAGAAATTCATATCATACTATGCAATTGTTTGATATTTAAGGGTTAAAAGCAAAGAAATTTATTCATTTTCTTTGTGCGACAGTAAACATGACTTTGCGAAGATCTATTAAACTTTTTTACCAACTGGACTCCCTTCTTTGAAAAAACCAGAACATTCCGTTGCCGTCTCGATCAGGTGATCGTTTTCTTGCGCCAGTATGTTAAGAGATTCTTCAAGCACTTCTCTGGATAAACTAAATTCTTCATGATTAAACATCGGCTCTGACGGTGTCGCAAAAATTTTTGATATCATTTTCTTCTTAGTTGTTTTGGCCTAAAAAAGATGCTCTTAACACAGCTGACGAGAGACTGAATTACGCGCCAAAAAGTGGACTGGGGCAAGAGAAGACTCAGCATTTTGTCAGCAAAAGTTTCGACCGATCAACTAACAAATTTAGTTTAGAAGTTTTTGATTAAAAGATCAAGTTTAGAAGTTTGATAATAGTAAAGATTAGTCGTTTTGTCTAAAATTGGCTTGATGAAATCTATCTTTGCCAGAGTATCTTGTACAAATTACGATTTTTATTAACTTCTTATGAATTTGACTTATGAATTTCAACCATTGCTTTTGAATTTGACTGTTTATACAGGTTACAAGTGTTTTACAAAAACCACTGTATAGGGAAGCTATTGTAAATCAGTGGTGCCCGGCACAGCCCTCCTTGCTAAATTCAACGGAGATTTTAGCCTTAACAAGCCAGTGCATGCTTGGTTAGGCAAATTTCCTACCTGGCAACGTGATTAATCCTTTATCGTTCTATAACCGCTATAGGTTTTCATAAATGAGCAATTTTTATTTGCCTTTTACAGTCAGTAAATGATTTTAATCATTCAAATAGACAAGAGAGAAACGCTAACACAAATTAAGCATTAAGGGTGTGATTATGGGTGTGTTCTTGGGTGTGACTTCTAGAAGTTTCCTAGTGCACAGCCATCCCTCCCCCCTCCCTCTTCCGCACTATTTAGGACTGTACCCCTGCTCTTAATGTAGAAGGCCGAAACACTTAATAGGCCTTTACTACTATAGCAGGGAGGCAGGGAGATCATTATATCAAGAAGATTTTTCTCTTGTGTATTTTGTATTTAATTTTTCTTCTTTGTTTACGGCAACAGCTGCAACAACAACTCTACAACAACAATAACAATAAGACGTTGTTTTGGAGAGGGAGAAAAGAGGAAGATTTGAAGGGTAACGGCTTTACATTCAGGAAAGTAGCAAAATCCGCTTCTAAGAGAAAAGATCTTCCTACTTTGAACCAGTCAACTGATTTTTGTAGTAGAAGTTGACATTATTGGCAGGGTTTCCGAACACCTTCATCAAGCTAATACTAATTTTCTAGACTGTATGTAGCGGTATGTATTGTGTTAATCATTATGTTAATTGCTAATTGCTATCGAATCAAATTTTGGATTTCTTCTGTCACCAAAAATGTTATTTCTGTTAAATTTTTACTGAAGATTAATGCACTCAATGGTGTATCACACTGCTCTTTCTTCTTCATGAGTTGAATGGGTTACTCCCTTCCCGGCAGTTTCCAACGAGAGAGCAAAATTTCAGCGTGCAAGTGTTCACTTTGGTATAAGTGTGCAATTCAATTGTGCACCTTAGTGCCATGCGTACAATTATTATACTAGAGCCAAAGGAGCTCAATTAGGAAGCAAAAATGAACGAAAATAAGAAAATGCGCATGATTTATAGTTATTTTGTTAGCAAACCAGTGCAAGATTATGTCAATTTTGAGGAAGTTTATTACTTCATTTTCCCTAAGCGATAGGATGCCACACCCTTTACCCCTGGTAGGGGCATTTTAGAAAAACATTTAAGCTGTGGTCTGGCCCTCGAAATTAGAATTTTGGTCACTAACAAAGATCAATTTTGGTCAATAGGATGATCAAACTCAATTCTCTATGGCTACCTACATATTTAAAATGTCGTTTGGTGAAGTGCTACTTTGTCAGTGTCTCTTTGTGTTTGATCTCGGCCTTCATAAAGACAATTGAGGTTTTCAAGAAGCTTGTGTCAGAAAACTTGTGTCTAAAGCTACTCTAAATATTTCTGCCTCATCTTCTGCATGATCACCCTCTGCCTAAGTTATGCAACAGAATGACTTGATCACCTGTCATTTTAGTACTTGCTCCATGCTTGAGCCTCCCCCTACCGAATCTGCCATAAAAAGCTGGGTGCCTTTATATTCCCTCAATTGAGGTGTTATTATGGCTCCATTACCATTGGGATAAAACAATGTAACCCATTTATAAGCCACCCTTGATTTTAATCCACAGTAAAAAAAATTCATAGGCAGCATCTTAAATTCAAGTAATTATGTTTTGATTGCATTACAGAACACTCTTAAGCAATTGTCAAGGGACATCAATCATCCTCATGTATGATTTCCTATCAAAACATCACACAAGTCATTTCAAATGTTTCAAACATCATATGTTTCTTTGGGAGTGTTACCATATCATCACTAAAATCCCTGTTGAAATGAAAAGCACTATTTTTAAGAGTATAACATACATTCTTGAAGAAAATATTTCAAGAGAGTTTATGATAAAATTATAGTAGATCTAGATATGTCTCCAAGTACATAAAGAACTTGTTCAAGATACTCACAGTTCCCTCTCAGTATGAGGAAAATCATTTTAATTTCGAAGGGTGTAATGTGAGGCAAGACAAGTGATGAGTTTTTGACAGAAAATTTGCTTGTTCAAAATAAATACAAAAGGTCTTAAAATATTTTTCAGAAGTTCAATATCCAAAAGTTTTCTCATCTGAAAACTTTTACCTTAAATTTATGTTTGTTTCTCCTAATTCTTATCAATTACACAACTTTTTTATCTCGTGGTGGAATTCTCTTCATTCAGTAATTCAGAATAAAGACTTGCAAAGTTAGAAACAGGAAAACACAACTAATAACCTTATGGCTACAATTTTCTTAAAGAACAGAATGCAAATTTTTTGGAACAAACAAAATTTCCATGTACTTACCATGGCTAAATCTACTTTGATTAAAACAATTTACATACCTTATATTTTGTTATTAGTGGGATTTGAAATAGAAATAAGGACTCTTTTTTTAATGATAATTTTACAACATCAAATTAAAATAGAACCTGTCTTGCATAAGCTGCCTAGTGGTCCATTTTGAGTATCCATGGGCCTGCAGTGGCAAAGAATGAGTATAAGTATAAATATTTCTGAAACTAGATTTAAACTATAGTTCTAAGATTAACTTATGTAGACTCTCGCATCCAAGGTAGCTGTTGTGAGCATCATTATTTGTTCATACATTGAATCCTGTCACCTTCGTAGGTTTGGAAATTACTACCATTGCAGCAATTGTAAATTGGAGCAAGGGAGAATACAAAATGCCAAGAAAGATTAGGATTAGATTTGATCCGAGACGGAAAAGGGAGCAACAAAGAATGCATAACAGAGCTAGAAAAGAAAGAAAAGCTTTGGCTACTAACCGCTCAAGCTATCTAAAAAATGAGAGAAAGCGTTATGACACAAAAATTCGCGACATGATAAAGAAGATGATTGTCTTCCAAGAGAAAGAGGTATCAGAAATACCTCTAGAAATTGACGATCTACAAATTATTTTACCATTTTACAACGCTGTAGTGAAACGTTCCAAGCAGCCACTACCTAAAGAAAAGTGCTATTTCAAACTCCAAAGACTTTTCCTATTTGAGCAAAAGTCACAGGCAAGAGGACTACCAACTTTTGATGAAGATATAGCTCTTTTACTTGCATCACGTTGCATATTTAGAGAAGAGGAAGACACTTTAGAAACTCATCTAAGGAATTTAGCTAATGGTATTCCTGTTCAGATCGATAATTCGTTGTCTGAAGATGAATCTCAGCCAGTAGATTCAGCACAGGCAGACAAAGCCGAAGATGATGACAACTGTCAACCAAAGGGGACGGGAGAGCCAAAAAAGCCAGACGATGATGCCAACTGCACAACAAATGCGCCATCTGTAGATACAGACAAGCTTGAAAATGGTATTACTAGAGCTCCAAATGTATTCATAAAAACTGGCAAACCGAGAAAAACAGGTAAAAGTGTGCCACTTTGGAAGATGCAAGAAAACATGCAAAGGCTTAGAAAACAAGAAAGCTTAGCCAAAAGCTCCCTCGTGTCTGACTCGCAGGTTCCACCTGATCTCGTCAAAGTTTCATTACCATCAACGGGAACAATAGTCAGTAATGGATTTGTGCCTGGATCTATAAACTCTTGTCAGTACAGCCAATCAAATGTTTATAACACAGGAACGCCTCAAGCTTTTGGGAAACTGCTACCTACGTTTGGAACAGTTAACGGTCGAGCTGTTCCTTTAAACATGAATCAAATCATTACTGGGAAGTATTTCGACCAAGGAAATAGCTTTTCTATAGCACGTGAACGTGCTCTTAATGCATTTGGCAAGGCAATTGCACCCCAGAATCACAATGGACAGCATCCTAGGATGGAGGTAGAGAAAGTTGACACAAGTGCTCCTTCTTTTTCGCAAGGAGTGGCACGTGATATGATCCATGGAAAACGCAACTACGAAACGAAACTCCAAACAGAAAACGGTCCTGCTGCTGAAGCAGAAGCACTTGGAGCACACTTCAAGGTATTTTCACAATCAGTTTCGGAATCAAACGGTGTGCCAATGACCGCACGAAAATCAATTCGCGATAAATATCGTTACGTAAAAGTGGGACATAATTCTGCTGGTACAGAGCTATGTGTAAACAAAAAATTAAGTATACAAGCTAGCAACATGAATCTAACAACACATAAGACAAATTCCAATGATTTTGACCTTGAATATTCCAAAAAGCTGAATGCTCAGAGAATTAGTACAAATATTGATAGAAATGACACAAAACAAGCAAAACATTTTGCACAGGAAATAGAAAATGCCTCTAGTCCGTTGAGATCAATCAATTGTAATCCCACTGTTTCAAAAGTAATGAAAAAGCCAAATTTTCAAAACAGTGGTCCCGACATAACAGGAATTGGTGCAAGTATACCATACGTATTTAAAGACGCTGGCGATGATCGGTCAAAGTCGGCTAGAGCAAAAGAACAAGGGCATGAAACAAGAATACCGCAATATTTATTTATAGATAGACATGAATCTTTAACTGCACAACAAACACACCTTGAAAATCACGAAAACACGAATCCTCAGCAAGATCTTAGCAGATGTTTCATTAGAACAGAAGAACAAAGAAGTGAAAAAAGAGCCTCAGGGTTTAAATCTTTCGAAATAATCAATCCGTCACTTACTGAGCCGAAACCATTCCGCGACAAAGATGAAATTGTCCATACTGGAAATGATCAGGATATTGGAAAGAAAGCAACTCGAAATGATATAAAACCACAACAGTTTTTGTTGAGAAATGACAGCAATTTAAATGAAGATGCAAGTGGCAATTATAAAGATGACAGTGGAAAAGAATCAGCTGAAAATGGGACAAAAGTGCCACCGTTGATACATGAAGAAATACCAGGAGATGTGCCACAGATATTTTTGGAAGAGTTTTATGGTGTAAAAGTGGACCAGAGAACATCAAGCGTGTCTTGTAGTACAGAAAAAGCTGAGAATGGCAAGGCAGCATTAGAGCATTTATCAAGAGAAGAGAAAGACTTCCTAACTAAAGAATATGATGCTGATGATGAAAGTGAAATGTCAGAAGATGTGCCGGAAATATTTCTGGTAGAGTTTTGCGGTGTAGTTGTAGACCAGACAAATACAAGAGAGTCTCGTAGTACCCAAAAATCTGAAAATAGCACGACAGTAAAAGAGCATTTATTAAGAGATGAGAAAGACTTCCTAACTTATGAATATGATGCTGATAATGAAAGTGAGCTCGATGAAGATAACAATGGTGCATGTGGATTACCTGCAAATAAATATGTTCCAAAGTGTGACAAAAAGACACCTAGTTCTTTTGATGCTGTACGACTAGACGAGCAATTTTCTGCGTCAAATGGAAACGTAAATTAAGTTTGCTTTACCAAGGTACCACTTTTGAATACAAAAACTTCTGAACCACTATTCATTGCTGAAGAAGATTCGAAAACTTTGGAAAACGCGAACCACACCTATTCAGACCATAAGGAAGTTAGCCAAGCCCGTAAGAAAACGACAGTGATTGACTCCAGATTAACACAATTTACCAGGTTCTCAGCCATATCACAGGTAGAAGGGCCCAGGAATGGGCAGACTGAAATCTTAGAGCCCATGCGTGGATTACAACCTTTTTTTAGAACTGTCCCATCCAACGAAATTTACCCACCTATCTATCACTCAGCACCGTATTATTACATTGTCACATATGCTCCAGTATGATATAATGAATTGCTCATAGAATGCCATATAGAATGTAAGTTTTTTAATATCTTATGATTCCCTTTTCAAGAAAGATTTTATAACTAAATGCGATGTTTTTATTTTCTATTAATATGAAGAGCCACATTTCTCTTATATGTTGGTTGTACTTTTTCTGCCTAATGCGTAAATATTAGCCTCGCAAGAAACGAAAGGCTAGTTCATTTAACACCTTTAGACTGTTAACGTCTTTCTGATACTCTTTCTAGTAAAAACTGTATCGTAAACGTGCAAATCTTAGCTTAAGGCAACGATGCGTCATGTCTCCTTAATTATTCGTTAACATTGCTGATCATATCAGTGGAATAATCCTCGTGTACTGATTTCTTCTTTTTCTGACAATTCTAATAGTAGATACATCACGAAATGTGAAGTTTAAAAATGATACCTATACAAGAATTGAAATAGGTCAATCATAAATTGGAGCACACGACAAGTATGCCCAATCTGTGCTGAATTCCTTTACAGAAAATTAAAACCGGAGTCCAATTATTGAAATCAACTCCTCTTGTGTATAAAGTCTCTGCTGTAAGCATGATATTTGTAGACATTTCAAAGTTGTCTGACATGTCTGAAAGTATTTATCGCTCGTACATAAATTCATACTATGATCAACCAGATCGGGTGTAAAATGCTTATCAGCATCAAGCATAGGGTGTAATTGAGACTTCTATAAGCAGATCAGGGTGAAGGGATGAACGTCTAGTCTGTTTTTATGTATTTAGTCTAATGAGTTCGTAGATTGCTGCAAGTGAGCCGTTTTACTTGTCTATTTTATGAAATTATTTTGTTCGTTCCATCGCCATCGTTTTATGAAATAATAGATTAGGATTGGAACCTAGTAATTAAAAAGGCCGTTTGGATTATCGTTATTGCATACTGATTTAAGGAGAGTGAGTATAATTTTGCGGTTTATCCTTTAGTGATGATGTGCTAATACAAACCGGTACATCTGGCGACCCTGTAATAACATAGCAAAGGTGTACCGTGACAACCTCAAATAAATTTTGTACACAATAAATGGGTGCTATGCGAATTCCATAGGAAAAATAAACGTATTTTAAGGCAAATGGGGAAATACTAAATTTAAGTAAGTTCGAAGTAATTGTTAAAGAAATGGAGGTAAGGTAACCAACAGCAGGCACCGCGGAGCAGGGGGCCCACTTTTTCCAAAAATGCCAAATATTTAGTATCAAACTACCAGAAAAGCCTCTTTTTATACGGTTTTAGCCCCCCCCCACTTTTTTAGCCCCCCCATATTTCTTAACGCTCCACGGTGCCTGAACAGAGAAGTGAATTTATACAAGACGCTATAAATCGAGCTACTGAAGTACTTTAAATACACAAATGCAATAATCTCGAGCATCAGGCAAGGACGCTGCAGCATGCATGGGACCAGCATTGGCATCATATTTTCTGCTACTTTCTGCTCAGGCATCCCTATCTCTGGTTACAGGGGACGATGAAAGTGAAAAAAATTACGATAAGTCAAAAAAGATCGCTGCTTTCTTAAGCTTCTAGACTGTTTGAATTTAGATGAGAGATTTTCAAAGTTTCATTCAGTATTAGACCTAAGTATTTTGATAGGGCTCAGTAAAGTTTATACTTGGAGAAGTTTTGGAAAATGTTGAAGTGTGTTATTGGGGGGCTTCACTAAGTGAAAAGTGCTCGAAAAAGACTGCTTGACGCTACGAATGAGGAATGAGGATTTCCCAGGGATTTTCGGGAACAAGGGAACATGGCAACAAATGGTACAGGGACACGGGAACAACTTAAATTTCCCTCTAGGAACATTGGAACATTATTACTAGTTTAAGGGAAGAAGGGAGCATTTTTTCTATTTTTAAACGGGAACACGGAAACATTGGCTGTTTTTCTCAAAGGGAACACGGGAACAAGTACCTCCCTCCCCACTGGGAGACCCTCACGAATGCTTTTGGCTGGAAATGACCTTATAATATAAGAAACTGCCTACCAGCCCCCGACCTTAGATTCTTATATCTTATAAAAAATGTATCCTGCAGAGGTTTCACCCTTTTCAGATGGAAAATACAATCCACTTGGCCATTGTCAGTACCCAACAACAACAACCTGAATGGACAGAAAATATTCTGTTGAAAAACTAGAGGGAGGAGGTTGTCAAGTCACTAGGAAGATCTAGGAAGTGGTCAGTGAGTGAGATTTCCACAAAAAGAAAATACAGTTAAAGTGTGTATCTCAGTGGCTCTACCAAGATCCCAACTTCAGGAAGATATCTTGTGACTTCTAATTTGATCGATTTATTTCCGTAGTCGAAGCAGCATCATGGCGAGGGACTACGATCATCTCTTCAAGCTACTCATTATAGGCGACAGTGGTACGTTGCTCTTCATTTTTGCTCCATTTTTTCGCGAATGCAAAAAATTCCTTGATTGCTGTCAACATTTTGCTTGCAGTTAAACGAGACATCTAACGTTTTGTTGCACAAATTAACTGTGAAGGATAGTATTTAAAGAGCATTCCATTGTTCTAAAGACAATTTCAAACCCTATTCAACTGGAATTTTCATTGAGCTGCCTGGTGACAAAAGGGAATTTTAACATGATTGGTTGCATATTAATAGATTTATAGGTTAGCCAGTTTTATATCCGTTCATTCCTTTTAACTGACAACGTGAGCTGTCAGTAATAAAATGGTATATCTGTTTAACAATATGTTACATAAATATTTAAGGGTTAGCTGGAAATATTCAGTTATTTTTTACTTGAAAAATATTGTAGGTGAGATCATGATGTTATGGAGGCAAGTATTGCTTTTTGTGGTGAAGGCTAATACCCCCTAAAGCATATCCATTATTTTAAGTTTCAAAATTTTAATTTTGAGACGTTGTGCTGGATGTTAGGTCTGCATCAACCAAGTTAAAAAAAATTCAGTAAATATCTATAAACCACACCCATATTTTGGATGTGCAAGAGTGCACTGGTAATTTTACAGAAGTTTATGGGGAATGCAGCTGCCATGGAACCCATACTGGTACCCTATTAGCCCGCTTAAAAGTGCATGTGCTTCTAAACAGAAATTCGTGATTTTGCCTTTTTAAACTTCCTATGGATCCAAATCATTATCAATGATCATTAATTCTTTATTCGATTGTTCTTCATTGTCATAATCATGTCAGTTAATACAGAAAAGGTTAATTTAAAGAAATTGAAAATGCAAGGACGGATGTAAACATTATCAAAGAGAGAATAGATTGTCATATCACTGTTTCTTGTTTTTCTTCACTTTTCTTGCAAAATTGGTAAGATTAAAATAATATACTTATAAATGAATAAAAATAAAAATGAATTCTGGACAATCAAAAATAGTTAAGAATCCTCAGTACTTGAAGCGAAAAATTTTGTAAAAGTTGATTAATATATTTGGCTGTCTAGCATGAAACTTTAGACTCAGAGAATTAAAATATGCTTCCCTTATCTAAATACTGCATTAGAGCAGAAGCGAGTCTTATGACAGAAATGTCATCTGAGAACTATACAAATATTGACACTCCTGTGAAAGCCCTTTCCAACAAAATTTTGTTTTCTATCATTAAAAGTTGACTATAGGACCATTTTTGACATCATAATTATGAAACTCTTAAGAAACAATGAATATTTGAATTTCCTATAGCCTGATAACCAGCTCATTATTCTAAAGGAATAAGTGGTCTGTTAAATGCCACTCAAAAGCTTGTTAAGCGATCTCGGTTCCATACAAAATTCAAGAAAAACGGTAGAAATTTATGCACATAATTATGACATCCAAATTGCATGTTGTTCTCTCATTTAATGGATGTCTATCACGTGAAGTAAACTTGATGGTCTTAGGATGTCAGAATCCATTTGTGTTTCTGTTTTGCATCTTGGGAAAGTTGAGTGAACGCAATAAGAAAATAAACTCTTTGAAAACAAAATTGAAAGAGTTGGATGAGGCTCTGGAAATAAGTTATGACCCATTGTGTGCTAATGAAAAATTGAGTGTTTTTTATTATTAAGGAAACATCTTTCCGTTTATGTATGCCTTATGTATTGCTGTCTGCTGAATGATTTATTGGATATAAGATGGTTGATAAAATTGATGAAGGTATTTACGCAAGTAGCTACATGGATAATACTCTTTTTCAACTCTTTTTCTGAAGAATTATTTATAACCCTATTTTTCTTCCCTAGGAGTTGGGAAAAGTAGTATCTTACTGCGTTTTGCAGACAATATGTTCTCAGGTGAGATTTGCTAATAAATTGTGCTAATTCTTTGTAAATTCTGCTAATTCTTATGGCTAAATCTCAATGCGTAGAAAATTTGAAATTCATCACAGGTGTGCAACATGACAAAAAATTGGCTTGATATCATGGCAACTCATTGCTATGACAACAACCACTTCTCGTCAATTAGTTGATTAAAAGCTGTTGGTGTGTCTGACAGATTTCCTATACCTGTTTTGGATTCCTGATACATAAATTAGTCAAATAATATGAGTTTTACATAAAGATAGTAAATAGAAGACCTTATCTAGTATATTTAACATCAGGCTTAAATTCCAAATGACAGACAATCGAAAAAATGCTGAGAATCAGCAAAAATTTAAATTGCTCTATTTTTAGAATGACAGAGGATTTCGAGGTAAAATTTTGTATGTGTGTTTATCCACTTTTCTGCCAAAATGAGCAAAGTCTGAGACTTTGGGTTACATACCTGTCCTCCTTTGATATGGAATGATCCTATATCAACAAAAAATGGCACTTCAAGTAAAGAAAACTGTTTGCCATGTCATAAGTAGTTCTCATAAGCTTGATCAGCCTGGGGAATGTTTAAAGTTTTGGACAGTTTTGTATGATTTATGAAATTATAAGAACTTAAGACAGGGAGAGATAGAAGACAGATGCTAAAGGGTGCACCATCATCCTTTGTTAATTGCAGGGACTGAGGTCATTATGATGATGATAAAGCAATCCACAAATACTTATCTTAAATTTTTTGTTGAAAGTTACTAAATCTAGATATAAATGAAAAATGTTTGTTTTTTTATGTCAGAACTGACAAGATAGTTTCTTAGAAAGAACCTAAAAAACCTAATGAAATGTATGTGTAACCACTACTGAATGATTTGGCTTAAAGCCTAGACTGCATGAAGCAAGAAACTATTCTTCTCATATAGGCACCATATTCAAATGTACTATATACACACTATGTTATCTCTTAGGATCACAACATTAGGTCAAATAATTTAAACATAGATGGCATGCATTAGATCAAAACCAAGCAAGTTACAGTTACACAAATGTTAGCAACACAGCAGTATCATGAACCGTATCAGCAACAGATTCAATGAAAAAGAATCAAACTTAATTTAGCAATGATAACAGAAAAATGCAAATCCTTAATCTGGTAAAAATAATTTATTTCAGGGACATATATAACAACAATTGGAGTCGACTTTAAAATCAGAACAGTAAATGTAGATGGTGAAAAAATTAAATTGCAAATATGGGATACAGCTGGTCAAGAAAGGTTCAAAACTATCACTACAAGGTAATATGTCCCCTTGTTTTATTTACAAGGGATGTAATGTTGCAGGTATTGCAGGTTTTGTCAATTGATTATTATTATTGAATTGCATTCAATGATAGCAGAATAAAGACAGGCCCCTGCAAAATGACCAAGTCAGGCATGTTGTAGCTCCAACAAGATCCATTATTAATCAACAAATTTCAGATTTTAATTCTCTACTCACTAAGATTTTTCTTCTCTATTTTGTGATCAGAATAATTTTTTAAGAGAATAAAAAAATTGTTCTTTATCCCCCCTTAATCTTATGAGCAAAAAGATATTAAGTGTTTGCTTATTTAGTTCTAATCTATGATAATATCAAATTATTGTGATATATATTTCTATTGTGATATAGCTTATCAAACAGATGTGATATTTATGTTGTATCTTGGAATTTGAAACTCTTATACAAAATTGCATTTCATGCAATTATGTTTTACTCAAAATATTTTTTCTGAAAGTTTGATTGTCTAAGATTATTAAATTTTGACATAGAAAGTAAAATTAAGACCTTGGCTGATTTTTGCTAGCAAAATTAAGAAATCGAATACATTCTAGCTACTACAGAGGAACTCATGGAGTCATTGTTGTTTATGATGTAACAAGTGCACAATCATTTCTAAGTGTAAAGAACTGGATGGAGGAGATACAGAAAAACTGTGATACAGTTAGCAAAGTCTTAGGTAAGTCAGAATTATCATCAGCATCACTAAAAGCATTACCATCAAGTTTTTTATGTCAAATTGTTTGAATAATAAGAGCAACTCTTGTCAATGCAGACTATGAGGGCACTACTTGGTGGCTAGGGGATGGGATGAAGAAGGCTATTGCCTCTCTGTTAAGAGGGTGTTATTTTTCATAGACTGCAGAGTTCATGGAGAAAAAATGCAGTGAATCTAGTATTCCATTGGTGGTTTTGAAATTTGAAGTTTCTTAAATATACAGTGAAATTTATGTTGCTAAAGCAGGAGAAGTGATCAGCAACTTTAGCAATCATGCTTATATTCATATTTATACATCCATATTTTAAAACTCTTTCAAAAAGATATTGCCCATATTTCAAAAAGATGTAATATGAAAATGCCCTATTACCATCAAGGAATACCAATTTTACCAACAGTGAGCAACCATGACTAACTTTAGGTTATGTAAAGTTAAGTTCAAAATCAAAGAATCGCATCATTTTGCCATATTATCACCCTTCAAATTTTGACAATAGAAGAAACCAATCCTACAGAATACTAGGGGAATTTCTAGGAATACTCTGTCTTAAACCCCCACTCCAACACTGCATAACACCCATTTTTATAAGTTTGTGCAATGGAATATATCATGTTTGTCTTCTCATCTTGACAAACAGGAGTGGGTCCTGATCACAGTTACATATATTTATATTTATTATCTTGCATCAGTTGGTTTTTAAACTACAAAGGTGACTATCTTGGAACTGAAAATAGGATAATGAAACTGATCCAATTTTGACTAATTATCTTGTATGCAATAAATACCTACCTTGCTGATTGTTGAGGAATAATTTTTAGCAATTGTTAATTATTGCTATTTTCATGCAGTTGGAAATAAGGATGATTGTCCAGAACTAAAGGTTGTAGAAACAGGAGATGCTGAAAAGCTTGCAGAGAAAATGAATGTTCAGCTTTTTGAGACAAGTGCGAAAGAAAACCAAAATATTGAAGAGGTATGCATTCTGTTATGATAAAGGAAAGATGTTTGAAAAAGCTTAACAGGATTAGCTTGTTATTCACAATATTTTGTTGCCAGACTTTTTCAAAGAAATTTTCCTAGACAGTGTTTTAAATGATATACAGGAACAAAGCAATACGACGACGAGAATCCAATGTCACGAAATAAAATTTTCAAAATAAATTAATATACTAATATACTAATATACTAAAGAATATACTAATATTTCGCCCCGGCATACAGTGCTTCATCAGAGTAAATGAAACGAACGAGTGAATGGATTTGAAAAAATGGTGTTTTAAATGTTTTAAATGTTTGGAAGGATTATGCAGGCAAAACAGGGGCACCTCTATGAGGTGCAAATAGGTACTTTACTTCAGTTTATGCAAGTCAGGGAGTGTGTGCCCCCTAGTTTCTATATCTATGAACATTTGATAGGCCATAAAAGCTCTATTAAGTCCCTTCTGTCTTTTAAGCCTCTCTCTATTAAGCCCCCTCTTAAGCCTCGGTGTCAAACAAGAAAACATGTGCATTAATTGGGTCCCTTGTCTAGTGTAATGATGATAAGATTATGTGCATTAAATACAGCCCCTGTAAATGTTTACTTGTGTGCCTTAGAAGTCAGTCAAAGTTTGTTTAGAAAATGTCCCAGGGGATATCAATTGATTCTGATGGCCCCAAGGAAGATTAGCCTGCGTGCCAGGGTCTTGAGCACAGGCTAAGGCAGATAAGAACTGTGCGACAATATAATTCATTGATTTAAAGAAATTTGAGAAGCTGCTTCGTGGGCTTCAATACAGGTTTAAAAGTGGAGGGGGGCAAAGAAAATTTAGCACCCACAACAAACAATTTTAGAAAAGCTCTATTGTTTTGCAACAAAGTGGCCATTGCCCTATGCTAGCAAAGTTTTTGAGAACATTTGTATGACATTTTCATTACATAATGGCATTTTTATAACATTTTTTACATTGCATTATTAATAAGCCCCCCTCTCAAATAAACACATCTTTTTTAAGTCCCCCTCTAGGACTGAAAAAAACAAATAAGCCCCCCCCCCCAGGGCCTTAATAGAGCTTTTACAGTACCTCTTTTTATTTCCTGTATAAAGGACAGAATGTTTGCCCTATTAACTGTGTAGGATTTTTTCTTATTGCAAAAGCTTTATTATTTGAACCTAATCAGCATTTAAGTTTCAGCTTGCAAAACTTTTAAAACTTCATATTGTTCAAAGAATATTGAAAGTTACAAAGGCCTTTAAAACAATAAGCTTGTTTGTTGAGAGGATTTTGTGGTAAATGAATGTCATGGCTTTAAACCAAGAATGTTGAAATTATTTAGGACTCACAAGGGGGAGGTCAACTGTTCTCTCCCTTAGGATTGATTTTGAAATTTGTCTTTAAATGATTGAAGTGATTCTGAAAAAAGTATTGCTTAATCAAGGTTTACTTTGCTTGCCCCAGGCCTTTTCCTGGGAAAGCTCACTTTACCCTACAGGTAAGCAACCAAAAGTTTTTGGTAGTAATGAATTATCCTGCTGCTTAAAATGTTGTAGGTTTCAATTTCAAAATAGAACACTGGTTGATTTTAGTGAACTATCTTTAGTTCTATATTTGATATTTCATGTTGTGGATCTTTTGTTTATAATTATCTAAAATTCTTGTTACTTTGACTCTCAATTCATGTTTTAAGGTCTTTGATTGCATAACAAAGCTTGTTCTTGTAACCAAGAAAGCTCAGCAGCAAAAGGCTAACGAAGACAGGAGTCAGGGTGGAATTAGTCTTGACAAAAGTAGCAAAAAGAAGAAGAAGGGCATGTGTTAGTGTTTATTGTTGAAGGCGGTTATATGTTTTAAAAACATTTAGCTTTTTGTGTCTTCCATTCAGTTTTAAACTAGGTAGAAACTCCTATTATTTGCAATCCTATCAAGTTTGAACTTTCTATCTTTTATTTATAGAAGTATATTGTAGCAGGAAAAATGCAAATCAATAAAAAACATTAAAAAGTAATGGCATTTGAAAAAGAAGTACATTCTTTAAAACAATTATACATTTATAAATATGTTCATATGGAAATGAGATTAATTTAAATTTCCCCTGCCACATAGAGCTTTATTAGTGTGCCGGCGCTAAAGCGATATATATTAGATTTTATTTCCGAATATGCATAGGCATAGCGGATGGTAAACCTTCAGGAGGGCTTACTATGGATCTTACCCGAATGCTATTGCTTTATTTAGATAGATCTGCCCGCACGGAGCCTGAATTTTGCTTAATAGGGGGCTGCACTGCAGCCTTACCTGCCCCCATGTCTCCCATGCCTATGGAAAACAGGAATTTTGTCATCACATTGGCCCTGCTAAGACATATTTGTGTATATATATATATTTGATCGCAATATCTACGTGACAGACCGGTAAATGCAGCCTTTTTTTTTCTTTCTAGCACATTACCAATAACTCTTTAAATTAACATTTTATTCGATGTTTGTAGAGGCAGTCAGTTTTCTTGAGCATAACTTTGTAATATATTGATATTTGAGTATTTATAGTAATGATGATTGTAGATAAATTGGTATTCTGATAGAAATATCTAATCTTCAGTAAATGTTTTTGAGTGGACAGCAGGCGTCAGGCAAAATGGCGAGCTCTTTGTAGAATTTATTATTTAGACATTAATGAACAAGCTTTAGAATTGATAAATAATTAATTTTGCGACATAATTTCTATCGGTAATTATCTTTTCCCAGTCTTGATGTTGCCCAAATAATCAGCCTCCTCAGCATTCAAATAAGTGATATGTTTTCTTTATCAAACAAAGACTGCAAACACTTTAATCAGGTATTGTTTTATATTCTTGATTGAAGAATTTGGTCGATGAGCGAGTTAAAACTATCTTTAATATAGCGAGATATAGGGAGATGTTTATGTAAAGGCAGCCGTTAGTCAAGAGAGAATGCCTATCATAAGTAATTTTGCTGTTTGAAGAACGCATCCAGTTTTTGAATATTTTGATCCTCTTAAATATTATAATTTTTTATCCGAATAAAAATTACAAGGACATACGGAAGTCGCAAAATGATGCCGCAGGGAGCATGGAAATACGTAGCAGAAAACACATAAAACACAAGTGAGGAGATTTTCAACAACAGCTTCGAAATCGCTCTGAGGCACGAAATCGCTCTGAGGCACGAATCAAGTGATGTTAAAATTCTAGTTTAGATTTGTTATGCGGACTAGACTTATTTTCATTAGGACTAGTTTGGTTTTCGTTTCTGTAACATTTCTTATATTTTCCATGGGCTCCGACACAGGTTGAAAAGTGGGGGAGCCAAGGGAAAATTTAACACCCATAACAAAAGGTTTTGAAAAAACTTTATTGTTTTGCAAAAAAGTGGGGGGGGCCAAGGCCCCCCCGGCCCCCCCCCTTCGTCGGAGGCCCTGTTTTCTCATTTCTTTCCAATGCTTTAACCAAAGATAATCTTCATCTGGCTAAAGAAAATAAATCTGTCTCTTCAACGCCTTTTATAAAAAAATGGCTTTATCGTCAAGAGCGATCATTATCTAACTTTCACCGTCAAAATTTCCTTGTTTCCTTTTCAGATGAACATATCCATGAAAGTTTTCATTTTTCTCAAGCATAAAAGTTGAAATAATTTGTATTTCGATTGATTTGTACGTCAATGCGTTGGGATTACACCGTAACGAAAGGAGCCTAAGCACAATGTATAGAGGGATGTAGCAGGAAAACGAATTCAAGGTACAAAAGCAAGGCAGAAGACCTGTTTAGTATAGATAGAAAGAAACCAAAAGGGTCTACATGGACCCGGAATAATAAATAAAGAGAGGAGAAGCAGGGAGAAAGAGTTTTTAATCATATGAATAATGGGAGGAGATGATTAGAAGAATCATAAGAAATAGTACGAACCATATACCTAATATATTGTTTAGTGAGTGTTTTTAAACTACCAAATCGCTGTTTTGACCCTATCAGCTTTTAATAAGCTCTCAAAAATTAAGAAGTCATCTTTATGCAAACTATGTGAAATTGATTTGCAGGCCAGAGATTAAAGAATCCATATGTTTTGGTGTCATCATAAAACGATCTTCTGTTTACTCGTAAAAAGCCTTCAAAGTTGGAAGCTTGTCAGGATGAAAATATTGATCGAGCTCCTATGATTCTAACAGTTGGCATTCTACCTATACAGTCATGTGCTCGTGTTTCTGATTGGCCTATTTCGATCCACAACTGGGTATATATATTTCTTAGCTTAGAGTTTTCGATCTATGTTCTGACGTTTTAAACTCTGAAGAGTGTCAGACGAAAAGCTTTAGTTTACTAAATGTTTGCTTTATTCAAAGCCATTTACAAGTTTTGTATAATTTGCATAAATGAAAACAAAAATTGTTCATATATGACCAAAAAAAGATTTTTTGATATTTCCATTCTGATCATTTTTTTTATTATTTAGGCACAGTAGCCCCTTCAATCTGTTACAATTGCTTCTCAGGGGGCAATGCTAAAAGTTACAAATAAAAGAAAAATACACGTATGTAGAAGTAGACAAATTATGTTATTCTTTATGTTTACATGTTAAGTTTTTATAGAGGTTTTTGTAAAGTTAAAAGTTGCTCACATGTTTCACGCTTAATGCTATTTCATGCAACTGTATTTGGTTTAAGATGGTAGTAAGTAAGCAAGAGGCTAGAAAATCTGCAGGTGTGGCTTTCCAGGTATCTAAAGGTTTAACAATAATACAGTTAGCAAATAAATTTAGTACCAGAATGAAAATGTAATAGTTTGATTGTTAAAAACACAATACTGTATTATCGTTATTCTGGATGAAGTACCACACGCAACGTACATATTTCATATCATAAGGTTTGCTGACAAAGGGACATTAATACCATTTTAGAGCTGGCTTTGGAAAACGTTTTGTTGTGTTATATGTATTGATTGGTATTAGTTTTTATAATAGGAAATGAGAATAAATATTTAGACCAACATAAGGCAACATGAAACCATTAAAGGAAACAGGTTTTCGACAAATTTTTGAACTGCTCAGCTCATCTCAACTGATCCTGGAAGGAAGTTTTCCCCTCGGAAACTCTCTGATCTAATACCAGTATTTGTAGGCCTGTTTTTAATATTTCAAGATAATTTTTCTGTCGAATGTTGTAACTATGTACAAAATAGTCTTTCACAAAGAAGAATTAAGATTGTTTTGTGTTCTACATACTTTAAGTGTCAACATTTATTGAATATTTATCTAGCTGAATGGCGCAGCCATTTTAGGGACTGCGGGGCCCAGGGCCAAAGACATCTGTTCGTTACAATTTTTTTCTTAGGGGCGTGATCCCTTCTGGCCACCAAAATCGTGGGGCCTTGAGCCCAGGCCCCCTAGACCCCTCTTAAGCTGCCAATGCCGAATGGAAGTTTTTTTCGAGTTAGCAAATACTTATATGTAAGAAGGCAAATTGTCGGAGTAAACTAGCAAAAGTGGCTCAGCTAGGCCTTCCAGACTTTAGGGATGAAGATCCACGAAGAGTAAAACTTATCTGAATAAAAATTTGGTTGACGCTCGGCAATTTTAAACACCAACTAACGATCTCGTGGACCAAAAAAGGATTTATTGACCAACTGAACTGATGAAAAAAAAATTTAAAGTCCACCGTTAGCTCCGCCTCTATCTTCTCTTCAATTATATCTATCTTATCCTTGAGTTTAATTATTTAATTGTAATGTCATTAACTTTAACATTCAGCATTCTATATTTGATTTTTCATGCTAAGAAATTTCCCAACAGAAAATATTTTGGGAGGGTTTCACTGCTGCAAACAAAGATAATGTCGATGTTTCTACAAATGTTCACGACATTGCTGTGAAAGGATTTGCCTTCATTCTAATTCTGTACTGAAAGGGGGAAGTACACTTTCATTCTCTTATATCTAAATTTTTATGACAGCCAGTCAATCATATCGGTGAATTTTAAGGAAATTCCTGAGTTCTTTTTTTTCAAATTTCACTAATTTCTTAAATTGTTTGATTCGAGTACTGAAGTTCTTACTGTTTCCAACTGCCCCTATACTCGTTTCTTAAAAGGGAAGTTCTTATAAAAAAATGTGTGTACTCTTCTTATCATATGTAACTTAACGTAGGCACTGCGGAGCCGGGGGATTTGGGGGGCTTCTTTAGCCAGAAATGTAAAATATTAAGAAATGAACCACCAGTGACACCGCTTTTTGTTCAGTTTTACAACCCTCCCCCATTTTTTTAGACGCTCCGCGGTGCCTGTAAAGTCAAGGCTGGAATTGTAAAAATGGGCATTTCTATCATTTTCTAGGCACCTGAAGGGTATGGCACCAAAATCCAATCATAATCTTACACCCCCTCATACTTCCCTCTAAATCCGTCCCATTGAAAGAGCACCAAGCATTGTATTTTGCAGGCCGCACTACAGGGAGTGCGTGTTGCGTACCAAAACACTAAAACCCCTCTCTCGTGCCCTTGTGTTTGAATCCGACAATGCGATTGAGGTGAATCATTCAATCTTGGTAACTGAAGGGAGGAGCTGGTTGGCAGTAGGAAGTGAGACTTTTTGCACCGATAGCATGGATTAAAGCCAGAGTATCAGAGGCAATAATTGCGAAACAATTTGCGAAGAAAAAGAGCGTAAAAGGATTTATATTTTCTGATAGCTCTTTATTAATCGCATTTATTTTTATCGACGTTAACCATGGCGAGGGACTACGACCATCTCTTCAAGCTTCTGATTATCGGCGATAGTGGTATGTATAAAGTGGCATTAAGTGACTCATTTGCTTTGTTGGCGTCAAACTTCAGCTTAATAAGTCATTTCCTGTAAAAAATGCTTGAACACATGTTTATCTCTTTGCTTCAAATCTGATCCTAAACTGAAACATAGCTTTTTCTGTATTATTATCTTCAAACAAACGGGTGACCTGGAGTCGATGTTTCCATATTTAGGCCTTATATAATTACGCATTAACGTAAAGTTGAAAATAGCTGTTTTGACATTACTTGTATAAAATTTAGAACCAGCGCTTGTTGTGTTGCAGCACAGAAGTTTCAAATTTTTGCTTCAATGCTCATTGGCTTGTAATAATTTCCAATTGCCTTGATATCAGTTGGCAACCGATCTGGTCAGAATTAATCACATGGATTCTAGTGTCATCGTTTGGCAACCAAAGTTTGCGGTAGTGTTGCCCCCAAAAGAATCTAAATCCAGTCAGTTAACTGTTAAAAACTACAATGCTTTCACTATTAAACAACAGAAGTTGAGAAGTTTCATAGATCCCAGTCCTCCAATTTCCATCTAGAAAAGTTTTCTTCATTTTGCAGAAAAGGTCACTGCAGTCCAAGTTTCAAAAACTGCCACCAACCTCTATTTAATTGTAAGGATCCAAACTTGTGTGCGTTGGTGTGGTGATGACTTTGATAGACAGCAAGATAAAATCAAAACTACAATCCTTGATAAAACACCAAATTTGGGTATACTTATGAAAGGGCTTTAAATAATCCTTATTAAAAATATCCTGATAATTTTTCCTTTTACAAATCTCCTATTATGAGACACCAACTAAAAAGGTGTTACATAGAAATGTCTCATAAACAGACTTGCTGGAAAGATTTCTATTCAAAGAAAGATTTCTATTAAAGTAAATATTTGGGCAGAGGCCTTCTACAGCTTTTAAACAAGTTGTTAATGTTTCAGATTGTTCCCTGTTAAATGTTACCAAAAAAACTCAAAAAAACTCCCCAGCACACAGAACCAATTTGTCTCAATATTTGTAAATAAGGCTCTGTAAAATAATTGGTGCCTAATTTTGCATAGACAGTCACTGTAAATTTCAAGCAAAGACTGTATCACATAGTTAACCATGATTTCTAATGTCATTGTTGTTGTGGTCATGTTGACCATATCTCCTACTGATTAAGTATGGAACAAGGAAATGCCCTTGTTTGCCTGGATGCACCAAGTTATAATCAACATATGACATTCTTTGAAGATAAAATGGGGCATGTGACAGAATTAAAGTTTGATACTGGTTTTTATGTATAAATATCAAGCATAGAAAATCAATGTGTAATGTCAGAAGAAAGGATTTGTGCTCATTAAACAAGAAAATTGCACATTTCAAACATCTTGATCTGTTAATATTCTAAATATTGATTTTCTATAATGTCAATTTGCTGCAGTTAGATAAATGGAGATGTAGTGCTAAAAATGTTTAGGCTTAAGTTTCTGCTCTTATTCTAGGTGTTGGTAAAAGTAGTATTCTGTTGCGGTTTGCAGATAATATGTTCTCAGGTCAGTAAACTTGATTTTAAAACATGTTATTTTCTTTTAATTTTTTCATGATAAATGAAGAGTTTTTTCTTTATGCAATATTTATTGTTGAGCCAATTTGTGATACAACAATTTTAAAATTCATTGCTTTTTTGGCTTATTATTTGACTTGTCCAGAAAAAGTAACCTTCTGATGAAATTCCCAAGTTCTTATGTGCTTGGGTCAGACACTTTTAGTTTTGATCTACGTACATCAAAAACTCTGCATTAATGCTCAGCAAACAAACTGTAAAAATATTTGTCAATGATTTGCAGGCTCATATATAACAACAATTGGGGTTGATTTCAAAATCAGAACAATAAATGTAGACGGCGAAAAAATCAAATTGCAAATATGGGATACAGCAGGACAAGAAAGATTCAGAACTATCACATCAACGTAAGATATTTTTATCCTGTTGAAAATGTTTTGTAATTACATTGGTTCTCTTCTCTTTTCTTTTTAAACATCTTTTTGTTATCAGTTAAAATCATTTTTGCCAAAAGGTTTCTTTAACTTTGTAATATGTAAATTTGAACTGGTGTCATCAGTGGAAGCGTCATTAAATTGTTTGATTGAGCTGATATTGATCTGCTGACATGAGTTACCATGTATATCTTATACCTAAAGATTGATATCAAGTCATGTGAAAAAATTCATAGGCTATAACAATCTTTTGTGCTGAACTGGTCAGTTAATTTAACCTGATCAGATTTTGGTTTAGTTAATCTAGCTAATTTAATAATCATAATAAATTTAATATCTTGGCAGTATTTGGAATGATTGATTCTTTGTTAAAGTACTTTTCATCTTTTATAAAGTACATGTGATGCTTCACTTTACAGAATAAAATGGCTGTTTATTGATTATGTGATTCAATTTATAGCTACTACAGAGGTACACATGGAGTTATTGTTGTGTATGATGTAACAAATGCGGACTCATTTGTAAATGTTAAACGATGGATGCATGAAATAGAGCAAAATTGTGATTTAGTCAATAAAGTTTTAGGTAGGTAACAAAATCAAAGTCTAGCTTGCTCTCTATTTCAGATCAGATTGTTCAATTTGTTGTATTTTAAGAAATTTTAATTTGAAACTAGAAAATTTATGACTGTATGAACAGTGAATTTGACAACTGAAATCTTTATTTAAATTTTTTTCTAAACCAAGGTTCTAAGGTTATAGAAGTTGCAATTTCTAGTATGGGAAATAAAAAGTAAGAATCCAGGAAATATTGAAGTGGTCTCATGAGGTGTAAAAATTAGTAGCATATTTCAGTGTCTCCAGGCTGTGTTGCCAAATGATGTAATAGCTTGTAAATTCCTTAGAACATGGTTTTTTTCTCTAGATGTGAGCATTTTTTGAACACCTCAATCTGTAAATCAAAATCGTTTTTATCAACTTTTTATTTAATACTGATGTACATTCAACTTGAGAAAGATAATCTCATTTCAGAAACTCTAGAAGAAAACTTACTTGTGTTTACAATGAAGCAATTGGCTTTGATAATTAAACTCTTGAAGCTAGAAGATTTTTTTGTGAAATAGCCTCCTGATGTTTTTCTGATATTTGTGGTAAATATCATTCATAAAATCTTTCGTTTTCACTTTGCATATTTTTCCATATATAGTTGGTAACAAAGATGATTGCCCAGAACTAAAGGTTGTGGAAAAAGGACATGCTGAAAAATTTGCTGAACTGATGGGTGTTCAATTATATGAGACTAGTGCAAAGGAGAACCAAAATATTGAAGAGGTATGGAGGCAACCATTCCATGTTAGTTTTGTTAGTAAAATAAAACTTCATCTCAATGAAATAGTCATTTGGTATAACAATTTTGCAATAAACCTTAACTATACCAACAATTTCAATAATTTATTAAAGATGACTTCTCCATTTAAAAGAAAGTTTCAACATCAACTAGTTAAGGATTGTGTCTTTGAAGATAATTGCTAATCTTACTATGAGAAATGGCATTTGCTGAATCATCAATTTCAAAACTGATCTAAAATATTTGCAGTTTCTTTTTTGGTCCAACTTTCCCTGCAAAATTTTACATGATAAATTTTGTGCCAGCAACAGCAATATTTTCATGATTAATTTTGCACTGGCAACTGCCAGTTAGGATGGTTACATGTTTTTCTAGTACTGGTGAATAATTTCATATTGTCAAGACTTTTGTTAAGAGGTTTTCAGCCTAATCTGGAGGGTAATAATATATTGGAAACCTTTAGATTCTTGAAGACACAAGTTCGTGATATGAATTCACTTACCTTGGGTCATGTTGAACCTATTTGCATTTTTATACCTTGTATTTTAATTGTCGAGTTATACAAATATGTATGTTGATATTCAATGGTTCTGGATCTTAACCAATTTTTCAGGTATTCAATTACATAACGAAGCTTGTTCTTGACTCGAAGAAAGCCCAACAACAAAAAGCAGATCAGGACAAAAGTCATGGAGGCATTAAACTTGATAAAACTACCAAGAAAAAGAAAAAGGGTTGTTGTTAGTACCAGTAATAAATGAAAGCTCCCTAGGTATAAGACCTTTACCTATGTAGAGGCATCTATATATGTTAATATTTTCTATCTATAAATTTTGTAAAGTATGGTTTTATTTGGTAGAGGTAGGCAACTGGTCTCTTGTTTAGAGATGGCATGAATCAAACCCTTTTTGCTATGTTTTGTATTACACATGGCAAATTCAACCAGCTTACATATGTACTGATGTTCAATGTATTTTGTTTTGTGTGCAATGGAAAGAGATTTTTGATAGCCTGCTATAACCATAAACATTGGTATTTTGAGAAACATCCTTTTTATAATGTCTGTATTGCATTGTTGCAGCTTTACAAGGTTTAGCTTTACTGTAACTAAACACTATGTGTGCATTCAGCTTTGTACATTGTCTGCATCAAAGTTAATTTTAAGTCAAACCGTCAACCTCAATTGTTTTTTGTTTTCAGGCTTTCCATGTCCTTTAATCTTGCAATATCAAGGCATTATATCTATTCATGTCATAAGAAGTAAATTGGTAACAAAGTTGAAACCAGATAATTAGCAGTTTTGGCATTCATGGGTAATTTGACATTAAGCAAATGTAAAAGAATGAACTAGAGCCAAATTGTTTCTTTGACCAGCTTGGAAAAAGTTTTAATTATTACTGACATACGCATATTGTAATGTTTTGCATTTATCATAAACAATCGTGATGGAATCTTCTGTTTTTTGTCCTTTGTTTCTATTTAAAGAAATTATTTCTAATGGCATATGTTGGGGTGAATGTTTTTCATCTATGATTAGCTCGATTTTCTTTTAGAATTTATCATCCCTATGATACTAATCTTTGTGAACATTTTGCTCTTTTGTCCAGAATTTTCAGAAGTGTCTTCTTATGCTCATGGTTTAAAGTAAAATTTATTTAATTTCCAAAGTTTATAGACTGCTATACTATTTAGATGCCATAATTCTAGTAGGTAGACTTTAATAGATTTTCTCCACCAGTTTTATGGGTAAGATTAGTCCAAGATATTCATCAATACATACATACCTTTTTTAATTGAAGAAACACATCATACCAGGTAGACTCAAAGTTTCCTAAAATTTTGTAGATTTGAGCCTCGGATCTTTCTTAAGAACAGATTCTTGTTTTAGCATACCAGGTGAAGAAATTCGGTAGCCATAACAAAACATTTTACAATCTCAGCATACAATGAAGACACTACATTGTCAGCCATAATGTAACATATTCTACTTGTTCTAATTGAGATTTATTCTGTCCTTCTTGAGATTTCATTTGATGACACTAAACTGGGTAAGATAACATAAGATAAGATAACATTTTATGACATATTTTGCGAATTGGGTAAGATATGGCCATATGTGCACAGGCTTTCCCCTAATCAAACCCAGGGACGACGGAATCACCAAGGGGCAAGGGGGAAGGCCTGAGCAAAAGGACATTTGAAAAATAATTCCAAGCTACCAACAATTCAATTACCGAAACAATTACCAACAACTGTCGTTTTCTTTCGATTTTCTGTAGGTAGTATCTTGAAAATCGGCTAACTTTTGGTATAAGAAATTTCTTCAAATTTTTGAGACATGTCGTCGCGAATAACGCAGTACAGTGAGAATTTCACATGAATCTTTTGATAATTGCAAACGGCCGATGTCAATAGAACTTCTATGAAAAGGGCACTTTGGCCCCCATTGCCCCTCCTATCAAAGGGTAACGGGTGGTTGACCCCCCGCGCCCCCTCTACGGCATCCCTGATAAACCTCTTTAATTTGGTTTCCATTCATCACTTTATGGGCAGAGCCAAAATAGCTGCTACCAGTTAGTAAACTTCAAATCTTTCATTGGCCGAATCTCACCGGATGTTTAGCTGATTTTGCATATTTAGAAATGATTTATGATGTTATTTTAGGCTTTGTAGTTAAAATTCTGAAAAATATACTTTTCATGACGTCACACTGAAGAACTCTTTATCTGTAGGTGCAAAGAGCAATTGTATCCCGGCTAACATTTCTACCAAACTTTTACAGGTTAGACAATGAAAATTTTACTTTGATGGTGTAATGCTTTCCTCGATTACTCCATTACTTGACATGTCTATAAACGTTTTGATATGTTTTTTGTTGTCGAATGTCTTAATCTTTAGGAATTATGGTTCTTGGCTATTGCCTTGTATTTAGTTGCACAACCATATTTTAAAATCACACTCCTATCGTCCAAGTTTATTCAGAAGTGCAAATCCCACAAATCGAATCCCACCCAATTGGTCTCTCGGACTGGTTATTTCTACGAGGAGAGGAACTTTGGCAAAATATGTGTGCATTCTGGTTATGTCGAAGACTTGTGCAAAATAGAAGCTCTTGATGCTGCCCAATGACAAGAAATGTCTGGGTGTACCATAGATGGCCAGCACGTTACATAAACATTTTTAATCAAACAAAGTAGTCTTGATCTAACAAAATGCAATAGGCCTGTTGCCGGTGGTCGAAAAACAAAACTTTTTTATCACAAAAATTTGGTTTCTTGCTTTCGATAAACGTAAAAAAGTTGCTTGATGTTAAGACAATGCTTGTTATGTTGGCTGCCTCATCTTTCAAGACGTATTAAACAGTGCCCCGATGAAAATCATAAGCTCCCTAAATGTGCGAGATTTACCATGATATTTCAGTTCACAATGCCGACATAATTCTCAAGATGTAGAAATAACTTGACTGCTATTCCCGAGGGTATTTAAATGCAAGCGATTGTTCTATGCCCCACTTATGCTTGAGAGCGTCGTTCGTAAAGAAAAGGCAGCGTGCCGTTCAGGAAGTGGCCTTTGCAGGGCGAGCAGAATGCTTTTATTCCACTACACTCTTTTTTTATAAGAACCAGTAAATTTAAGTTCAGGCTGACTGTTCTTAATTTTTTCGAAAATCTGAAGCTGGATTGTTCTTAATTTGTTCTTAATTCAAGAGGGTGTAAGCAGTGCTATTGCTAGCTTTTTCGCTCTAAGGAGGTGTTCAGGCCTCATTTGCCAACAAAGTGAGTGAGACAGCCTTAATTTGCTGACAAATTTAAATATTCACCGAAAAAGCACCCACACATCGCTAAAAATCCACGATTTTGAGAATTGCGATTCAAAATTGCGATTTGCTGAAGCCCAGCCTCAGTTTGTTCTTAATTTGTTATTAACTTTTGACCAGTTTTGAGGCTCGTGTTCTTATAGAATTGTTCTTATAAAAAAAGAGTGTATACAATGAAAGAGGCTTACTGTTCTGTGATTTAGCTGCTTGAGACAGTTTGATATAATCTAAAGTAAGGATGCAATGAATTTTACTGAAAACATATTCTGCAAGCTTTCTTCTTTCCCACCTGCCTCAAGAGTTGCATCACAGACAGTCATTCTTTAATATTAACTACGTTCTGTATCCCAGGGATAGCTTTTAAGTTTACTGGAGGTATCAGCAGGCAACTTGCTGCGCGCACTTTCAGCAAGTCAAAATACCGGACGCTACGCAGGAAATACACTATCGAAGTCTAAATCGAAGGAAACACGTTGTAAACCTTGCCAAGTTTTTGTTTATGTCGGTGTGGAGTTTATTTTCAGGGTTGAGAAAGTCATCATTCTTCCCAGTGAAGTAGCAGATTATTATGGTTCCTTGCCGGCAATTTCATATTTGCTAACTTAAATATTCTATTACAAGGCCTGTAACAATCATTTAAAGCCAAGGCCGTAATTGTAAGATGAAGTTTTAAAATTACTAAAAAATTAAGCAATAAATGCATTTATTTCTTGGTAGCACTAGCATCATCACAAAGCAAATGCAAAGAAGAAAACAAATAGATGACAGAAAATAAATTGAAGAAAATTTTATCGCTTGCAAAAATCATTTTGTAGCTGACAAAAGAAAACAGGAGGCAAGTTATCGGAATCTAGAATAAAATTTGAATTCATTGTTTTCAGAAAGTGCCGGACAAAATTTTGATCGAGTAAATAACATGGGTCCAACTAGGCCCCGAAGTTTCCACAAAGACAATGCTATTTTATCAACAGACATTGAATACTACGTAAGTTATGATAAAGTGAAGTAAACTTAACAAATTCATTCATGCGAATTAAATATTATTATAGTTTATAATTTTGCATTAAATTACCGAGAAAACTCTATAATACAGATATATACGGGCGCAAAAAGAATATTAACAATAGTTCTAGCAATGCATTGTTTTTGTTTCTGCATTTGGCTAGGCCGCCATCACCAACGCTGCAGCCATTGATGGCTATAGCAGAGCTGAGGTTCGCAGAAATTCAAGTCAAATCTCAAATCTACAATTGATATATTAGTATATTTCAAAATCCAATACAACATTCTTAGCTTTAAGCGAGAAGAGTTAGGAAGGGTTTATTAATCAAAGAGTGGATCTGTGACAAACAGTCATGACTTTTGCTTTCTTCGATACAAATTTCTGGTTGGCAAGCTTATCATGTGAGTGATTGTGGCCAGGGCAACCACGAGCCTTAAAGTGCTATTTCAACTGTTTGGTTCTCCAGTTTATAAACACACTAATGCATTTAGGAAGTTAAAACACTAAGTTCACGGAACACAAAGTCACACGAGAAAAATTGGAACGATCAAAACAAGACTGAGGAATTATTTGTCACAAAATTGACAGACTTTAACTTGAGGAAGTCATAAGGTCAATTGCCTGGAATATAATTTATGCAAGTAGAAAGTGATCTTTTTGTTACTTAGTTCAGACGTCCTACGTTTCCATTAAAGGTAAAAATGCTTTAGGAAATTCGTAACGATGAGAAACTTGAGGATTCAAGATAGTACGAAAACATTTCCAATGGTTGCTGGAAGTGGTGCGCTAAAATTACACAAAAGAGTTGTCCACAAAACATGAAGATTAAAAGTGTTTATGTCCTCCATTCTGGAGAAATTAAATCACTATAGCGCAAAATGTTTGGGGGGGAGGGGGGGTGTTGGGGTGTTTGAAGGAGACTATTGTAATAGCCTAAGATCACACCTTTCAACCAGATTTCACTTAAACAGAGATTAGATGCTGTTCGTAACATTACCTGTAGATCTAGCTCTAAAGACGCTAATCTGAAAAAAGTCAATGGGAGGCGGGAAAAATCTATATTTTTCAACATTAAAACTTAAACTCACTTTAATCGTGATCGTGAACATGAAAAAGCTATACTTTTTAATGTGCAACAAGACATTCAGTTTTTTCTCGTTATACGTGATTCACAACCCCTTTACCATCCTCTTTATGAATTCCCAAATGACAAGGAAATATCTCGATAATGAGCGTAAAAGCACAGTATACCAAGATACAGTACTATTTGTTGCTACATTATCTAGAGGTGGGCGTCGTACGACTGTTGCTCCTCGCTTAACCTGATAAGCTCGTTCGCCACATCGTCTATGTCGTAATTTGAATCCAAGGTAGTCTGTGAGCCAAGGCGATCGTGGCTGTTGCTGCTTACCTGAGGGTTGCGAATCGAACTTAATATCAATCCATTCTGATACAAAGACTCTGGATTTTCCTGCACTAATTGTTTCTGCGCTTCACTCGGTTGCTGTTGTCGTCGCTCGTGATGCATTGTGGTTACCTCCTTTCCATTCTTTTCGCGGGTCACTCCCTTTGCGATATTTTTTGCTTCAGCACCTTTTCCCTCGTGCATTTTGCTAGCAGTTGGTTGAGTCTGAGGACTAACATTTTCGTAATCTTTGTCGGGAATAACAAATGGTGCTGATTTGGGTTTTGCTGCAGATGCATCTTCCTTCAGAATTAAAAAAATTGTACAGAGATTAACCATGAGAGGCAAATAACATCGGTGACAATATGTGTAACTGTAGCAAGTATTTATGGTAGGATGGCAAAGAAAAAGCCACCGTGTCGAAGATAATAATATAGGATGATGACTTGGCGTCTTTCTAACTTATTTATTCCACGAGGATATATTTTTAATTAGTCAAGACCAGTTTCTCAATCTGAAGTGAAATATTCAGAGGACTGGATAGGGTCTACCCCTGAATTACAGAGAGGGGCGTGGCAAAAATACTTGCAGAGTCAGACGATTAATCTCATTACAGGGGCCGAATGTTCAGAAATTGAAAACTCCCTCGCTCAAACGTAAGATAAAACGCATTCATTTTTCATACACACGGAGCTCATCTGACCAGTAAACTGAGGCTACACAGCTTTGGTTCGAAATGATTGAGAAACGCAAACACGAGCCGCGCTAGTTGGGGCTGCAAAGGCTGATGGATGAAATGCGTTCTTTAAGTCTTGGCAAATAGGCCTTCTCTGTAGGGGGTTATTTGCTTTTGGCATCTGTTGTTGCCAACTTGCTATTGACGGAAGCTGTTATGTAAATCAGTACGAAGTGACTCCATGTGATCAGTTTAAGATCCATCAATAGCACTGCAGCAAGAAAATCATGACTCGGTAAATTTGCGCATACCCTCTTCTTTTATAACGACTCAATAACTGGCGAATTGCAGCAAAGGAAGTCACGAGAAAGTTGAAAATTAGGTTCTTTAAGTTTGGTTTGAATTTGCAGATGTTTTTACAGTTTGACTTGAATTTCTGTTCAATTTGTTGTCTGAATTTTTCTATTTTCCCACAGTGCTCGCAGGCAAATATCAAAAACTCTAAAGTTAGACCAATGACACACAAGTAAGGTCTTACTATCACCGAGCTAGGTATATCAATCATTGTCTTTAGCTTTGTCGGTTCGCTAATTTCTAAATGCGAAAAATTTTACTATGTTCATTGGGAAGACGAAAGAATGTGGATGAGACACTGCTAAAAGCTATGAACCAATCAAAGTTTATAATCATCCTTTGCGAGCAATCAAGTAGGCCATCTCGTATTGACCTATTGGGATCTGTCTATATCAATACATTTAAAAATCTTAGTAGGCAACGATTGGTCAAAATGAAGAACCAATCAAACGACCCATTCTTCCTTTCACGTTACTTTCGATTTGCGTCTTGGAGGTGTTCCATTCAGCATTTGTTCAGACTAGGCATAATCTTGCATGTTGTAGGCAACCTTAAAATTATCAGCTAATTATAATACCTTAACTTGCGAATTATCTTCGGTCTTCTTTGTCTCGACATGAGAGTTCTTGCTGCTTTTCAACTCCAAAAGTTTACTTTGCAGCACATCTGATGTTCCGGAATTCTTGATTTTTACTGTCTGTTTCGCTATTTTTTTGGCTTTTTCACTTTCAAGGAACTCGTTTTGTTGTACAGCATTGTCCACCAAAAGTGCGGATGACTTAGCAGATGCTTGAAGAAAACAGAAGAACGCGAGAGTCAACTACAAGCAAGGACTACTTGGTAAAAGCATCACATTTCACGTAATGATAATGAAACAGTCTAGGAGAAAGGAAATTACAAGACGCTAAAAAAATAAGAAAATACCACTAGAATGGTACTGGATACTTCAAGGCACTGAAGAGAACCAGATGAGCTTTTCAATAATAAATAAACAAAAATTGAATATACAAGGTGTTCAAATCCCAGGGGTACTCCCATTTAGGCCTTGCAGGGGGTCCAGTCGATTTGAGAGTCTTACCGTTGGCTGTCAAATTGCCCAGTTTTGATAATAACTCAACTGCCTAGTTTACTTTGCGATTTATCACAGATACTGAATAAGATTTTATCTTTCCTGAATCAACAACAGTTAATGGCAAAGAAATTTGCCAAAGACGGACCAGACCCGCACAAAACAATGGATGCTACCAAGAACATAATTTCGGTCCTTATGCTACTATTTGAGAGTTATTGTCAAAAAAGATTACTATTTGAGGGAAATTCTTTAACATTTTAGCTTCGGCCCTCTTTGACCCATGTTAGGCCATAATGGGAGTACCCCCGGGGTTTAGATATCATGTATCACGCCTCAGACTGCTTAATCCCTCCATGGGGTTTGAATATCATGTATCACGTTTCAGACTGCCTTAATTGCCAGATTCAATTGTGCAGTTGCCCATCATTCTCACAATCCTTCTGCAAAAGTGTGTAGCCAAACCACGTTGCAAGCAAGAAATTTCTTTTTAAAATATTTGATACTGTAGTAGACAGGACATATAGCCTGACAATCTGACATTCAAGCTAATGTTTACTTTCTCAACGGATTCTTGTAGTAGGGAGTCCAGGCTTTCATAATCTGCCAGGTGACTTTTTTGAAAATGTCTGGATGTCACGGGACTGATGACGTCATTTAACGGTAAAAAATCAGACAAAATCATTGCTAGCTCTTTACTGGATTGTTATTTTTTGACGCAAATTACATTTTTTGACTCGTCTCATTGTAAGCTTTTCATTTTTTTAAAGAATGATTTGCCAGCATAAGTATTTTTATTATGACGTCATCAAAAATTTTGCATGACGTCATCAAAGATCTTTTTGTCATTAAATGATAAGTTGACATAACTTTGTATTAATATGAGGCTGGATGTCAGCAAAAGCATTTTATCTATAATTTTTTCAATCAAATAATTAGTATTTAGATCATTTAAATTACGTTTGTGCGAACTGCAGTAGCCAAAGTTCGAACAAGGTTCGAACATATCTGAATAAGTCAGTCACTTCTTCCTCCGTATTTGCAAAGTCTTGCTCCCACTCTGAACCGGACAATAAGTTCTTTGCATCTGGATTTGACTGTTGCACCAAGTCGGAAGAATGTCTTGGAACTATAGGCTATCTAAGATGCCTTCGCGCTGGGCTGAAGGTTACATGACTTTTTTCAATAATACTATCTTCTGCTGCGAAACATGACCATCTCATCAATACTCCATCTGGCGTTTTCTGGTGGTGGATTTACATATGAATTTGACTCCTTGCACACGAAATTAAGAAGAACAGCCAGCTTCATTTCCTTGTCACAATACACTTCAGGAGTTGCAAGACTAGAACTATGGTTTCGATGAGTATGCAAATGCCTTTTCGATAGAGACAGCCTTGCCAGTCTCGAGACCTTGGTGGTCTTCGTTCATTATTGAGACTGCTTTCGATGTTTTCTTGGATTTTAGTGCGCACGACAAAGTAGAGGTGAGTCATCAAGGCAAGTGCATAAAAAAAGTTTAGAGCAAAAGATACTCCAAGGTAAAAAGAGTTTTTTACAATGATGCAAACAAAGATAATCTAATAAAACTTACTCCCAAATTATTTCGAAGCGCTGAGGCTCACAGGCTCCAGACAATTCCATTGGTTATAACTTACGGAGAAGAAGCACCGGAGACTTCAAAAAGCAAATAGAAGTCCTTCCTAGATGTAACTACAAATGGGCTTGAAATCAGAATGATTTTGCATGTCACCTCGCAAGATGCAAAAGTAGTTGTTGTTGCGAAGGATACTGATGTATTTGTGCTGCTTGTTCATGCAATGCAGGAGTGCAAACCCACAAATGAGTGGTTTATGTGCATAAACAACAAACAAAACGTCGAGATTTGAGGCATCGCTGAAACTTTTGGGTCCAAAAATTGCTGTGTCCTTCCGCAGATCCATGGAATTATGGGCTGAGACTCTCAGAATAAGTTATTGCCGACACAAAGACATTCGAGAAACTGTAGAACATAGTGGAACACTATATTAAAGCCGCTTAGGGACAAGGATTCATATATATCAAATCTGAAAACAAAATCATCTGCAGCAGTTCCACAGATCCACAATCATTCAATCAGAGAAGAATTAAATTGTGTCGACTTAACAAGGTTATTTTGGCTACAGTGTTTAGATGCAATTACTACAAGACATGTCCCAAATGCCTGCAGTTGAAATTCGAACTTGATCGTTTATAGTCTAAATGGTCCGCAGGAAAGCAGCTTCCCATTTCAAAAGAAGTAAAAAAACATCCAAGGTGTGAAAAGAAAGCTTCCTTTACAGCACAAGGATATGAAGATGACCCGGAAGATGAATTTACCCATGAAGAAAATCATGCCCCTTCATACCCAGCGCTAAAGACCTATAGTGCGAAGACATCTTGGACAGTCTATAATAGTGCGAAGACATTCTATTCTTCCAATTCAGTGCAACAGTCAAATGCAGATGCAGAGAACTTATTGTCCGGTTCAGAGTTGGACCATGACTCTGAACCAGGCAATAATGCCTTCCGAGGAAGAAATGATTCATTCGTCAGGTAGTGACTACCTTATTCGAACTTCCTTGGCTATTGCGGTGCGCACAAATTTAATTTAAATGATCTAAATACTAATTATTTGGATAAAAATATTATGGAAGAAATGCTTTTGCTGACATCCAGCGCCATAATAAAACAAAGTTATGCCAATGTATCGTTCTATGGCAATAAGATCTTTGATGACGTCATGCAAATTTTTGATGACGTCATAATAAAAATACTGATTTCAACAAATAATGGTTAAATATGCATCAATCGAAAGCTTGCAATGAGATAAGTCAAAGTATGTAATTTTCGTCAAAAAATAACACTCCAGTAAAGAGCTAGCGATGGTTTTGTCTGATTTTTTACCGTTATATGACGTCATCAGTCCTGTGACATCCAGACATTTTCAAAAAAGTCACCTGGCAGATTATGTAAGCCTGGACTCCCTACTATAAGAATCCGTTGAGAAAGTAAACATTAGCTTGAATGTCACATTGTCAGGCTATATGTCCTGTCTATAGTTACCACCACAAAAAAGCAATACAAAAAATATTGCTTGACAATACCTTTCTAAGTGACATACGTGTCATTATGTAATATTCTGTTGAGGAATTGAGAAAATGAATAGACTACACTCAAAATTATCTAATAGGCAAATGACATCAAACAAAGGCTAGCAGTTCAAGAGCAACTATGCAGCTTATGAATTACCTCTTGTTGATTTTCGGAAGCCAGGCTCTCTTGCTGCAAATGCCTTTTGTGAGTTACTGAAATTGTCAAGTTCATCTTCATCTATGTTTATTGTGGACAAGACAATTTTGTTATCTCTGCCACCAGTTGCAAGAAGGGTGCCATCCACTGACACTTCAATACATTCAACCTGAAACATTGGACAAGATTGTAGTCAGAATATATCATCTGCACAGACATTATCAATATGATTTTCAAAACATAGGGTTAAAGAAGGTCTATAGATCCCAAAGAAACATATTTGTTGGAAAATTTTGAAAGGTTTGCTACATTGCCAGAACATTTAGAAAAACTACAAAAAATAATTTTTAGAATCTTTAGCCACCCAGACAAGAAATCAGTCACAACCATTTGTCCTCATCTGAATCACAGGCAGAGGAATGTTCTCTTGCCCTGTTCTTTCTTTTATTGGGGCCCTTTATATGACCTATTCTTTTCTTACAATATGTCCAACTGATGGACTATTCATTATCGTTGTAGAGGCTCAATATTATCACTAGCATCATATCTCAAATACATCATAACCACCATCATACCTCATAATCAAGATCATGCTGGCTGACAGAATGCAGCTGCTTTGCCTTCTGTGATGAGAGAACATCCCAAAATCTACATGTTGTGTCACCTGCAGAAACCAGCACTTCGTTTCCATTAGAAGTCACCAGAGGTAAAAATTTCAAGTCTGTTACCATTTCATTGTGACCATGAAGTACATTAACAGCTCTGTTTTCCCTGATATCCCAAACAGAAATCTGAAAATCAATTCAGCCATAGTCTAGCAAGTCAGACAGAATACACAGTGAATTCAATACAGGGCAGGAATATTAAATCATTATCGGCAGATTCATTAATGAGCTAAAAATACACAAATGCCAACTAAACAACAATCTTCACACCAACATGACAAATTTAAATTCTATTTAAAAGTTGTTTTTCCATTCAACCCACACACAAAAATAAAGACAATATATCTTCTTAAAATATTTTGTGTCATTATTTTAGCTTTCAACATTTGTATATGCCAAAAATGGTATTATTTGACTGGGGTATTGTGTGATTGGGCAGATAATATGTTGTACTACTACTCTGATGTTAACAACAATTAGTCCAGTGCAGAAAATGATAGCAAGTAATTATCTGAGTCAAAGAAAAACCACAGAAAGGAAAGCTTGAATTCAAACCTTTGCATCAGCAGCTCCAGCAGCCACGTAATTACCACAAGGTGACCATGCACAACACTTGATGCCATCATCATGAACTCCCACAAGATTTGAGACTGGAAACCATTTGTTCTGAGTTCTTAAGTCCCATAATTTCAGACTTGAGTCTTCACTTGCAGAGCACAATACATTGTCACCATCAAATGGCCTGAAAACTGCTTTCCACACACCTCCTGTATGCCCATTCAGAGTCTGAGACAATTTCAATGTACTGATATCCCAAAGACCTATACAAAAAGAACAATGCTTTATACAGAAAAGCATGCTACAACAAAGTCAAGAAAAAAGTGCCTGGAAATGTTTGACAAACAACCCTCAAAAGATTTAAAAAATCATTGAAATGCATCTTAATTTCATCTTGATACTGTTGTATCCCTTGAAAAGGAAATCTGTACTAGCCATCAGCAAACCAAAACATCAACCAGCAAAATCTTAACCATTTCATTTTAGTACAAAAAACCATCAAGAGGTAAAACAAAAACTGCCATTGTTGCCAGAATTCATTAAGCATTCTCTCCATTGGCTTGCTTGCCTACAATTAAGCTTTTCTTGTCAAAATCCTTTCTTTGCTCTTTTATCTTCTCTATTATTTTTTCTCTCTGCTTTTTATTGTCAAACTGTTTCAGGCAATGAATTCTTAGAATCACATATTTATGATGCACAATTACAAGGGCCCAGTGAAATGCATGTTAAAAACAAATCATAGATTTCTGGCAATATCTACTTATTTTCACGCTTTTGTTTCAACAAACAACAGCCTGTTATGTAAACAGTAGCAATAATTGACATGGCAACAAAAACTACAATTCCATTGCAAAATCTTGGCAACAAATCAGGCTTGGTGTTTCCTACTATTTTACAATTTTGCAAAAATTTCAGAATATCAGGCTCACACAGCCAAAATAGTGAGTGATTCGATCACAATGTTTCCACTACATCATTTTTTGGTACTCAGAACTCTGTCTATTAAAAGGCCTCTGGCAAAAGGGGGGAGGATCCGGGGGGCCATGGCTCCCAATTTTTCGCAAAACAATGGATTTTTTCCAAAATCTTTTGTTATGGGTGTTAATTTTTCTCTCCCCCTCCCCCCCACTTTCCAACTTGTGTCGCAGCCCATGTTAAAACAAAGTAATTTTGTAATTCTCACCAATACTTTTATCCCAAGATGAAGATGCAAGAATGCTGCCACTGTGGTTAAAAGATGTCCCCAGCACCCAACCTGTATGTTCCTCTAGAACCGAGAGCCGTTCCCCAGACTCAGAATTCCAGATTCTCACCGTGTTGTCAGCGGAACCAGAGGCTAACAAAAATTCAATGTTTGGAAACCACGAAACTGAGGTTATCGGTGATTTGTGACCAGTTTCTTCATTGCCCAGCTCTGTACTCGTGGTCAAAATGCGAAGATCCCACACTCTCAGCCGTTTATCCCAGCTTCCCGAGGCGAAATACACACCGTTGATACTGAAAGCTAAACACGAGATATGCCATTTGTGGCCGCTTAGCTTGATCTGTTCTTCGACTACAACGCCGTTTTGACTATCGTGTGGCTTGTCTTTCATCTTGTAGCCCTTACAACTTGATAAGTCAAGTTTACTGGAACAATTTTCTTAAAGACCTATAACCATGGTTGTTATTATACCGAAGTTTTTTTCCAAACTAGGAAGTTGTAATGAAAATAACATTCGCAAAGGATGCTGGATAACAAAGTCAAAACGAGGTTAAACAAGCCAGGTTTTTAATATTCATTAATTCCAGATTCTAACTTATTTAGTTTCGATTAGATGAATTTTGTCAGAAATCAATAGTTTTGGCATCTGAAAATTTTTTGTCAGGAAGCCAGCATAAACTTGAGAAAATGAATTTGTGAAACCTTTTAGCCTTAAAAATCCATAAAAACTTGCAACCCTTCAGTTACCCCAGCCCTGAAAACCACATTGATTGAACTTCGGAAAGCAGCCCACAGAAACTTACGCCCGAAAAGTGTCACCACCTAAAAAATATGGCAGCCATAGGCACCTCGAAGCGTTGAGAAAAGTGGGGGTCTAAAAAAGTGGGGAGGGGGGTTGGGGCTAAAACCGCATAAAAGAGGCTTTACTGGTAGTTTGTTACTTAATATTTTGAATTTTTTGCACAAGCCCCCCCAGCCCTCCTGCTCCGCGGTGCTTGAGCCAACTGCAACCATCTTGCATTAGGTCCAAGAATATTCTACAACGGTGATTAAGAATTAAGATTACCTTGGAGGTCTGATAACATCCTTCTGTGACGACACAAAGTGACAGACTGATCACAAGCCAGAGCTATACTTTTAGAAGGAACTTTTAATCCAATTTTTCAATTGCAAAGCTTGATTATATCTTTTAGGCTATTCGACGTTCAGCTATTTAGGGCTGTTTGGCCAAAAGCCTGGAAAATCTAGAAATAAAACATCAGTTATCCCATTGGAATGATTTTTTAAGGAGGAGAATGTACAAGACACAACCGTGCTGTAAAGAACTTTTCTCACCAAAATCATTCCAGTATTCAGTAACTTTGTAGAGATTTATAAGACAGAAAGTAAAGTAGACTGAAGTTTGTATTTCAGCAATTTTCAAAGAATGAATTTTGATGAAATCGGTTTATGATTACAGGAATACTCTTTGAAGCATATTAGTAACGAAAAAATAATACATCAAAGATGACAATATCATGAAGTAAAAACTGAAGATCAATTTCAATATTTTTCTGATCATATACACACTTTTATCTCCTTGCCTTGCCTTTACGAGCGTCGATATAGGAGAAAAAGGGGTGTAAAAGCCAGACATAATTAAAAAGAAAAGCAAATTTTCCATTTTGGTCTCAAATCTGTCGCCATTTCTTTGTCGTGCTTTTTTTCTTTGAAAAAGGCTCTTAGCCAAAGGAATGCAGAACGTTGGCCTTTTTAAATATCAGTTTTAAGAAACTGAATTGTATAAAATATCAATTAGAGCAAAAAGACAATGGAAAGGATCGCCATTTAGTTTGACAAAAAAAATTGTTCATAATGTCGTAAATAATTTTTCCACAGAAGATAAACATATTGAACCAAAATTTAGTAACTTCGACAAGAAATATCGCAGCTTATAACAGTATTATTTGAAATACTGGTTTTAAATCTTATTCATTAAAACTACACGTCACAAACAAATGACGTAACTAAGGCAATAATGCGTATAAAAATTAACTTTTTTACATAAATAATTTTCAAGCAGTCACAATTGAGACGGACGTATTCGTCACTTCAGATCGCTTGATATCATTTGCAATGTGAGTCAAGTCTTGTATGAACGTTTGAATCTAAAATTTAATTGAGAGATATGCTCAAAAATAACAATCAAAGTTTATAAGTAAGTGCCTGTAAAGCTTTAGGAAATTGTAGAGCGTTGTATTATACCAAGCATGAGAGACAGAGCATACTAAATACTCTCTGATAATGCAGAGAGGTGAGGAGAGGCAAAAAGGTGGCTCTGAATCTTATTCGTCAACTGTGGTGACTGATGATAATGACACTTTTGATTCGATTCCATTAAGTTCACTTAAGTTTGTATTGATACACATAAGAGGAAAACGTTTTGCCATGAGAAGTGACTCTAGAAAAGATATTCCCTCCCAGAAAATTATCATTGAGATGAAACACAAAATCTTTGATCATGGGACACTGGGCTTGGTAACTCTTAAGATTTCTCAGTGTCCTAAAGGGCATATGAATACCGTACCGTACTGTACCTAAAAAACCTATATAACAGCCTTGTAATCTTTTTTTCTTATACCAGTCCTAGTTATTTGCTTGCAAATCATGTTGTTGAATTAGAATGAATTTGCATTGAATTTGATCAATCTAAAAGTTCGTTAAAGAGCATTGTGTGCTGTGTGTGTGTTGTTTGAAAAAGATTTCAGCCCAACTCAAGAAGGACTTGCATGCTGCATGTTGCATGGACGCAAAAATTATACTGATTCCTCAAAATACAGGCACCTGAATTTCCTTGTGAAAAGATAGCAAGTGTAGCTGCCTATATGTTTGTTGTTAAAAACATTATTTGAAGTGCAAATCAATGCGAAGCGAAACAAATCCAGCGTTGTGTAGCTCGATAAAAAGTAAAAGCTCTAAAAAGTTAAATCTACTAAAAATGAAGCTTGTATGCAATAGTATAGTATCCGACCTGTCTAGGACTGTCACAGATATCAGATGCCTTTCAAATTTGATTTAAAAACTGAGAAATAATAGCCATAAAATTTGAAGATGGCACGAAATAGCAGAAACACTGAACACTGACGCACTTTTTGTTCGACACCCTTGAGTATAAACGTCGAATAACGAATGCAAGAAAGCAAATCGATTCACGTTGTTTTCGATCCACTGCTTACCTTCGTCAATTATCCGACGTTTATACTATTAAGTGTGTCGGACGAAAAGTGCTTCAGTATGAAATGTTTCCGCTATATAGTTCCATCTTTAAAGAAAATAGCTATTTGTCAAATAGAAAAGAATTCTTTGTCATAAAAAGCAACTTATGAACATAAATGAAAGAAAGTTCGGAGATCGCAGTTGTTTGATGAAACATAAAACTAATGATTTACAAGCTAAACTTTCATGAAATTTTGCAACAGAGGCGATAAGATTTTTAAAAAGTTGGTTACCTTTGATAGTTGATCCATTGTTCCTTCCGCAGGCACATCTTGCTTTAGATGTTTATTAACAAGCATGTACAAATTGTGTGTTGCCCTAAAGAAGATTTGTGTCAGTTCTTGAAAGCAATTTCATACCCATTAAAACCTTAAAAAATACTTGAGAGTTGATGCTTTCTTTTTCTTTTGAAAATAACTCCAACCCCCTTCCCCAAATTCAATGTCGAAGGCATGATTTTGAAAGAGAAATCATAGAACTTCAAATCCAACATTGATTCGGGCGAAAGAGGGATTTAAAATAACAGGGGCAACGTAAAGTAGAAAGTTGCAAAAAATTGCATTTTGTCTCAAAAATTTTATCCCGGATTGTAGATTCCGACGGATCAGGGGAACGGACGCTATATATCCGCAAAAGGAGCATGTCCTATCTTCATCACTGTTTTTACCTTTATCTTATTAGGCAAGATATTACAAGTGAAAGTTAGTTCCCACAGTCTAGGCAAAACGGATTCATCATTAAAGCATTTATCATTTATTTGATTTTACAAATTTTTACTTGTGTAGACTACAGTAGTGTGCACTGCGATATTCTCAAACAATTTTGCTTTATATTTTTAGCAGGGCTCTCGCTCCTTCGGTCGTGATTGAGTTAATATCCCATATAGCCAGGTGTATTATTCATAATTAAGTGATATGACTGCAAAACTAAAGCTTTCTACCAGCTTTACCCCACCCTTTTGCAAGGTCCCACCTCCCCACAAAAAATTAAAGGATATGAAGCTTTAAATGATTCTGTAAAATTCTGATTCCAAAAAGATGGGTACTTTTTTGAACCAAAAAGATGACCTTTTTATTCATTGCATGATGACATTACTTTAGAATCAGAGAACTAGACTAAACAATTGGATATATTTATAACCATTATTCTGAAAAAAATCAGTTCACAGGCAGGAATGCATTTTATACTTACATTTTAATTCTGCCCAACAAAAGTGTCTTTTCTGCAGCAGTGTTTTGAATAAATGTCCATTGGGATTCCCTGAGATTTACAGAAAACAAAATCTTTTAGACAATATATGCAACTTTGATCAATAGTTTTACACATCCACACACATCCACTAATGATGTGATTGATGTATAGTGATCGTTTACTTATATTTTAATTGATCTATTGATAAAAACTGGACATGCAGTTAATTCCTACTTTTGGTGTTAACACTTCTGTAAGAAACTCTCTAGGGCTGATTCCTACAAAGGTTTTTCTTTTCCTGAGACAGCACTGATATACATTTAAAATTACATTTTTTAACAATTTTGATGAACAGTGTAGAACTCATATTCCTTTTACTCTTGTATACATACACTATTTTGAAGTGATATTTTTTCCAGTAACCCCAGTGCTGTTTTTGTGAAATGGGCTACGTAAAAGCAGAAGTTTACTGTACCAGAGAAGATTCCATAAACAAGAAAGCTTTAAAAGGGAATGGTCAAGATCACAACTTGGTAAAGAAAACAAAAACAACAGAAAACTTGTTTGGTGCTATGCTTAACAACTGAATCATGTCAAGTTTTACACCAGATAACTTTGACTTTGTTAAGTTGGACAAAACTTTATTTCCCATTGGTTCCTTACCTTATTGAAGTAAAGGGTCTACACTAGAAAAATTTGACATTTGCTAAGTGAGACTATTTCCTTACCCCCTTGAAAGTCTTATAAGGAGGATTCAACACTATTTAAAATTTCTTTATATATATAATTGACATTTGCTTTCAAAAAAAGCAACAAACTTATGGACAGTAAAATATATTTTTGTAGCATACCATTTAACAGCATTACTCTGTGCCTCTTCAAGCTGGGTTTGAAGTTGTGCAAGCTAGAAAATGATCAAACAAAAGTTAATTTAAACACACAAACTGAAAGCTACTGTAAGTACACATAAAGAAGATCCATCACCACAGATTACATCACAATCTCAAATTACCTTTCTTCAGTTGAACTAGCCCAGAACTTTAGAGCAGCAACAAATATAATTACAAGTGTAAAGAAAACTGGGCCTGCACATTAAAAAAATGATATATTTAGCAATACAATGATGAAAAATTGTTTTTTAAAGAGGATATTCTTTCACCAATCCAACAGAACAGGTTTAATGCCATGAAACTGCCATGTAGGCTTTCAGCACTTTCCTGAGAAAAAACATGTGCATCACCCTACATTTTGAAATGCAGCTAGGAAATGCAGCTTAAAATTGTGATGAATGAAATCTTTAAAAGAATTATGACTGTTGTGTGACCTTTCAAGAAACTGTGTATTTCTTTTAATAACTTGCTACCGCCCTTCTGAAAAATTGAATAAAATGAGATTGTGAAATGCAACACAAATGATGAATATTTTGCAAAATAAAATTTCAACATAAACAAGCATACTCACCTGATTATTATAATTCAGATTTTCATTATTTTTCTCCTGAAAAAGTAAAATATTGAATAAAGATGTTATTTTCCATTGAGTCAAAAAGGTCAATATCAATCAAAGAGGATAGGAACAAACTAAAAACATTGAGCTATACTTTTGGTATCACCAGAGCCTTTTGAAAGAACACAAAGGGAGACAAACATGTCATTGTATGATAATGCTGATTAAGGAGCAGTAGCCAAATGTGATTAACTAATAGGACACCCACAGGGTGAATAGAAGTGAACCTACCTCAATAAACCTGTTTAATCTGGCTTTTTCTTTCTCCATTGCATCTTGGTTTCTATGTTCTCGTTCAAGTAGTTCCTACAAGCCAACAAAAATAAAGAGCTTATGATTTCCTGTGCTAGGCAGACAAATTGTTACTGCCATTTTTAAATGCAAAAAAAACTTCAGAAAAGGTAATGGAAGAAAATTTAAAATTCTAAATTTTAAATTGCAATTTATTTGATGGCAAAATTATAAATACATACATACATACATAAAAAAGTGTCTTAGCCTATAATTTTGAAATTTCATTTTTAATTAATTACATGTATATTTCTAACTTTAATTTTATTACCATAAATCCTCGAATTAGCCCCCTGGAGGCTTATTTATTTTTTATATTTTTGGATGGGGGCTTATTTCAAGGAGGGGGGCTTATACAAGGGGGGGCTTATAAAATTATTGTAGACATTAAGAAGCCATTATTAAAAGACCTTGTTTATTTCAGTAGAAATTTCTTTATGAGCATTTAATTGGTTACTCCCAAAAATATTAATTTCTTGTGATAATTCAATAAAATGCCATAGGCAACCTCAGATGGCAATAATCATCAAATTGAGTGGTCAAATTTGAGAATTCACAGTAGCAGTGGGGGCTTATTTGAAGGGGGGGCTTATTAACAATTTGTAATTCTAGGGTGGGGGCTTATTTGAGGGAAGGGGCCAATTCGAGGATTTACAGTATCGCTTAACAAAAAGGCAACCTCTCATATATTAAAAGAGAAAATTTGGAAAAGGAAAAACTGAACAAACCATATGAGTTGCTATAAGTGTATCATATCTAGCTGTAATTTCCCTGATTTCATGAAACTGTAAAGAAAAAAAACAACAAGGTTTTCAGAGAAGCTTTGCTTAATTTGATCGCTGACATAAGGCGTATGATAAAAACAGCCAGTATTTCAAAATGTTCTGATAAGAGAAATGATAGAAAAGTATCAAAATTGTATTTTGTAAATGAGCAATAGCAAATAATTCAAAACAACAGTATAGATATTTGGGCAGAGCTTATTCTGATACCCAACTTAGATACTATCAGTTTAAAAAAACTCACTTCTTCGGCCACTTCAAGAACCTTGTCCAAATACCTCTGGTACATAGAGTATCTCTCTAATTTTCTTTGCATTTTGTCTTGTTTTCTTGCAAGAATTGTGATTTCTTCATGTAATCTACAAAAGTGCTTATTCTCAAAATGATGCATACATCAGAAAAAAGTAGGATTTTTTGCCACAAACCGAAAAATATATTATCTTGTAACTACATAAAACATTTATCAAAGTTTCTTACTGCAAGATATTATACTCATCAATTTAAAAAGCATATTACTACAAGATTCAGTTACCCACAGAACAGAATAGCTTTAAAATGATAAAGTTTGATTACTTGATGGCCTCTAAATGTATCCTGATGATAATAAATATAAGGCACTCCTCATCTCTTGCAACTACTTAAACTATCATTCAAATAAGGTATTTATATGAATAAAATTGTTAACATCTGGATATTGTATTTTAAAAGACATTACCTAGCTATTTCTCCATCTTTTGTTTTCTTTGCGTCACTTTCATCTTTAGCTTTCTTTTCAGCTCTAGTCCTCTTAGAATCATTCTCCTGGAAAATTGGTTTGGAAAGCTGACAGAAGGCTTACCACAAGACTAATTAATTAAAGTTAAACAGTAGTGATTGCCAAAGAAACTTACACTGGGCATCAATACAAACAAAATAAAATTCCAACTGAAAGCTTAATATATTACCTTAAGGAATTTGTCAAATTTCAAAAGAGACTCTTTTAGATGAAACTCTTTTCGCTCAAGTTCTTCTCTTCTTTGTTGCAAACTTTCCATTTTCATTTGAAATTCCTACAAATCAGAAAACATAGAGGTTATGATTCCACCTTAAAAAACCTTGAATAATCATGTTCCTTCAAACAGCCATAATATTAGTTCTGTGAACACCTGATGAAGTATATACAGATATGAAAATACCTCTTTCTGCGCTGCTAACGCCTGTTCTACTTCACTCATTTCTCTTCTCTTTTCAAGAAGCCTTGTTGCAGGCGTGAGGTGATCATCTTCTCGTTCTGGCATTTTGCTACAAGAAGGAGAATTTCAAGCTTTAAACCAATTTCTTTTATGAATAAGCATTGATAAAATGTTATTCAAAATAATATACGTAGTTTGACCTAATTGTGAGAGTGTAGAAAAATACAATTTGAAAAAAATATGTTCATCTTTTTCTTTGTCATCCTTGCAGGCTCAGTATTAAAATATAAATGAAATCGTCAGTTTTAAATATTCCAAATATTTACGATAAAATAAGGTCCAGACTCACACAAGAAGCTTGTCTTCAAATGTTGTGCGAAAATACTCTTCCAGATTCACTGCCATTATTCCGCGGTTGTGCAGTCAATCTAAATCAGTTTGACACGAATATAATGAGCTGCCTTGATGAAATTTTGACTGAAAAAAATTACATTAAGTGTATTTGAATTAAAAAGGATTTTTGTTTTTCCTGTCCATGCCTTTATATCTTTTTCGTGACAAAGACGAGCAAATCGGTCGTATTAGAACTGTTTGATCGCTTTTGATCCTTCGACTGAACAATCAAAATACCCTAGTATATTGGATCGCCATGACAACTACCGAATCAGCTCGAGGCTGCTACTGTCGAAGTTGTTGTTGGTGCACAGAATCGTCGAAAATTGGTGGCGGGCCGCAGTAGATGTTTATGAGTCAAAATGTCAAAGAAAGCATATTTTTATTTTTAATTTTATTGAAAGAAAAAATGCAATATGTCTTCATCATCTTCAAGTGTATCACTCTGGATAAATCCTGAGCCATTTGAGTTTGGAATTGTGCCAATACCTCCTCCTACAAAGCTTGTCCATCATGTAAGCGATTTTCAGTTGAATATTTAAGCATGAAATGAAAACACATTTAGTTTAGCTAGAATTTAACTAATGAGATTTAACTAACAATTAACAATTCGTGAAGGTATTCCGCAGCTTTTAAAAACCCTTTCCATCAATTTTATAGTTAAACGTGAAGAGTTAATTTCATTCACAACCCACGAATTTACACTTACCTCCCAAAAGTATTCGAACGGAAGCCAATGTTACGACTGTGCCGGGTCAAGTTGTTGAAAACAAAAAGAAAAGTTAATTGTTTATATTTATAGAATGACAATAGGAATCACTTCAAAATTTCAGGCAATCATAAAACAAAGTTTAAATTGCACAAATTTTTAAATTTAAGTCCATAATTCATTTTATTGATGGAATAACTTCAATATTATTGATGGGGGTACTAACGAGACAAAAGGGCAGCACAGGGCCGGCCAAAAAATGATCTATGCAAATTTTCAATAAAATGTAGAGGAATTTTGGCACAAATTTCACAGTTTTATCATCTTATTGCTGCTTGGTCTTTGGAGGATCTCAATTTGTTGAATCATTTATGAAAAAACAAAGAAGCCATAGCATTTTCAATTACCCACTTTCGGATCTGGACTTTGAGATTACTCCTTTGAAATTGACAAAAAAAGTTTAATTTGACAAATAAATTTGGTGCAGATGTGATAAATGATGTACTTCTATTGCCATTTTGATGACAATTACTTTTTAAAAAAACTACTATTAGGTTAGAATCCTGAATTAGAAATAAAGGTAACAACGTAAACAAGAATGAGTACTAAAAGACTAAGATTAACATCAACTAACTGACAAGAATTAGAGAAAACAAGCTTGAAACTATGTAGAAATTTTTTTTTCTATCATCAAGATATCTGCGCAGATAATATATTTTTAGATTCCATTTTTGAAAGTGAATTTTGTGGATTATTTTAGAACCACCTTAGATTTAGTGTATGATGAAGAATGCAGTCTATTCCCGGTCCTTATGTCTCCCATCCCTATGCCCAGTTTGAAATGAAGATTTTATATATATTATCTTCATCCAATTCAAAATGAGTATAAAAAGAATGGATATAAAAACTCTTTTAGACTGAAGATTGCAGTTTAGTTGTACATAGGACCTTTAATATTTAATAATTAGACAGTAATTTCATATTTTAAACCTTGATTTAACTTTATATACCTTTTTCTGTTGTTTTCAAAATTAGCTTGTAAGCTAAATATTTGACACATTAAAATCAATGTACCTTAATAAACAAACAAAACAAAGAATTCAAACGAAGGTTAGTTTTGACAACAATATGAAACTATGAACTTACTGAAATAAGTTGGTGTCTATTAATCCAGCGTCTACCCAAATAATAAACTTACAAAAAACAGAAAACAAACCTGTTCACCATGCTTGGACACGTAATTGAATAACAAAACAAAGAACACTTACTAAATGACAAACTAAAATTCACATTCCAGTATTTCAATTTTTATTGATTGATCTTCATCCAGAGACTTTTTTGATTTGCATGCCTCTCTCAGTAAATCAAAGAAACAATTTTTTTAACACAAATTTATTTAAAGCATGTGCAGTTATTTTAAACAACCTTTTGCTTGATTTAAGAAAAGACAATGTAGATGCTGCCTCCTGTAATTTGTTTTTGAATTGATTTATTTTGCTAAAAGCATAAATTCTAAAATTTCAAATAGGCCACAGAAATGTCCTTAAAAATTCTTGTATGCTTTGTAGGTTTTACCTTATTTTATTTGTTCTAGAATCTAAAAAAGTTGTTTGCTTATGCAAAAAACAAAGGTAAAGCAGGATATCCAAGAATAAGGTATGCTTCAATTAAGTCACTTTAAGCTTATTTTCATACTATAATACTGTTTATTGCAATTCCAGTTTCTCAACCAATTAAGAGCCTGCTCTTGTTAACCTTTGCCAGCCACCACTCATTCAGTCATTATTTCAATCCACTCTATTTGTGGTGTTTTTTTTTCTGCCTGGGTGTCTCTTGGTCTTCCTCTGCTTCATTTACATGCAATCTTCCCTTTCAATCTCTTGTACATGTGATATGATATGTTGCGATATATTCCAGAATAGGTTATTATCCTTGTAGTTGTACCAATTTTGTGGCCTTTCTTTTTGTTGAAAACTTTATTCAAATGTTTCCAGCTTCTTAATCAGTGCTACACAATGATGCAACAAATTAACTATTAGTTAAAGATCCTAACCATTCAATTACCAATTGTATCCATTTTTATTGTAGCTATGCTATATGGAAGCATATTGCATGCAACAAACTTCAAATAAGTGAGGATGTAGCATGGTTGTATGTACAGTTCTCTTTTCTATATGTAACTTTTTTTGGACGATATGATACAAGTTTATTCTTCAGTTTTTCTTCTTAAACCAAAACACAGTACATAACTTATCTTTGCCAAGGCCCTGGCTCACAATCCAAAATAAAGAAATGAGTATAGAAATGAGATTTATAAAGAATATTTAAATGTAAGTTTTAAACCACAAAACTAAGCATATGAAACTGATTCATTTTTTTTATTAAAGTTTGATAGCCACTTGTTAATGGAAAATCCTTAAAATTATTCTGCCCATGCAAAAAAAACTTTTATTTGGTCTCAATGGGTATAAAGACATGGTAGTTTTTGTTATACAATGGGATGTTCAGTAAAATAGGCTTTGAGTTTATAAGTTTGTCATTCAACAATGGTTTCAATAACCCACACTTCTTTACCAGGGTTGTCAAACCCTAGGCCCATGGGCCGAATCTGGCAAGTGATAGAGAAGTTCAGAAAACTTCATTTTCTTGAATGAATTGTCTTCTAGATATTTTCAGACATGCGATACAGTTACAGAGCATAATTGTGAATTTAGACTGATGGTAGCTGAGCAATATTTGACCTGTAAGACAGATGAAGAAAAGGGTTAGTCTGTTGTCTGCCTCCAGAAAATTTATATTTTGATACAAGGGTTTTCTAAGGGAACCTTTTATTGCAAAGCCTCTGTAAGTAGGTTGTCAATTGATAGGAACTGATTTCAAAGTTTAATGATAATGGAGATAACATAATTTCTCTGAGTAGCAAAGAAGTGCTTTTCAAATTCAGAAATGATGGCCTCATCAAGTAAAAGGCTTTTCTTAAAATATTTATCATGTCACTCATTTCATTCCATGGTTCTTTGTTAGTTTGGTATGTAGATAAAGTTCAGTTTTTGATAATGCATAAACTGCATTTTCTAATGTTTTCTTTTTTCTTTCAAACAGCTAAATGGAGAGAAAGGTGCTCTGTAGATCTATTGAAGTTCCTGATATTTCTCTATATGCAGCATGCACATGTAATTTCCATAAAGGCTTCACTGGTGGTTGGGGAAGAGTATCCTTTACCTGGAATGGAAATCATTATAATCATCATAATATTGCAATGGTAGTCGTAATCAAAACAATGCCAATCAGCATCACAAAACTTGTTCATTTGTTCAGCTAGTGGTCAATTAGTAGGAGATGCAAAATTTTAAGTTGATTTTTAAAAACTTGACAAAACTTTTGCAGTAGAGAATTGTCCTTAATACATGGAACAGATGGCCCTCTCGATCAAGGTCGCCAGAGCTGGAAGGAAGAGCTGGAGTTGGAGCAAAGGTATGCTGCTTTTGAAATTTAAGATTTTATTAAACTATTTTAATATAAGGTTTAAAAACAATTTGGATAGAATGTATTAAATTTTTATCGATTTACAGACTGCCTCATGAATAATTCTGGGTCCCAAACTGTTTTAATAGATAAAAACTGAAACAAATTCATTATCAACTTTCTTTACAATTCTTTCAGCTTTCCAAATCCAAACTTAAAATAGATTTATAAACTCAGGCATCATTAATTTGTGTTACCAGAATGATAACATATCGTCATAGACTTCAATTAAGAAAAGGTTTTTCTGGATAAATAGACATGTTCTTGAGGGACAGTTGCTTTCAGTAGGACTCTTAAGTGTGTTATCATAAAAATCTATTCTACAAATTTTTGAATATTGATCACATAACATAATAGAACTCCATGAAATACTTCTAAATATGCAAAATCATTTAAACGTGTCAAAAATCGGGTGACGTGGGGCCAATGAAATATTTAAAATTTGGTAACAGATTACTGTTTTTTTGGCCCTGTTCATAAAGTTATGAGCAGAGACTGAATAACAGATGGGGGAAAACTTGTGCTCGTGTGGCCGATTTTCGCCAATAAGGCGATTTTTGTGACGACATCACTTCAAAACTCTATAATCGTTGATAGATGAGAGAAACATTTTTCTTGGTGTCTTTCCTGTATATGGTTGCGTACAGTGGGTATACCTTGATTGATTTTATTTCTCAGGTCGTTGTAAAGCTACCTTGTTATGTCAATTTTTACTATACCCGATGTTAACCAATGATGAATCCAACAATCAACCGAAAATGAAAAATTAAGATAAAGGAAGGATATTTCACAAGTCTTTTCTTTTCAATATCAATTTGCAGGGTATTTTCTTTCTGGAAGTTATCATGAATAAGCGGAAAATAATATATTTTCATGGCGATTTTAAATTATTCTCAGCTCCATGAACAAGTCCCATCGAATTAGCCCCTAGATGCAGTTTGGCATTTTGTGCTACTTGTTGCTTTGTAGTATTTTTACTGCAGAGTTTGACGATAAAATGTTTCACTGCCAAGATTAAGTTGTGACCGATCCTTTGCTTTCCTGGGTGCAGCCTGTATTCAAATTATATTTCCAATTATTTCTAAATTTGGTTGCTTTTTCTGTATTTTCCGAAGCAGGATGTCTTTTTGTCTTTGTTTTGCTGGCACAAGGTAGCAGAATATCGTACGCACGACTAAACCCCATACAATTTTCTATATCAGCATCCCCCCGAGTCTAGCTTGTGCCTTTCGAAATACCATAAGTTCTGAAGTTCAGTAGAATATGGTTGTTACTCCTTTATTAGAAATGTTGGCCCTTACAAGCCAAATGAAGTTATAATACCATTTTGCATTTATTATGGGCCGCCATTCACATAATGTTCAGACGTCAAATATATCCTTAATATTTAATTCCCTTTTTAAAACTTTATGTAATGGTTTTCGAGATGTTGTGTTTTTTATGTAATGAGATCATGGTTTGACTTAAAATTGCTAATCTGATGGCAACTTAAACGAACTCTTTCAGAAATCTCACCTTACTTAGGAATTGGTCTTTACAAAACATCATGTTTTGTTCAGGAGTTTTAACCCAAAGCCAACCTCAACTCATTTTGCGTGACTAGTTAATATCATGCAGGAAAATGCATTTGTTTTTAAAAACCACTTTCTTCGCAATAATGAACTACTTTGACAGCGAACGACAACCAAGATTGACAAGATCCTCCAATATGTAATGCTTTTCTTCAGAAATTAGCTGTTCGTGTTGATGCTTTCTGCAAATAAGGATTAGTGAGCCGATTTGTTGGATTAATTAGATTGGCAGACCTTTTTCTTCAATCCGACTTTAAAATTCAACTTTCCTTTAGGATTGTTTCATCCAAACCTTTTGTTCGATATCTATTCATTCTCAGTAGTTTGTAATGTTATGTCATTTTGTTGGAAATACTGTAAAAGTCATCGTGCAGTAACAGCCGATTGCAGTAACATAATAATAAATTTTTTTCTTCTTTTAGACAATGAACGAGCACGCACAATTGCAATTTGTACAGAACAATCTAATGGAAATTTTAGAGCTGCTTGTTGAACCAGGTTTTGTTGATCAGTTTGTTTTTTCCGTATCGCATCGATCAGGGCAAAGCGTAGGGGTGGGGGTGAGGGTGGGGGAGTTGAGGGGCTAGGCTCAACAAGATAGCTTTAAGAATTGGACTCATCAAAGCGGGGATTTTTCAAAATTCTTTAGATTCAGTGAAACTGATCAAAAATTCCATCGAATAAGAATTGTAGTTAATTTCTGTATTTTTCTCTTCTCTGAGTCGGGTGTCAAACAGTTCTAGAATTCCACCAAGCAGTTATGGAGTTGTCGCGATGTGTAAACGAATACACAACATGAAGAACGCTTCACGAATACTGCGGTTTCTAATAACCAAACTGTGGAATTGTTTTGTTTATATCTCCCCGTTTATGACATTGGACAAAGAACAGCAACAATCTTTTTTACTAAGATTTGTTTTTTTCTGCGCATGCGTTTGATCAAAATGAGATCAAATGTTTAGTGAAGAGTTCGTGTAAGTGGTCAAACAGACCCAGAATTTTTCACAAAACAAAATTTTTTTGAACGCTTTCAGACAAGTGTCATTTGGCAAAACTTGTTGACCAAACAGGCCCAACATTCTAAAAGGTAATTTTTGCAATCAGGTGAAATATTCGATTGACCGAGACATAACCCCAAAATGGGGGATTAATTTAGAAGGGGATTATTTCTGAACGATGGATGAATTATATTGTCAGCATTGTTGATTGATCAGAACATGAAAACATGACATTGTAGATGAGAATGTAATAAAGATCCCTGTCTTCGTCATTTATATATAACCTGTCTACGGTAGGACACAGTTTGATTCTCTTTTAATCGTGTGATATATCAGAGAGTAGGTACTTTTACGCGATCTAGCTGAAGTGCAGAAGCCTAGCCTACAGACGAATGATTTCGATTCATTGCAATCATCTGTTAAAAACTATCGTCACTTACATTTCATTTTAGATGCTTACAGTATGGGTGCTAATGGCGATAGCTCGTTAACTCTTGATGCCCTGAAAGCCCTTGGATTGCTTATTTCTGGAACAAGTGGCAGGTAAGTCATTCTTTGAAAACAAGCTACTTGGTATCTTGATGGAATTATTAATTTAGGTCTTTTACATTCTTTGTGATATTTATTGTGATCCAATGCTTGGATTCTTATAACCCTTGACGATTACCTGGTAATCCAGTTCTAGGATTCTTATAACCCTTGACGATTACCTGGTGATCCAGTTTTAGGATTCTTATAACCCTTGACTATTACCTGGTGATCCAGTTCTAGGATTCTTATAACCCTTGTCTATTACCTGGAGATCCAGTTCTAGGATTCTTATAATCCTTGACGACCTGATGATCCAGTGCTAGGATTCTTTTAACTCTTGACTATCACCTGATGATCCAGTGCTAGGATTCTTATAACCTTTGACTATTACCTGGAGATCCAGTTCTAGGATTCTTATAATTCTTGACGAGTACCTGGTGATCCAGTGCTAGGATTCTTATAATCCTTGACGACCTGATGATCCAGTGCTAGGATTCTTTTAACTCTTGACTATCACTTGATGATCCAGTGCTAGGATTCTTATAACCTTTAACTATTACCTGGAGATCCAGGTCTAGGATTCTTATAATCCTTGACGAGTACCTGGTGATCCAGTGCTAGGATTCTTCTAACCCTTGACTATTACCTGGTGATCCAGTTCTAGGATTCTTATAATCCTTGACGATTACCTGGTGATCCAGTTCTAGGATTCTTATAATCCTTGACGACCTGATGATCCAGTGCTAGGATTCTTATAACCTTTGACTATTACCTGGAGATCCAGTTCTAGGATTCTTATAATCCTTGACGATTACCTGGTGATCCAGTTCTAGGATTCTTATAACCCTTGACGATTAGCTGAACGTCCTACTGCCATGTTGATATTCGAAATATAATTCAGTATGTACTTGTTTCGAAATATTTTTATTTGTTCAATGATATATGTGATTTTATTTCCTTCTTTATTTTCATTTTTAGAGATGTGGTTCCTGTAGACGAACTTGCTTCAAGACAATCGCAAGCCCAAAGTTCTGGATATTCAAAGGTACAGATTTTGCCTACTTTGTTTAGGTGATTCGATAATTTTTTAGCATAATCATATAGTCTCCTGTATGTGACTGGTTTTAAAGCTTTCTTATTACAATATAGTGCTGGAATTTTCTTTGCCTCTTCTTGAAATTGTGTTAATCGAATAATTGAAATCACACACATAGAGAAGTTTAGTTAATAAGGTATTACGAATATAGGTATATCCAAAATGAGGTAATATAAAGCAATGGTCATTCAACTTCAAACCTTGGATGTTTATTTCCTAACAACAGCAGCTTGCCTTACTTGCAATCAACGATTTTTATGATACCCATCATGCTTTGCTGGCTTGAGTAAGCCCTTCTTAAAGACACACCGTCGCGCTGTTTATTGGTCTACCAAAACAATGGTTTTGTGTACAAAAAAATTGTCATTGGTAACGTTAAAAAATTATTAGTTTCATTCGCATGATTTATGATTGTTTGTTTTGCAACAGCAATGTTTTGTTTTTAGATTCTTTTATGTTGAATAAATTACGATAATTTATTTTTAAAATAATTTTTCGTAGATTTCAAGGACATTTTCTACGAAGAAGCTTTACAAATGGATAACTTTGAATTTGAAGAGTAACCCTTTTGGAGTTTCTGGCACGATATCATCAGGACAAAGGCTGCGTGGCAGAGCATACAGTGTTGCTTGTGAAGATAGTGAGTTTTGATTCTGTTTAAGCACTATTGGTATCTTCTATTCGAACTTTTTCACGTGTCTGTATGACTCCTAGGCAAAATTGGTATGATTAATGAAACAACGTGAAGGTATTTCATTATTCAAAGAATTAGACCCATTAATAAGTTAATTTTTTAAGTTTGTTTTATGTTATGCTTTCCTGTTATTGCATTTGATTTTTGTAATGAAAACGCTGCATTTAGACGTTTTTAGGTCTTCCTCTTTTCTATTTTCTTAATTTGAGCTAATTTTATAATTTTTAGATAATTTCCAAAAATTCTCTTCATATACTTCCCCAATATTTGTTTTCTATTTGTTCGTTTTCTTGAAGTTTGATTGAATCTAAATTGTGCATCCGTGCTCTAGGTTTGATCACCCTGAAGATATTTAATAATACTTTAAACATCATATTCAATTGCTAGACTATGCTATCTCAGCTCTTCAGGAACCCTCTTAACTTGAGTAAAGAGAAAGGGGGAAGTTTGAAAAACAGAAGGAGGAGGATGAATTAGAGAAACATGTACATTTAACATACTGAATATAATTATTCGTCCGATGTTTCCCTTTTTAAAAATCGTGGATTGACTAAAAGCAATCTTGCTAAAGTGTTATGTGTTGGCAGGACAAGTACGTCCACTCTTCCACTAAACTCTGATATGGGTCTGTTGCCTCATCAAATATTGCAACTTTAATGCATCACCATTATCAGCTTATTTGTGAGAGACGATTTATTTGTTTATTTTCAATCTCTTCTCCAGGCCTAAGTGTTAGCCTAAGCAGCAGTATGGGTGAAGAGCTGATAAGAAATAACCGAGCATCGATCGATCTTCGGGAATTGCAAGATTCAATTACAAATGAAATCGATCTGAATACAAGCATCAAATTAAGCCAAGGGCCCATTTCGAACAAAATCATCTCAAATGCCAACTTTGCTCCAGCTGGGTTTGTACTAATTTGGTTCAAAATTTAAAGCAGCATAATGTGATTTGTTGATTTTTCCTTAAAGGCTAATTGATTTGAATTTGTAATTGCGAGAGAAGGTCTGGGTCACAATTGTGGGTATCACGAAATATTTCATCGTCGTAGACAAAAACACTTGGATAAAGATTGCTTGTTTCTACTTGTTATGTGTATTCCGGTACCCACTAGCCTGAAAATGGGTACATAGTTGTGTATTTGCTTTATTCCATCCCCTGAAAATGGCCTGTTACCTGGAATGTCCCATACCTGCAAGGAGAATGGGGTTTTTTCTTATCTTTGAAGTCATTTAATAGAATAGAGCTCTCTATCATTTCTATAAGAAAATAGAGACCGGGTTTATGTTTCATCATGGAAGTTTGTTTTTAATTGTTGCATGGAAATTATTAAAGTTATGCACCCCTTCCGTTAGCTTCACTCGGAAATAAACCTTGGAGCGTGAGATCAACGGATATACTATGCTGCAACTCTTGCATTTTGATGTAATTTGCTTATGAGATAAAGAAAAGGAATTTCGATCTTTTTGTCAATTTGCTTTTAATTTTGACAATCTTTTCAGCTCTTGGAGGGCTGTGTCAGCTCCTTCTCCTTTGCGGTTATAATTTCAGCAGAAGTCGGACAAAAAGCACTATACTTAGCGCAATTTTTGACCTCTGAAATATTTGTTTGTATAAAACCCTGCTCTTGAAGTGTTTAAATGGTTTGATCCTTACAAATGATTGTTGTCTCAAATACTCGAAAAGACCATGCAGCGTTTCTCTCCTAGCAACCACATGATGATTTTCAATCAAGTCTGCAAACGAACAGTGGCAAGAGCTGGAGACCCGCTGACCAAGAGCCGCGTAAAAGTGCATCGTTGCCAGTACTCACACATGTATTTGCTGTCGCCTTTACGTGCTATCTCTATCGAGAAATGTCACGGTACAAAGCTGTTTTTAGGCCCTGTCGAGACTGTTGTTAATATCATTGCCTGTGAAAACGTCGAGGTTTGTGCAGTTACAAGGAAAATCAATATCAAGTAAGAGAAAGTTATTTTCATGAAGTTAATTCGAACATAAACATCTGTATAAGTGGATAGAGAAAAATATTTTCTTTGTTTTTCGTCAGCTACCGTGCAATAATCTTGTTCTCTGAACTCAATGCTAATGTTTTTAATATGTGTACTATAATATACATGAAAAGTTGTGCAATTGATGTTTAGTAATAAATAATTTATTAAAAAAACGCAATTTTTAAAGCATTGAAAGATAATCATGGATGAAGGAATATCAACAGCATGTTGATTCAGTTTTGTCAACCTCTTTTTGTCATTGTTCTTGGGATTTCAAATCAGCACTTTTATATACTCAAAAATATATTAAAACTGTATATAGTCTTCTTTAACATACCTTTACGTACTCATAAAATATCTTGAAACTGTTCATAGTCCCTGGATAAGCAACAAAATCTAATGGCTGATTTCGTAACTCTGGGGAACATAAAATATCCCTCCATAGTCTCAAATAGCCCTTGGGTTTGTAACTAGTATAATGGTATAACCCGTGAATCAATTTAATACTTGAACAACGTCGTTTTTTAGTGCGACACAATTTTAAATTTCATGTACAATTATTCAATTCTCTTTTACAGTCTCGTTTAAAAGTCATATTTATTTCAGCTCATGTCGCAACTGTGTATTCCATTTGTTTACGGAGACGAAGCCGGTTTTAATTGGCACCAACGAAGATATCTTCTTCGCGCCGTATAGCACATTCTATCCAGCGCTTCTTCAGGACATGGTTACTGTTGGCTTGACAGCATCGTACAACTTCTGGAATGAGCCTCTTTTACCAGGTGAACCTATTCTGTTGAGCCCAGCTCATCGAGTACCATCAGCAACAAGATTTTTAGAATCCTGTGCAGTTATTTTAAGATGAAGCTGCCAGACTCTCGTTTCCTGGAAACAGTGTTTAATTGTGTTGTCTTTCATGCTCTCGTTTTCGCCATTTTTTCTATGTTGCTTTAAGATCAATTGCTTTTGTAACAGATGTCCTTACTAACAATACAACTTTGCTTGTTTGATCTTCGGTTTCTCAATACTAAGCCTTGTTTCACTTCATGACATTATTGCGAAATTAATACCTTTGCAATTACGCTCCTAAACTGCAAGTTGTTAAATCGTTATTTGGCCTAAATTAGCCTAAAATGCACTGACCTGCATTTTTGTCAAATTTAAACGTTTTTGCCTACAGGTAGTTTTTTGCAAAGACTAAAAATGTATTACGCAATTTGTTTGATTTGTAATTTTTATTATTTTTTTCATCATAAGGTTCGGAAGCATCAACAGCCAGCAAAGTTTGGGATGAACTAGACGCAGATAACTTCTTTCGCTTATGTACACCCTTTGACATGGAGGGCGATACCAAAGTTGGTATCTTTATTTACGTTCTACAATCAATGCTTCTTCTTTTTCTTTAAGAGCCCTTCTATCAATTCTCCTAATGTTTCATTGTTTTGATACTGAGTACTAACAATTCTGTCCTTAGTCGATTCGAGGGTTTTTCACATAACTTTGCCCTGACGTTTTCCAGCCCCAGTTAATGTTACTTTACTTAATTAAGGCTTGGCTGTATAATGCTGTATTAATGAAAGCATGGCTGCATAATGCTTGTGAATGTAGGGTCACACATGGGGCTGTATTTACTGTTACCCTATTTTGTATAGAATGATGAGGTAAAGAAGAAAAAGGGGAAGAAGGGGAGGGAGGGAGGGAGGAGAGAGAAAGGGGAAGAGGGGAAGTGGATGAAGGAGAATGGAGGGAGGAGGAAGGAAAAGGGAGAGAGAAAGAGGGGGCGAGTGGGAGAGGAAGAGTGGAAGAACGAGAAAGGAAGGATGAGAGTTGAAGAAGGAAAAGGAAAGGAGGAGTGGTGAAAGGAGAGGGGAAGAGGAAGAGGGGAAGAGAGAAAGAGGGAAAGAGTTGTAGAGGGGAAGAGTGGAAGATGGGAGAGGAAGATACAGAGGAAGAGAGAGTGGGTAGGAAGGAAAGAGGGAAAAGAGGGAAGTAAAATGGGAAAAAGAAGCACGAGGAGTGGAAGACATTTAATTTTAATTGTAGCTTCAAATATAACATAATGTTATTTTAATTTTAGGAATGCCCATTTAGGCTACCGAAAAAGTACGAAGAAGCACTGCGGAAAAAAGAAGAGTAAGAAGTTCTTTAAGTTAACTTTACTGTCCATATCTCTTTGTGGCTCTTACGGTTTTATAGAGCTAGCATTGGATGTCTTATTGCTTATAAAGAAGAGCTGGGATCTGAAGTTACGACCTTAACAAAATAATCTAGCTATTCCTGAATACTTGGGATTATAGAAAGAAGCTATTTCCCTAGCTTGTCATTACAATGTAAGATCTGTTTTTAAGAGTAGATGGTTATTTAAACATTCGTTCTAGTTATATCTTAGCTTAACTTAACAGCATGTGTGATTTTGAATTCTAATCACCCATATGTTAAACTGTATGATTTCTGTTGAAATTATTTTCATTTAGGTACCTGATAAATATTCTTGATTTAATTTGTGTTTTATAAGGATACTATGATAAATTATAGCTCCTCCTGTTTACATATATGTGGTAGTTGAAGGTGGCGGATGCAGTATACAGTAAACCCGCATAAAAGAAGCTGCGATTTTCAATGACAGCCTGAAATATTTCTGATGTTTTTACATAGTGATTCTCATACTGAAGGTGCTGCATTGCCAAAGGGTTATCCTGAGGGCTCTTAATGTACGGATTCTGTTCGGCTTTTTTCTGTCTTTATTTACTAACACCGAGCATTTGTCATTTCTATCTAGTCAGCTTGACAATTGGCATAAAATGGTATCTGAAGCAAAATTAACACGTGATCAGAAAAAGCAATTGCAAGGGATGGTGCAGAGTCGTTTTCAGGTAAAAATTTGCGAAATTATAGTTTAGACGTGTGAACACTACTACGTTTCCTTATTCTGCAAGATGTCTCTTTATGACATTCAATGTTGTTTTTGTTACAAGATATTTTCAAGTCAGACTTCAGACAAAATATTACCATACCGTATGGAGGCATTTGCTAAACAGGGCATTTTTCATAACGATTGCCTACACGAGTGCTGTGTTTTCGCGAACAATACCTTTTTTGACGTCAGATACACGTTATGAAATTAATGGTATTTCACCTATATTCCATTCAGTCTTTCAGTTGGAAAATTTTCAGCCAGGGTACATTTCAGCTGAAATATCTGTTTAATTGTTTTTCTGTCTGGTGCAGAGCCATGTATACATGGCACGAGTATGTAACTTTGTAGGCAGAACAATTAATTTCGAGTTGCATTTTTAGAACCAGATACTTCTCACTAGGTGGTTGGTTTGTTTTTCTAAGATTAAAATCACTGTTGAATTAAAGTATTTTTTTTTAATTTTATTTTCTTTCACCGTGATCTTCTCAGGAATGGTTAAAGGAAACGGGAAATCAGCAGCTACTGGAAAGTTTGACCCTTCAGCACCGATGAACTCAGAAACCTTGAGTGAACTCAGAAATGAACTCAGAAATGAAGCTCATGTCAACACGAGAGAATGCCTCTCAAACTCTCGAAACTTCCGCCTACCGGTAATCAATCTGAGTTTGTGACTTAATAGATATTTCATAGAATGATAGAGGGATCTTTAGTATTTGGGCAGAAAACCTCATTTTCTACAAGAGCTAGATTTAATTAAATGTTTTCTTGTATATCGTATTCAAATACGAACTATGTTTGTTGTGACTGAGAGGAATGCAAAGCGACCCTTTTTTCTATCATTTTATTGATGAGGTGTAGTTAAGATGGTGTTAAATTGAGTTGCGTTTTATAGTTGATTGGAAAGGAATATAGTAACAGTTTGAACAAACGATTTCATTAGAAACTTTAGAATACAAAGCTATTTAAATGAGAAATATATATAATGAAAATGCACTACTTTCTAGAGTAGGATGTCAGTTTGTAGATTAATTGCAATTTTTGCCAATTTGAAATTTCACTACAAATAAAAGAATACTTTTTCACAACAAAGTGCAGTGGTACTTTTCTCTGGTTGCCTTGATGTTCTTATCTTGATTATAGCATGAGGTAAAAGGTAAGAGATATGAGGTAAAAGGCTACCTCTAGACTTGAAAATCTTACTATTCCGTTCTTTTTATGATTTGTTTCTGAGCCTTTTTCTGTACAGAAGTAAACTCAACAGCTATATCCGGGGTGCGAGGCTGGAAGCAACTAGCTGCAGTGAATGTAAAAAAGAAGTGATATTGGCTGTACACAGGCATCATGGTGTTTCTCTCTTTCAATTGTCGCTGTTAAACTCGGAATTCTGATTCCTAAAGGATTTTAAAAGAATGTTGAAATGTTTCAGTTTGTTGAAGGTGGTCCCCTTTGTGTCTATTTCTATAGAAATTGAATTTCAAAGGATTGAAGTCTGATCTTTGGCTTCCATTTGAAAGATTGCATGACTGATCTCTGGAGCCTTGCAAGGGATTTGCTAATTTCCAGGTCTAGGCCCAAATTGCTAGTTTCAGTTGATAGGCCCTTAACCCTTATGAAGGTTTTGATTTGAAAATTACTTAAATGGAGGGATCACCAATGAAATTATGGCTTGAAGCGAAATGGATACATGATAGCTTCATGAATAAAAGGTATGCTGTTTCTTTGTATGGTGTGCAATCATTCCAATTCAGCGATACATTGTTTGATAGTATACTGCAAGCAGTTATGTTGGATTTTTATTATGTAAATGCAGAGTTTGATCCCAGCTCTGTATGCGTTTGGTTTCAGACATAGAGACAGGGATATAAAAGGGAATTTTCGCTAGACTAAGAACAAACGATCTCATTTGTAGTGTAATATCTAGTTGAAGGAGTAGGAGTGGAGCTTGTGGCGTTTTTGCTGATTTGCTTATCAATTAATGATAAACTGCAATTGGCTATATTGTTGCTGATAAGGTACTTTTTTCAAGTAGAGTGCATGTTTACATGGTCCTAATTCAGACTCGATTTGCAATGGCGCCAATTTTATACCCTTTTGGTAACGCGAGTTGCATTGAGACACAAGACTCAAAGAGATAAAGAATTGATCTTGGGTAAAAGGGAAGATATAATTACTAAGTAAAATTTGGACAAAAGTGGTCTGGTAAAACCATACTGGAAACAAACTATTTACATTATATTACAAAATTAATAAAACGATACAGAAATGTAGTGTAATTACCAGATTAAGTAATTTGGGGAGTTCGATTGAAGAAAGCTATCAACTACAGCCTTAAAATGCTTCGTTTACATGGAGCCTCGATTGGCCAACGATAAATTACAGAAAGATAAAAGTTGTTGGGAACATCTTAGCTACTCTTTCAACATGGATAAATTATGCGATTCATTGTACTCGTTACACTGGGATGGCAACATTGCACAGAAAGAGTCAGTCCACTTTTCAGAATGCCAGATAGGCCTGATGGGAATCATATCGCAAAGTTCATGGGAACTGAGTGTGGGCAAATTTTTGTAAAGCATTCGCAGTTCGCTCTGTTTTTGTTTTCGTAAATTCTTATTCCAATCTTTGATCTAAATTTCTCATGTGTTTCTTGTAAAGACGAGGTATAAATCAAGGATGCAAATGCGGGTATCTTTTGTTACGTCATTTCATAGCAGGTAAATCAAGGCTGCGTGCATATTTTTTGTAGCTATAAAGAAGAAGGCTAGCGAAAGGGGAGGCACCCATAATGTACGTATGCCCAACAATAGACAAACGCATAAAAAGGGGAAAATTCAAAATATTTAGCCAATGAGTGGAAAAAGGAGAAGAAAGAAATATGGTTTCCATCATTTTAGCTAATGTTGTGATGTGCTTAAAGATTGGCAGAATAACCCTTAGTTCACTCAACGTGATCTTGATACCAAAAACGTTCTAAGAATGTACGTACGGTTTCCTTTTAGCCCCACAAATTCATGAAATCTACCGCTACTCTTACTGGATCAACGTACGTTATAGATTACACCAGTTTGTCAAAATATCATCTGCCATAAAACCCCAGATGTTTAACCGATAATAATAGGGTTTGGCTCTTTGTTGCTTATACAAAATTTTCAATTACAGTTCTGTCCAGTCTATCAACTTATTTACATTCATGATACTAATAAGTAAAGGGTGTGATGGGAAGTTGAACGTTTCTTCGTGTTTCTCAATGCTGCATATTCACTCTTTGTGTTCATGCTATTTCCAACCGATGCATGATACTTTTCTGAAAAAAATGAAAACAATTTATAGCTCATAATTGGTTACAATACTTCTATGAACATTCAGAACAAATTGCGAGGCGAAGTACAGACATTGAAAATCTAAATAAGACCTATGTAAATCTTCTATGACTAAAAAAGATTCCATAACTGCTTTTTATCATTTATTCACCTTTCGAAAGGTTTCCAGCATTGTCTTTGTGAAACCAACCTTGAGTAACTCTGATATCTGTAAACAAAATATGTGTTCCAATGTAATTTATGCAACGTTGTTAGAAAACCGGTATTTAAAGCTTAAATTTAATTGAAATTGACTCATAAAGTTATAACCAACTCAAAATCTGGGCTTGCTCCCGCAAAAAGCAAAAACTTTCGCTAAATTAACACCTTAACTGTATTATCAAGATTCTGTGGCCATTAAAACATTAAAATAAGAATAACTTTAGAAATTATTATTTCTAAAGAGACCTGAATTTTATTTTTTCAAACTATAAATCGTTGGAATACCCAAACATTATATGACAGTTTGAAAAAATGTCAATTGCCGGCAAAGTATGAGACACTATTGTCTTTGCGACATTAGATGGAAGGGGTCGCTGAGACTGGGATAGTTGTCCGCAATCGAATTGTAGTTCTTTGTAGAGTAAAAGCAATAGCAGTCTTATTATCCAAGAAGAGTATGTTAACAGTATAAGAGTTGTTTTGAGGCAAGGATAGGACATTCATTATTAATTTGTTGCCCTGACAGCAGAGATTTCGAGAGATCTGAAATTTATGGCATAAATTAAACTATACATACGCTGCCGAAGTGTCCATTTTCGTCCCGATATTTTATTATCTGTTCTGCTCTCTTCTTCCCGATGGTTGGCAAAGCCATTATTGCTTTGATGCTTCCAGTGCTCAGAGTTTTTATCAGTTTTGCCTCTGAAATTTGGATGGATACAATAAATACGAAGAATCGGCGTTAGTCTAGAGAATATCCTAAAAACGTATTTCAAGGCATTCAGCCTTGTATTCGAAAGTTGAGCTGCCGGTAGTATTTATGACTTCGTAAATCCGTGCAATTGGATACACTCGGAAAAGACATAATCAGACCAAAATTATTTGTGTCCCCCTATGCTATTCAGAGATCCTGGAGCACAGTCCTTTGAAAGGTCACAAACACAATTCAATTTCAAAATTCTGTACAGATACATATTTTGAAACACCGAAAAGATATAATCAGACCAAAATTATATGTGTTCCCCTTTAATATATTCAGAGATCCTGAAGCACAGTCCTTTGAAAGGTCGCAAAAAATAACTCTATACTAACATTCTGTGGAGATACCTAACTTGAAACAAATGAAAAGCCTCAAACAGACTATTCCGAGACTCGCCCAGATTTCGAAATTCCCCTTACTTAAGTCTTTTTGAAAGACTATGTACAGTTATGTTGATCTCAAAATTTTTCCCGAATTTTAAGGGACTGCATTATTGTACCTTTGGCAAAACACAGAAAGGTATTCACAAACAAGCAAGTTGTTTATTTAGATATATCGTTTAAGTTAATGTCTTTAAGTTAACTCACCATATTCTTCAAGCATTTTTGGATCCAATGTGATTTTATATTTTGGTGTGTTGCAGACACCTCCAGGGCCATTTATCATTTGTGGCAAAGAAAGCTGGCTTGCCTTCATCATAGAAAACAAGAAACTAGTATGAGTTGCATTTCTTACAACATTAAAGGGCTTTAACTTTGGTGTAAATGTGATTTTGAAATGTTGTATATTGCAAAGTCATTCCTCGCTTTTTTTTCAACTGGGATAAAGCGAGTTGCATAGGCTGGACCAAAGAAAGTAATGAGAAAAAAGACCATATTTCTTATTTCCTTGAAACTTAAAAGTCAATGAAGCTATCTGGAATTTGTTCGTATAGATTCATGTCTAGCAAAAAAATAAATTGTTTTCTATTTGAAATATAAGGCAATTGATACATTAAATAGCAATTGCACTGTTTGCCAAACAAAACAATGCTAGAAACTTTTAACAGACAAAAATGGGAAAACACAAATTCCTTTTGATTTGTACACATAATAAGAAGAAAACGCTCTTACATTTGAAAAAGATGTTCCTTGGTCCTCAGGTGAGTCGAACTGGATTTTCTTTTTTCCTGCACAAGGAGTTTTACAAAGTGCTGGCTGGGACTTCGCCATGAGGGGCCTAACTTTGTTGACAGGTACATTTGCTTTAGAACTTTCTTTCAATGGGGCTGGTTTTGGTTCAGTCTTTCCCATTTGTGTTTTCAGTTGGTCTTCTAATACCTTTAGCCTTTTAGCGAAATTGTTCTCAAACTCTTGCTGCTTCTTGCCAATTGGGCTATATGTGACGGAGATGAATAGTAATGCATAATGGACCCAATGCATTAAAATAAAATAAATGAATAAGTTTACAGAAGGGGTCGTGGGTTCGAGTCTCGCTCGGGTCGGTTATTTTCCCGCACTCTCTATTAAGTAAATGAATAACTTCAAAAAGAAAATACGATTTTCATTAAACTTTACTTTCATTCATCTTAAAAAAATTAACGCAAATTCAGTATTTCATCCAAAAGAGCCATCTGGAGACTTTTAGAGTTAACAATCCCTCAACATGAATTTGACAAATCAATACAAATGATGAGATACAATAGCCGCTCACCTAAGCAACTTCTTTAGATTTTCAACAACAGTAGCGTCCTGTGGATTGGGATGATAGAATATTTAAAACCTTGTATAAGTTTATGAGTACGCGTTCGTTTGATCGGAAGTGAGAACGTCTGCCTGATAAGAAAAGCTTTCAAGAGAATCAAGCCTTATTCAAATTTATATATTTCAATACCCATCACAACAAAACATATAATTTCAAAAGCAAGAGCTTTCGTTAAGACATTCAGCATCTAGAAATTGTGTCTCCGTGCATAGCTATGGAAGCACAGTCAACAATTCTTAAGCCTGTTTGAGATAGGGATGCCACTTCAATAGGTTTTCGTGTACAGTTTTTGTGTATCGACGGTTAACGTAATTATTTACCAATTCCGGTTTAACAAATGATCGTTACAGCTTATGCAGAATGGCTGGTCAAAAATAAAAAGCAAAATGAAAAAAAAATGTCAGTGATTTTTGTATATGTTAAGATAGATAATGGAAATGTTCAGCAATTGACTTTGTGACTGAACCTACCACTTTTTACATACACTTTATCTAAATCATGAGACATAGAGAGATCCATGATACCTAGTGTGAAACAATATGCAAGGAGAGAAAACCATTTTTTGATGTGAAACAAAAGAACACCGCTTACCTGGTTTTCTTTGTCTACCTTCTTTTGGTTCTAAATAAGAAAGAAAATAAGGTAAGACATTATACATGCAATATCTTTTTAGTATCAAAATACCTACTAACTAGGACTCTGGTGCACAAACTATTCATGATCTGTAAGAGTTTTTTAAGCGTTCGCCGAAAGGAAGTATGTAAACAATAAGGTGAAACTACCAAAAGAAAAGAACCATACACGAAAGAGGTCTCGAGAAAAAGCAAATGCTCACAGGAACAAAATCCGACGAATCAAACAAATCTATAAATCTGGTTTAGAGAAGTGCTTCATTGAGAAGAGACGCCAAGTAGGAAAAAGCTGGAAAGCTCATAATTGTTTTGACTTTTGCCATAACATTGCAGCATGAGAAGAAAATAATCTGGAATTATCAAAGCAGAGCTGATAGGTACCTTGTCCTTGTCCAATAAGGGTCGTTTTGCCTCAGGGTTCCCTTTATCTGCATCTGATGAATGTGGTCGTTTTGCTGGCCTTTCTTGTATAACTAGAAGGTTAGAGGATATTGGAAAGAACCGTATGATGGAGAACCTTTTATAACTGTATAGAATTTCTAAAGAATACCCAAGTCTTTGATGAGCCTCGCTATTCTTAAAGAATCGAGAAAAAGGTCATATTTTTCTTCATCACATAATCATTGTAGGAAGCGAAACATAAGCAAAGCACAAGCCTCGTGACTCTTTAAATTTGTTTACTTCAAAGTCATATTTTCATTGTTAGTTCAAATAACTCTTATAGACAAAAAGTCAAATGATATCATGCAATTCAAGCCTGGCGATTATTCTGACTGCCCATTGTCTAGGCTTTTAAAGGAGTTTAAGCTATTTAGGAGAATTAAAATTGTTTTACCTGCAGTGAATGGCTTGTTGACAATTTCTCTTGACTTTGATGCAAACTTCAATGTGTTCAAAGTGTCCCAGTAGAAGGATGGTTCCGGTGCAATGCAGGCAATCATAAGAGAATGTGCTGTTCCTCCAATCGAATCCTGAAGAAGTGCAACATGAATATGTACCAGTTGTTCAAAATAAAACCTGAAGACCAAACACACGTGGGCTTTGGATCACCAGGATCTTATTTAGATAGAGAGGAGTTAGACAAGTAGGCGTGACATGTTTCTTTGTTTTCTCGTGTTTTTTGCCGACAGACCCTCACTCAGTGGTAAAGGTGACTCCCCTAACGCCCCTTATTGCAACAACCATGCATGTAATTTCTTAACGTATTTTGATGCCAGTTGAAATACAAGCCACATATTCAAACAGAAACGTAACCACAACGGGCAAATTGAGATATATGAATACGAAAAAGGTACCTGAAGAAGACGTGTCAGCTTGCTATCTCTGTACGGGATTCTATGCTGTTGAGGTGAAATGAAAGAAATTCAGCGTCATTAAGGCAACTTTCATAATTTTTATATGTCAATAGGAAAGTACCAGGTGTATGGCAATGTGTAAAGAGGGTCTTTTGTAAGGTGATAGTTTTGTTAGAAAAATAACACGTTCACCCATACAGATGCTTTCGACAAAGTGTGCTATTTTTGTCAGATCGTAGATCTTTTATCCGTTCATGCATACATTTGTTATGAAGTTAGAGCAAAGCAAGGTTTATCCCTGTCCTAAGTTTTATGGCATAGTGCGTAAATCCCCAGGGCAGGAAATTGGTGACCCTAATTAAGAAATATTATTCCGGTACTTAAACAGTATGATTATCCCTTCAAACTAAAACATGTATTGAGTGATTACATACCAGTCCTTTGTTAAGTGCATCTACAACCATGCTCAATGCAAACAGTGAAGAGTTGATTGCGCCACTTTCCTTCAGCCTACAACCAATAAACAAACTGATTTACTCGCAGATCAAAATTTTTATGGCAGAGAAGCTAGTGACATTGATATCCACAGATGGAATTATCGTGTCTTGAAATAAAAGAAACATAATATGTAACAGGCAATAATGTTGCCATTGATTCACTTTAAAATCCCTACAACATGATACTGCTGAAATCTGCAACCATTTCCAGGTAAAAAGGGACTCAGAACCACTAGCGACAACTGAAAAATGTATCACCAACTTATAGACAGTTTTTGTTTATCAAGTAATATTAAAAATTTGACTGAAATATTTAAAAACAGACAAAATTTTTTTGGAACTTTTGCAAAACAAGGACTTAATTGTTATCACTCATCAATTATGTGACAATAATTTTAATTCAATGATAGGTTATGATTGATGTTACACAAAAGGACTATGGTTCTTTGCTTCAATTAGTACCAGGTTGTTTGGCAATATGTCTCACCTTATACCAGTATTTCCTGTCCTTCTGTTATCCTCAGAGCCAGCTAAATCAATAAGGTACAACTTTCCTAGATACTTCTTTGTTGGATTGTCAGCATTAGTCTTGACAACCTATGGAGCAAAAATATAATTTAATTCAGCTGTAATGTGGATAATGATTGATTAATTACCAATGATTAAAACTCAACTATTTGAAATCTAAAAACCTAACGATTTAAAAAAATTTACATGTTAAAGGTAAAAACAAGAAGGGTAAAACCAGTCCTTTTCGTTTAGCGCGTGCGATCGCACCCGCACACGCCTGCACACGCGCAAGTTAAATTGCGCGTGCTTTTGACCACACGCGCAAAAAAGGTGTTTTTGCAGTTTTCTGTTAAAGGGCCTCTCCAGCCAAATTTTGCACTTGCAGTTTATTGGCAATTTTTATAAAGAAGTTGAGCCTGCTAAATCACGAATTCGTTATTTGTTTCTCGATATTTTTTTACGGTTTGTGAGATATAAGCTCTTGCATTTCGATAATTTAATTGAATTAACCGACAAAAATATTTGGTTTGGTGACACTGTGACGCAATTTTGACGTCACAGTGTATTTCGGATAGTCTCGCCTCAAACCGAATCGAACGACGTCGATTCGCAAATTGAACACTGCAAGTGATGGTACTCTCAGTTCTGTTCCACCAGCTTTTAGTTTGAGCATTTCAGACACCAATTCTGAAGCCTTTAGTTGTTCATCGTTTCTGGAGAACAACTGAAGTGACAATTTCGATTAATTATACGCGAGGGAAGAGCTGGAACAGGAACTGGAACTGGATGCAGTTATCAACGCGTGACCATGAGTCCTTCACGCTTCGGTGGAAGATATACGAAATTCATGGCGATAGGGAGCCGCACATTGTGACGTCAGAATGTCACCAAACTGATTCGGCTTTTGTCGTTTTTTCGGAAAGGTGCAACTGTAAAGCCTTACAACTTTTAAACTAATTGGAATTTTTGAAAAACAATGACTTTGTCATAATACACGCACCAGATGCTAACTTTTAAGTTATTAAAAAAAATTTTTTTTGCTGGAGAGGCCCTTTAACATCAATTTCCCATGGTCTCATGATTGTTTATCCTTTCCCTTGTTACTTGATTCGCACTTTTGACCACAATATGATTTTTCCAATTTTCGGAAGTGATGTTTGGCTTTTGACTGAGTGCTCGATTCAACTTAGCGTCTCGTCTTTCAGCTAAGTCGCCATTAGCATGTTAAGTGTAATAACTGATTTCCTGTCAAAACGTAATTAGGCCCTGAAAGCAAGTAGCTGTTGGAAACAATTTTTGCTTGCTCTTGTAACTTTGGAGAGTGACGACGACTTTTAAAAGATGGCTGCTAAGGGCAACAACATCTGTTATGTATTGATTAATTTTGAGTTTTGCTCTTGCACGTATTCGAGTGGCTTTTTCCTTTCTTGCTCCTTTTACCAATTTTATCAGGTTTGTACTTCAAATTTTCTTACAAGTGCGATCGCACGCGCAAATTTGTTTACATGTGCGATTTGCCACACACGCGTAATTTTGCTCACGAAAAGGACTGGTAAAACCTATAATAAATAGGCATATAGTAGAATTCTTGTGGAGCCCTTTCATTTGCTTTCTTAAACTATATCAAAATTTAGAACAACTCTGAGTTCTGATCTTGTCTGACTATTCAAAACATGTTCTAAAAAACCATGCCTAATCTTAAAACTTTCCGAATCAAATGGATAAAAAGAAATTTAAACACAGGCTACCTTCATCAGAAGTATAGTGTGACTTCTTGAAGAGCGAGAGTTGAGCTTTGTTGATCCAATGGTCCTATGGATTGAAATTTTGGAATAACTGGCTTGGTAATTCAGAAGAAATCATTTACGAAGAGAGTTTTTCTGCTGATTTTAGCTGTTTGAAAATTACAACCACAATTTTGCATTTTAATTACGAAGCTAGAATTTATGCACGAGAGGATAAAAAAACAGGAGCTCACCTATTATTGCTTGCAGACTGGTACTTGTGAGTAAATTCATTGAAGCTTGAAAGTTTAACCTAATAGAGCAAAAGAAAATTAAACAAAGATTAAATTTGATATTATTAATCATGCTAAATTATGTCTCTTACCATTTTTGAATCTATAAATGATAACTAGGTGATATCTTTAATAGTAAAGAATATATGTAGTTACCTACCTCAGTTAACTCTGGAATAACAATATTCCCTGTTGCATCTTGGCGGATGGGTAGGTCTTTTTCTTTTGGCTTTATCAAGTCATACACCTAAAAGTTTTGAGACATTACATAGCAATTTAAAAAAAAAATGAAACCATCACAACAATGAATTTTCAATAAAAATTGATCAACTTAAGGCTGAAATACATTATGCATTTAAATGGATTCAGTTTAATGGATCGCTGGAAAATGGACAGTATAAACACAAAATTGGATGTCAAAATAGCTGTTTTCACAAAATGAAACTTCCTTTTAAAAAGTTGGATGTGTTGAACTTTCATCCAACTTTTTTTTATTGTATTCTTCAAACCTCCTTCAAACCTATTGTCTTTAATGATGTGCACTGCACTTCAGGGGCTTTACTTCATTAGCCAGGTTATTTTTTTGATCAGGCTGCTTTCTGAAATTCTTATAAATGGCTGCAAAGAGTCAAAGAATTAATTAAGACGAAGAGTTTAAAAATTTGTGGAGAGAGGAAAGCTGTCTTTGGGACACAAGATTGCCTCTGTATCTCAATAGAGATTCAAGACAAACAAATTAACGAGACTTGCTGATAATTTTATCTTTGCTGGTATTGCCTCTCACAGCCTTGTGTTGATTTTTTTAAATATCAAATTCACAGAGTTGCAAGAGCCCATCGATCTTTTTGCAAAACATTCTCAAGAACCTTTGAAATTCCTTTCAGACAAAATTTATGCAAAAGCATGTTATCAACTCCTAGCTCATTTCTTCAGGTCAACCGGGGCTTAACCGAGATGGATCTTTTTTGCCTATTAACTTCTTTGCACATATTAACATGTTCTTTTTGTAAACAATTGCAATATTAGTGGAAGCAGCAGCCCATTCGTCATCAAAATACATGATGGACACTTTAAAAAACTGATTCAATTTAATGGATGAGATAAATGGGTACATTTTTTCATTTAAAGTGACCATTATTTTAATCGAAACCATTTAAATGCATAATGTATTTAAGCCTTTATTGACGATTTTTGGAGAAATGAGTAGACTAACCTTCTCTTGGTAGATTTCCAGCATTGAAAAATGCACAGAAAATGTCTCTTTTTGTTTACTTTCAAGCTCCCTGGCCTTCATAAGCATGAAAACGTAGTTTATACATCTAGGAATTAGCCCTGAAAAGAAATTATTAAAATTTTCATTAACTTTACATGCAGCTTGGTTTCCACATAATTTTCAAATGATTGAAAATTTCTTAATAAGGCTTACTCTGCATGAAAAGAAAACATGTTCCAAGTGTTAAAAAAATAAATATCTAAAAAATTAGCAATACAAACACAACAATCAAAAAATATTATCATCATGAAAATACCAAATATATAATGATCATAAAATAGCAAAACACTACCTGGCTCTTCCCTAGATCCAACTATTGTATGTGTTTTCCCTGCAAAAAGGGCATCATTCTGAAAACTGTATTTTACCAATTAAAAAGATACTACCGTTGATATACTCTCTAATGGGCTAGAATGTCTAAATTTGAAACATATGATCTGAATTTGCATATTTTTTAAAAATAAAAAGCTATTCGATAGTTACCTTATCGTATTTTCCACATAGATACAGATGCTAAACCAACAACAGATTTTAAGACACAAGAAATCAACCTTTTTCCTATCAAAACCTACAAACTGTACACAAGCAGAAATGTAGGAAATATGCAAAAGTGAAGTTAAATTTGGTCATCAAAATAGTATACTGCAAATCTTTCAATTATTTTTCCCTTTAAAATAGTAGCTCCATTCCATGAAAAAAGGCAAAACTTTAATGAGCACCCCAAACATACTATAAACAAATTCTATTGACAAAAAGGTCATCATTTGTTGCCAATCTAGAACAGAAGAAAATAAAAGGCCTTACATACGATGTTTGTGTGCATGTCTTTTATATATCTATGACTTGGATGATCAGCCCCATTTGTTCTTAATGCTTGACAGCTTTTAAATGGTACCATTCAATTGGTTTTAAAGATAATGTATATACCTGCCCCAGTTGGACCATAGCCAAAAATTGTTGCATTCTGTCCATTTAAAACATTTGGAACCAAAGATTTTACATCCTCATATATCTTGCTTTGGGCTGCATCATCACTGAAAACTTTATCAAATCTGTGAAACAAAACATTAATTAGTGCCTGTGAAAGCAATAGCTGACTGAGATAGCTACACATACATAAAACTTTCATTATTAATTTGCCAAAGAAAGTTTAAAAATTAACAGTCATATATCAATAATTCCACGGATAATTTCACGATTTCAAATCAAATCAAATTGCTTATCATGTATGTTCTGAAAGAGACAAATCATTTCAGATGAATATCCGGTGGCCATGGCCAATACAACCGTGAAGCAAAACTAGCTAGTAACTCTAAGGGTTTCTAAATAAAAACTTATTTGCTTACTCGTATTCTAAAACATCACTGTTTGGGTTCCTGTAATTCCAAAGTTGCAGTCTCTTCTCGGTCGCTTTCTTCGCACAGCACTGTGGCATACCATCTTCGTTTTCTTTCTTCATCACAGGCCGTAGCCTAATAAAGACCTTTACCCTACTTCCCATCTTTGGATACAGAGCAGCAAGAGCCTGTTTCCAGCCTAAAATAATTTTGGCACTTCGATTAAAACTAAATAAGAATGGGAAAAAACCGTTCTGTAGTGTTGTAAGGTTTTCACGATATATTTATTTAATTATTCGAGTCTTACATTTAAATGAAAATGTAAACTCTTTTGATGATGGGCCTTAGTGGATGTCCTTCATTTAATCGAATTCAATGCATGCGTGATGCGCTTTAGAACAACAAGTTGAGAACGTTGGCTCTTGATCGTTGAAGCATGGTTCATTATAAAAGTAAATTAAGAATAAATGAAGTAAAAACAAATGGCTCTATCTTACCCGATGTAGAAAACCAGAATTATCTGTAAGACACTAAGTTAAAATGGCTGCCAGTTATAAATAACGAGTTCGAAACAGGCGGTAATTTAAGTAGACCAATCAACATCTATCATTTCGGTCACGTGAATATGCTTTGTATTGAAAACGAGACTGCTCTCAAAAATCCAAGAAATGCTACGCATTATATGGGAATATGATATGTTTCAGAGAATTCGAAAAGTCACACGAAATGGTAGACTGACTGATGATTTAAATGCCATAGAACAACATAATTCCATTAGAATTTAGTTAAAAACCATATCAAATGGGGGTGAATGGCATGTGAGATCATAAAACACTCTACAAAAATACAATTGTAATATAGACACAAACATAGAAATAGACACAAACGACGCTCTAAAGGATTTGGCCCACATAGATAACAGACACCCCAGACCAGTTTAACAGCACAAGAATCGCATAACAGCACCAAAATCGTATATGCATAACGGCACCAAAATCCAACAGTGGCGCTTTGATAGCTATACTGTATAAGATATTTTTTAACAAAATGCTAACCCCCTTAAAGCTTAACAATTGTGCAATTCGTTAAAGGAAGAAATATAAGCACAATTTAAGCATGGTCGCAAGGCTTAGATTGGTTCTCAGTCGAGAGCTTAGAAAGAATTAAAAATGAGTTTTGAGCTTTCATCAAAAATAAGCGTATCTTTATCTTCGTTCTAAGATCAATGACCCAGACCATAACAACAGTAATTTGCTAGCGAAACTCAGTTCTCTTACCTTTTAAAGTCAAAACAGATTTTATGACGTCACTCTTAATTTATTTTGTTTGGCACATGGTGTCCAAAGGAGACCCAAAATACGTAAACTCTAAAGACATCTTGTGGACCCAAAATTAATGTATACGAGTTCAAGTGAAATAACAACAATAACACTTTCCTTAATTCAAAGTTAGCATTTCCTTCTTCAAGCACCATATGTTCTAACTATCTAAAATCTATTGAAAAAGTTTTACAAGAATTATCCAACTGCAAAGATATCTCTCAGAAGCATTATCAGCATAGGAGAGAGTTCAAATGCATTTTGCATACCTCAGACTATTTGTCATGAAAACTTTCTATGTACCTTTCCAAGTGGGAAGATGGCAACAAGATTATTTATCAAACTCCGCGAAAAGCTAGTTAGTTAGTTATATTCATCAATTAAAATTTTCCTATAAGGGGGTGGACGCTCCTCGATTAGCTTTGCTACTGAGAGACCTCCTCCTCAAAAATTCCTCTTCATGCAAATTTCCTAAATTTTCTGTAGTTGTGTTTAGTCTTTAAACTTGTATTGTAACTTGTAGCCTGTAGCTTATTTTAATGTTTTGACAAAATTTGTATCTAATGGAATTTAAAATTATATATGAACTGAACTGATGAACTGAACTTCTGCTTGTCAGAAGGGATCGAAAGTGTCCTATGATCCGCTTCCAGCGCATGTCAGCAAAGTTAGCAGAATTGCATCCATATTCTTCCCTGATCCCAGGTTTAATGCTAGGTAGGCTCAGGGGGCTGAGCCACCTTGTTTTTAGCAGCATTTCGTGCAAGAGCCCCCCGCTTGTTATTTTGATTACACTAAAAACTTTGTGCAAGCAACTTTTCCAAAATCTGCCAGATAGAATCAAGACGACTTCATTGAAAAAGACTACTTTTGTTAGCCTTGCCCCCTTCCACACTTTCAAATTCATGGTGTGGGCCCTGAAGTATAAACATTTTTTGTCTGGATTGGGATATTGATGGAAAAGCCCGGTCCTGAATAACTTGGTGCCATAGCTAAATGACGGTGGTCCATTTTTCATATCGTCTCTCAAAAAGGTTACATAAAGATAAAATACCAGCTGTTGAATGCAGTGGCGGAAATTCAGGCTTTCATTTTGGAGGGCCCAGGCCTACAATTTTCCGACAAGATAACATCTTGGATCATGTCTCATTTTAAAGAAACTGCACATTTGATAAAAATAAGTGATTTTTGACGGGACCCTTTAGAAAATTTTCCTGACCACACCATAATTAAGTAGCAAAAATAACAATCCATTAATGATTTTTGATATCGAGATCGATATCTCATCTAAGACAATTGATGACACAAGAGGTCGACCGATTACACTTTTGATAAGTCGTACGTTCATTTCATGCATTTTATCTTGTTTTCGTCAGTGGGAAATACGTTTGAAAATAACTTTTATTCGAAAGAATCCGATGAAAATTTCGGCTAATCTTTACGGAATTGAAATTAAATATACAATTCACAAGCAGTTTTTTATTTTGGTCATATATTGTTTGATTGATTATTTAATACTGGCCAATATTTTATCAGCTATGCTATGTTCAACTTTTGCAAGGCACCGAGAGGTTATAGAGGCTCCTGGGGTAAAAAGGGAAAATGTAGATCAGCTGCGAGCGAAGCGAGCAGAAAATTTGGTGATTACGCCCCTAAGTAATTACGCCTTTAAGAGTGGCTTAAAATTCCTTTTCAGAACAATTTCTTGGAGTAATTTCGACCCGTTAAAAAGTTGTCAATTATCCGACAAAAGCCTGTATTTTCTGATGACATCGTTGATTGGGGGGCCTGAGCCCCCAAACCCCCATAATTTCCGCCACTGGTTGAATGAGTGGCAACAACTTAGAAGAAATGTTTTGAGAATACGAGAAACGAAGACTCGGTAGATATATTCTTTGAAAGTATCGTCCAAAGAGCTTTGAAGTCTGATTTTATCGACGATCTTGTCCTGCCAAGAGTAAGAAGTAAAGCGAATAATAAAATTTTAAAGGAATGTCTCGTCGTTTGGTAACACATACTTAGCTTGTGCTCCAGTAGACTACTTTCAAGTTAGAGGTCTGGAGCACAGGCTACACATACCATCCTTCCCCACCAAAGGAGCACAATCAGAAGCGGCGCCACGGGGGGACTAGGGGGACACGTCCCCCCCAGTTCTCAGCAGGATCAATTTTGCATTTCGTCTAAATCCGAAGAGAAAATGTTGGGGGAGGGGTAATATTTTGGCAACGTACTTTTTGCGATGTAATCCTGTGATTTTCAAATTGCCTTTTTCTTGTTAGTAAAAGGGCGTTTTCTGGTGCTAAAAGGGGCGTGGTCTAAAATCTTTTGTTTTGTCCCCCCTAAAGCGTAGTGGCTGGCGCCGCTATTGAACACAATCGAAGTACCTATTTCAATTTCTTCTTTAGTATCTATGTGATGATAAATAAATGGGTTTTAAAATCAATTTGTTCCGAAGGTTGTTACAATAAGAGTTTACAAACTAAGTCCTCACCTTTTCTGAACTGCTTTATTTTTCATCTTCAGTTGCGGTAGAGCTTCTGTTAATATGTTCATGCTTTGGTGCTAAACCGTGCTATATTTATTTTTGTTTTCCTTCTTATTTTGATTCCTTCCATCAGACAAACTATATTTCGGATGCAATTTCCGGCCATCCTTTGAATGCCATATATATTTCTAAACTTTTTCTTACATGATATCAAAATAGGACTCGTTCTGATTTCTCCAAGCCTACTATGGAAATTCCAAATTCCAAAATAATGACTTTACCTCTTTATGAACTCGAGGCTGCAAGTGTGCTCTTCCCGCCAAAATATTGACGCACATGCATTCGTGATTGCTTTCGCCATCATGGTGTTCTTGTCGACTGGGTGCACGATTGGCCTTGACCAGCCAGAGCTAAAAAGAGATTTCAAAGACAAGAATAAAGCACAAAATGAAGTCAATATTGAAATGAAAGAAAATGTGCCAGAAGGAAATAATAATAATTTACCTCCAGTTGATGAATCAAATCAACAATTAGCAATGGGAGCTGTGCTGGACAGTTACATAACAAACTCTAGTGTTGCAACTCAAAAAGAAGCGAAGGTAGAAGCCAAATGCGAGGAAGACGATAAATCTATAGAAGATAGAAGTGAGACCAAGGTATATCATTTTGCGATAAAGTATTTTCACAACTATGGTTAAGGAAAGGTTGGACGAAAGGAGGTTGGGTCACTGAGAAATAGGTTTAGGGGCGTGCTTTTTGCAAACGACTTGATCAGTACCAGGGACGCCTGCACAAAGTTAGGGCAGGAGGGGCAATGTTGATGCCGAGGGCAAATCGTGGAATTTTTCTATTAACATTATTGAGTATTCCTTGGTGGGAGGGGGGCGAGGTTGGGGTAACATGATAAAATATTAACTTGAATACAGTGCCACCCATACAGCTGGATTTTTTACCCTCAAAGATTCTAAACATGAGAAAATGTGGACAAAATTATCTATTCACAAAAATTGGTATTAAATGGCATTGTCACTATTCACCATATTTGGTTTTATAAAAAATCATGGCTGTTATAAATTGGCTGGTTGTAAAATGTTGATTGTCCGCTAAGTTTTTATAACAATTTATCCTCCTTAGGTCCCTGTAGTACTTCTGAGGGAACACGTTGTTTGTTTATCATCTATTATCTTTGCTGCTCTCCCTCTTGTGGTTAACCTTGTCATAGACAAACTTTTTATCCTTTGCGTTTGTGTGCTGGTCTTAACATCTTTCTAATATTTTTTAATAGATATTAACATAATGAGAATGGTCAAAGTGGTAATTGATTATCAATAAGATTCTATAGTATTTTTTTATATTTCAGGGCACTTCTAGCCCCCTCTACCCCTCTTTGAAGAGGGCAGCTGCCCCTCCAGCCCCCCTATATAGGTGCCCCTGATTAGTACTGTGGAGTGTGTTCTGCCTAAACAAGTTTGAAAAGCTTTATGAAATAAAGTCAATCATCAGCATCAAAACTCTGGTGTAACTATCTAAGTAGTAGAAGTAGTAGTACCCTTTTTATTTTAGTACTTACTTAACTTAATAAAACACACATAAAAAAATTCAATAAGGGTGCAATAGAATTCTTTTTTAGATTCTACCACATCCCCTTCTTGTTCTTTACACCTTGTATATCGTCTTCTCTCCTCATATCTTATCTCTGCTGTCTCAATTGCATAAGCAAAGTCATAACAAAGTTAGTGACAAAGTGAATCACTGAGCATCTAAGTATATACCCAGACCTTGTGTTTGTTTCTACCTAACATCCTAAGGTAGTTTTAGGACACTGAGAAGCTTATGCTTATCGAGCAGTGTCCTGGTCTTTCCTCTCGATGTTACCACACCTTGTGTGTCCCTGTGCCTGGAATTATGTAGAGCTGGCAACTCTCCTCACTCTGGGTGGAAGTTTTGTCATGCCAGGGACTTGAACCCTGGACCCTTGGTTCTGTAGTCAGCGCCACTAACAACTGAGCCATCCTCGCACCTTCAAATCTTGTAAATTATAAGGGTTTGGATGATATTGCCCTACTTTTTACTCTACAGCTTTCTTTCCATAAAAGCCCCCTTGATTCATCAAATTTCCATTAGAGAGTGCAGGAAAATAACCGACCCGAGCAAGGCTCAAACTCACAACCCCTGACTTTGTACGTCAAAGGCTCTGCCACTGAGCTATCAGGTTGTGCTTTCAAGCCATCACCCAAGGCCGAGTCATTCACCTGCACTTTCCCTCTCTTTCACTGATTTCACAGGGGAGCCATCACAGAGTGCAAAGTGCCTGAAGAGTGAGAGAGGACTGCCCACACCAGGAGGGCCATCGCAGCCCAACCACTGGATAGGGTTGAAGAGAAAGTGTAAATCCTGTTGTCTTTACAAATTCCATTGCATATTTCTATGCTATATTTCTATGCTATGCATACTTAAAAAAATTTAAAACCGAAGCAGAAATTGTTAATTTATCCATCAAACTGATATCAATGGATAGTGACCTAAATTTTGTAACTACATTGGAAACTGGTCTTAAAGAGAAACAAATAATTAATAAGTTTATTGATGACTTATGTAAGTTATTTATATTCACACACAGCCTTTTCTGCATTGGTGTACAACATTGGATTATTTTTGTTCTGCAGGCTACTAATGAAGAACAAACAAGGCCTCTTCCTGGAGATGAAAAGTACATAAGACTGAAGAGTCTTCTTGACAGGTCAAATGTATATGCTCAGTTTGTATTAAAGCAAATTGAACACCAGAGACAGCAGGATAAGGTGAAAAAAGAAGAAAGAAAGAAGTCTAAAGAAAAACGAGCAGCAGAGTTAGCCAAAAAGAAAGAAGATACTTCAGATCAGGTAAGTGTCTAAAAAATAGAAATGATTGTTTCGTTTTCCTTGAGATGCTGGATATGATTTCAGCTCTCTCTATAAAATATTTCACTGACCTTAAATGCACATTAAAATGATTGTTGCTGTAAAGGTAATTTATAAATGAATACAAATTGTAGAGAGAGGGGGGAGGTCTATTATTCTTAGAATTTTTCCTGAAGAAATTCCAATGGCTGTTGATAGCATTGTTGAGCTAACAAAGGCAACCACCCTTCCAACTATTTAAAAGTTAAGACAGTAATAATAAAAATAAATCTACTACAATTGGGCTTAGCAACAGGCACCCCAATACAGTTGGAAGTTCAAAAGGCTAACAGGCAACTTTTCTGGAAAACTGAAAGGTATAGACCCACATTTAGTTTTCTTTCAGCAAAGAAAAATTGTTGTTGTATAAGGCAGCCTTTCCACTAGTTCAGGTTAAAATAAAAATGGGTTAAAATGTATTCCGCTAAAGGGAATGCAACATTGCAACTTTTAACCCATTTTTGTTTTAAGCCAGGTTAGTGAAAAGGCTTCCCAAGAAGCTTAATTCAGCAAAACTTTACAGGTAAAGATGTGATTGTTTATTTGGAAAATTAACCAATCACCCGAGAAAATATCTATTTGTCCAAAGTACTTGTACAGCCTTAAACGTTTGGTTTTTTGCAAAAAAAGACATTTTCACAATGCCATTTATTAGCCCACCCAATAACATTGCAAGGGTGCTGGCCAGGGCACGGGTGATTATTCTCAATTGACACCCTTCTGTTTGAGTAGAAGAACACAACTGTTATTAGTTTTTCAATCATGAAAATGGTGCTTCAATTTTTTTCTGTCAGAAATGTTACAGAAGTAAATGGAACTAATGATTAAATAAAAGCATGTTTAAATAGATTCCATATACAAAATTTGGAAAGTTTTCATCAATAACAGTTTCATATGTCAGCCACAGTTTTTTGAGTTGCTAAGGGTGCAAAATTAAAATAAATAGACAATTTCATTTGATGAAAGTTCATAGATTAAAAAAACATTTCAAGGTAGAAACAGGTATTAACCAAAATCATAGATGGACATGATAGTATTGCTATTTATATTTGTCTTAAAGGATACACTTTTCCCAAACTAGAGAGTTTTTCATCTCATTCTCATCTGTGTATCTCATTCTTATAGATTGTTCCAGATGTAGATTCCCACCAGACCAGGTCAGGACGACAACCAGCCAAAAGAGTTCAAGCATCTTCAACCAAAGAGAACAAAAAACGAAAGAGGAATGATGAAAAAGACCAACAGGTTTTATCACGATAACTTTTAACTTAACACAATTGTTGAATGTTTATGCATGGATACCATATTTCTCAAATGTTTGCTTAGAAATTCCGGTGTTGTCATGAAAAGCTAAAATATAAGAAAGATAGCATTCTGCCTGTTTGTTTTTGCACTCCTGCCTATTGCTTATTATCAAACTTCAAATCTGAACATCTTGGAGCATCTTTTACTTCTAGAATTTTGCTTGTCTACTTGACTTTATGTTTGAAAACTGGCTGAGAGGAAGTAAAGATCTAGATATCATCTTGTAAAAGTTTCTACTTTTTGTGAAATTTGATTGTGTAGGCAGTCATTATTTCAGGCTAACTTAACTTTGTAAAATGAAACAATGAGCAAAATATTTGTAGAAAGAAAAATTCAAGTGAATTTCATAATCCAAGAAAGTGAATTTCATAACCCAAGTTTCCACATTAGTTTTTGCTTTCTTATACAAATGAAATGAATAAAGCTTTCGTGTTGTTTGCCTTATATCAAAATCACAGTACAATCATAGATAAAAACATCTGTATCATTAATATGCTTTCTTTTCCAGGATGGTGCTCGCAATTCTCCTAAAAAGTCAAGAAAGTCTAAGTCTAAGAATGAAGATGAAGGGTCTCCGGATCATGATACCGAATTGAGTGCTGACATACATACCGATGATGTATGTTTCTTGATATTTCCACACAAACATATCAATAAGATATTTGCAACTCACTGCTTATGCTCATGAATTTGTTTATTTGTACATATATTGCATTTCCTTTTCCCTGGACAAAATGAAATGCTAGAGCATGGGCAACTGCAACATCACAACATGTGCCCATATTCATGTTTCATGCAGATCTACAGATAAATTCAAGCTATTGATATATAGCCTGCCCATCACTTGATAAATAAGTTGTGACATTTTAGCTGAAATATGTCCATAAATGTACTATAAAATATAAACCTTAGAAGCTAAATAGTTGAAAATTTAAATGTGACATTTAATTTTTCATTTTTAGTCAGAAAACTCAAAAACAAGAACATTCAATGGAGAAATAATTTCGGACAGGCAGCCCATCTTGGTATCAGGTGGTTTGATGAGAAGCTACCAGTTGGATGGTTTGGAATGGATGAGAGGTTTGTTTTAGTATTCAATTTTAGCCACATTTAGCAACATTGATTGCTACAACTGCACAAGTCTTTCTCTGAAAGGGAGCAAGGAGTTGTCATCTCTGAGTAAAGTATTGGGTTCTTGTAAAGCCTAGATAATCAGGAAAAACCCGCAAAAAGAATCAGAAAATAACTATTTATACACAATTTAAATAAAAACAGACAACAGTGCCGCTAGAAAATGTTATGGTAATTCCCTTCATCCTATCATTCATTTGTATTGTATTTTTTGTATCATTGGATCCCAGATTTGAAGTTTCAGGAGCTGGTTTGGAATGGAGTTGCCCAGTAAATAGGATATTGCAGGATTCAAACAAATGCTGTGTACATTGAATGTAATACAAGTCAAAAAATGTTGCCAGGAGAAGCTTTCTCACCAAACCAGTGACAAATGTGACTAAGACCTTAAGCTAGGGTTATTGTTTTTTGCCAAGACCTAATGTAATTGTTTATTCAAACTAGTCTAAACTCTTTCATAAAAACTCAGGAACTGGTAACATCCTGTGTGCCATTTTCTCAAATCATTTGGTTAACTGTTGAAAATTTTATAAAGATCAGTTTTAGACCAGGATCGACGTTGCTAAAACGAGGAACAAGCGGAACAACCCAGTAACAATCCAGTAACAAGCGGAACAACCAAGGAACAAGCAGAACAACCCAGAAACAAGCGGAAATGTGAATTATTGTTTAGTAAATACCACATGGGGGCGTTTATAATCCAACTCTCTGAAGTTCGTGTGGGCTAGAACTATCAAGAGGCCGTCAATCATGTCTTCGTCTGTTTCGGAGGCTTTGTGATTTTGCCAACGGACAGAGAGAATCTATCGACCCCGGATCGGGACGAAAAATAAATAGTAAAGCATGCGTATACATTCGATCACAACAGACACACTGTTGCAAATCTGTACATGTAGCCCTGTTGCAATCACATTTTTCAGGCCCGTCGGAGCCGGGGGGCTGGGGGGGGGGGTTTCTGAAGCCCCACCAATAATTGTCTTACTGTAGTATGTTTCCTTTATAACAATGTACTGCATGGGAAGGAATACAATGGGCAGCCTCTTACAACTTATAATTTGGATTAAAGAAGAGGTTAACTTTCCGCCTCAGTAAAAATGATTCTAGGCAAACCATCAGTGTCCTGGTTCCTGGATTTTCCGACTTTTATCCCTTGACAGGGCATGATTTTTCTTGTAGGCACATCAATGTCATTTTTCTCCCCAGGCGATTTAATGGCGCAATATCGTGAAATTTTGATGGTAGGGTGACAAACACGCAACCGATGTTTGGCGTTTCCATCATCATCATAAAAAAATTCATTTATCTAAATAAAATTAGTTGAAGAGCCATAATACACTCTAAATACAATCATATCTAAGTACACAAAATATAACGACATCAGAACTGAAATAAATAAATATTTTGACATATTCAGATATTCTTATTTTCATTTAACTTTAAATTCTTTCCTATAAAACATGGCAAGTAGATAAACATAGAAAATTTCCAGAAGACCAGAGGTTTTCCGACAAAATAGGAGTCTAGCTCGACGGGCAAATCACTCCAAGAAAATCTTGTACACCTTTTATAAAAATCCTATTGCTTTACCTGAAAATCCCTAGAAATCCTTTTGTTTTGGTAAAATCTTGTACGCAATTTTCAAGAGTGAATTGCCCCTCGGTCTAGCTCTACAGGGTTTTGTTGCCCCCCTCTGATTCCCTCTATCTTAGCCAGGGGCGGATGCAGAAAGAAATCTGACATTCGCAAAGTTTCGACCACGCCTATATGACCACGCCCAAAAAATCAGTCACATTTTACTATAGTCTTAGAATCGAAGTTTTCCACTTAAAGATGTATTTTTCCTTATATTAAGTTTTAGGATTAGGAAACAGAAAATGTTGAGGCTCAAAGGTTGAGAAATTTAAGGATAAATATTAAGAATAACAGCCAGGTCTGGATTTCATTGACAATTTGGCATTTTACTTATTGAGTGAACAAGAAAAGAGATCTCTGGAAAAATTTTGAGAAACACTCATCAAGTTTTTGTTGCGTTGGCATGTTTTGTTTCCTACATGGCTTTTGTGATGGAAAAACAGCAGCAAAGATTTGAAATGTCCTCTTAATAATGATTTAATGGCAAGTCTAGGCACAGAACCACAAATTGTCAAGAACAAAGAGGATGAGCTAAAATAAGGGTATATTAGATGTGTGTATCACCCCTTCTCAGGGAGAAAAACTCATGAAAAACATTTTATGTCACTCACTTAAAAACAGCCATTTAAAGAAAGGAATCTTAGTTCTATTTATACAATGATATTATTTAACAATCAAATACTGTGTTTAGTGTAGAAATTTTCAATGCAATATCCACCCAAATGTTTGACTTCAACACCAAGTACCTTAGGGGCTCAGAGCTTTTCTGTTATTTATTTTGTGCATTCACCTTTCTATCTAAACTGCTGTGTGATGTGCCTTAAACATGGCCAAAAATACCAGTTAGGTCAATACACATCATACAATTTTAGTATTTTCAGGTGTTGGTAAAACAGCAAATGTAACAGAATTTAAAACAATTCATTGTCTTTCCATAACAAGAACATCATAAATATATATTATATACAAATTTTAAATGTACATCAAACAAAGTCAGTAATGGCAAAGAAATAAGGCAAACATGGTAACTTTTACTATATGGATTTATATGAGATATTTACTTGGCAGAACCAACTTGCTGTGAATTTCTTATTAATAATGTAGTAATTCCCCAATTAGGATCATTCCATTGATTGCACTTATTTACTACCCATATTTACATTTATTTACACACACAATTACATAGAAAAGAAAACAGTCAGTCACTTGCAAATTCATAAACAAAAATTAATGAATCTTAAGGATATTTCAGAACCAAAAGTTTCAAATGGTATACTCTTATAGTGTGGAAACCACAAATAATTTTACTAGTTTTAGAGGTTAAACTCGTGAAAAGGGTTACCATATTTATGGCATGACCAGAAAAATAAAATCAAAATACTATTACAATTTCTCATTTACAAATATGGCAGTCTAGATTTTTCCAAAACTGACAGCATAAAATTAACAAGAAAAGAATACGCCGTAGAAAATGCAATATCTTATTCAAAAACAAATCCCCAGCACAGTCAAACTATTTACAGGTTTGTGATAATAACAACATCTATCAATAAAAAATATCTAGAACTCTAAAATTCAGCATATTCAAATTCATCAAGATATTTAAAGAACAGCATCATTCGTCAGAATGCTACATCATCATTATCAAGATGTACCTGACTTGAACCCTAAAAGTTCTGATTGAAAGCCTGCATAAAAATGGCTATTTACCTTAAAATGCAACACGTATTTTTCAAAATATTATTTGAGTCTGAATCTCTGTCTAAATAACGTCCTCCATCATGAAAATGAAAACATAGGCAAAATTTTGGTTCAACAATTTTAGGTCCAACTGAACTGTCCTCGCATATTGCCATCTATCAAATTCCATCCATCAACCAAAATCTTCGACAAACTTTGAACATCTTCATAAGAAATCCGCTGATTCAAATTAAAAATCATCTTATATTTGACTCCTTTCACTCCCTCTGAAGTACAATTGCTCCTCTTCTGCAAGCAAATATCTCCACAGCTTTCCAACAACAATCATGGCGGTTGATGTGGAAGCGAGGTTTCAATCTGCTCTCTTTCCAAGGTTCTCTCCCGCAATTGGCTACCGAACATAGTTCGCATCTACCTTCGCCACATTCGCAAAAAAATTTCCCATATACATTTCCTATTGGTTTTCAGATGGCTAAATAACATAGCTTGACTGACATTCGCACAAATTTTTGGCATACATTTTTCAGTACTACTTCATTTGCGCACGCATGCCTAATATATTATAATTCCATTCGACATTCGCATCAAACCTTATTGGTGCTCTGTGAATTTATGCGTAAAAGGGGGAGCCCTCTTTCGAATATATCATCTCTAAATCACGAAAACGAGGGAATAAAACCTAAAAAGTAAACAACAAGGTGACATCATAGCAACTAGGGCAGGAAACAAAACTTTTATTTCTTGTTTTCTGTGGACCTTTTTTTTATTATCTGGCCATTTCTAGTACAATATTCACAATGCTAAAATGTATTAACAGACAATTACAAAAAGACATGTGGAAATCTGACATTCGCCAGTGCGAATGTTGCGAATGTCTGGATCCGCCCCTGATCTTAGCCACTGCCGCCAGAGCAGTTTACCCAGCATAGCTATTTTAGCAACCAAAATAGCCACCAGAGCAGCCACCATTTTCAAAAAATTTCTGGGGGAGCATTCCCCATACCCCTTTAGGCATGCTTTACTATTTATTTTTCGTCCCGATCCGGGGTCGATAGATTCTCTCTGTCCGTTGGCAAAATCACAAAGCCTCCGAAACTGATGAAGACATGATTGACGGCCTCTTGATAGTTCTAGCCCACACGAACTTCAGAGAGTTGGATTATAAACGCCCCCATGTGGTATTTACTAAACAATTAATTCACATTTCCGCTTGTTACTGGGTTGTTCTGCTTGTTCCTGGGTTGTTCCGCTTGTTACTGGGTTGTTACTGGGTTGTTCCGCCTGTTACTAGGTTGTTCCGCTTGTTCCTCGTTTTAGCAACGTCGGACCAGGATAGAATTAACCAATCAAGTGGATTCAAGTTGGCACATGTATTCCAAAAAATTAACTACTTTAGAAATGAAATGCGGCTCACAACTACTAGAGAATTACACCAAGTTCCACAAAACTGGTGTTTGTCATTATTTTGAAAACTTTCCACCTGTAAGCTGTCTGCTTGCCAATTTTTCATGAAAACTGAGTAAAAGCCATTGATCAACATAGAATTTGAGTGTATACCCAAATACGGTGTATCATGTTATTTGAGCTGTATTTCTATTTTGCTATAAGCAGTACCTGGAACCAGCTGTGTGTATAGTTATGATTATCACACTTTTACCTTGATTCAAGGTCTTTAAACCTCACTTTATTCTCTTCCTGAAGATGTGAAGTTGATATCCTCCTAGTTCACAATTGTATCTTGTCTTTTAGGACTTTTTGAAAATGGTATAAATGGAATCCTGGCTGATGAAATGGGCCTTGGTAAAACTCTTCAGTGCATTTCACTTTTGTCATACTTTATTGAGAGAGGGATGAGAGGACCTTTCCTTATTGCTGCTCCACTTTCAACTTTACCAAACTGGGTTTCAGAGTTTAAGAAGTTTGCACCAAAGGTAATGTACTCAATCAAGTTTTAAGACTAACTGTTATTCCATTTATTCAACATAATGTTTTTTAAGCCAAAAAGCACAAAAGGCACATGGAAAAATGTTAACAAGTGAGAAAAAGGGTGTAGAACACAGGTTACCGCATCAGATGTTATTTCTACATAGTCATGTATTCTAAAGTTGTTTGACTTTTGTACTGTTTTTTTGCTGCTCTTGTATGTTTTGTACAGATAAAAATTACATTAGGCTGGCTAATCAGCTGATTACCCAAACAAAACTTTTGGGGCCTATGGCCACCTTGCGATTTCTGTAATACTATACTTGTACTTCAGTATTATCTGACGTATTGTATACAGAGAATTGCCAGAATAAATATATACTGCAAGTCTCACTGGTTTTTTTAGGTTTTTTTTGTTTTGGGTCCTCTAATGAAAGAGTCTGGAAATCATACTAATCTTTATCGTTTTGGCAAAGTAACAGGTAACCACAGATAAGCAACAGGGCAAAATATAATTTTTACAGCCTAGAACCCACTATGGATGCTAATTTGATTGATTTTTTACATCAGGGCATGATCATTTATGTTGTTTTTGTGGTTACAGATAAAAACACTTCTGTATCATGGAAGCAAGGATGAAAGACACATAATGCGACAGAAGATCCTCAAGCTGGGCTATGTTGACCAGAGCATTAACCTTAAGGCATACCCAGTTGTGATCACATCATATGAAATAATAATGAGGGACAGAGCTGCCTTGAATGTACACCCTTGGAAGTATATTATCATTGATGAAGGACATCGGATAAAGAATCTAAATTGTCGCCTGATAAGGTATGGTTCTGTGTGCTTTATTTTGAAAGCATATCACCCAGTTTTTACCCTTGTTATGGGCAGTGCATGTCCTTGATTTCTGTTTGCAAAATTATGAAGTACTCAAATTTTTTCTTCGCATTCGAAAAATCCTCATCACTGCTATATAAAAGCAGTTTCTTACAAGCATTGAGTTGAAATAGAGGAAGACGGTATATCCAGATGTGCGTAGTAATGAATTGGCAATACAGTCAAATCTTATTTTAATCTCATAAAGTTAGCTTGCACTGATTTTGAAAAAAGTTTTGTCAAAGACCAACTGTAAAATATTGCTGTGGAAGTCATCCAAGAATATGCTGAACATGCCAAATGTGAAAGATTCCCTGCAATTGCGCCCATTTACCTTGAGTCATTGCCTGTAATCTAATATTACCAGTAAAGTTACGTAACATTTTGTAATATCTTAACTTAGCATTTTACCCATTAGTCAAAAAATTTATACAAAATAGTACTTTTTAAAATTTGATATGCCAATGAGCTACCCCTTTTGCTGAGGTTTTATATTCCTGTTTAGGTGAATATCCAGCGATACCAACGTCCGAAATTAGTTATTTTATATAGTTTTGATTTGTATCACCAAATGGTAGCGTTGCCAAGACCAATCAAAATCCAATCTGTTTTCAATTTAACTACCGTCACCAAGATTTATGTCCATTACAAAACTTACAGTAGAATACAATGCTTAAATGTCGGTTTTCCACATAATTAGCCATCATTATCACTATTTTCTCTCTTTTTTAGTGAGCTGAAAACATATAAGAATGCAAACCGTCTCCTTCTTACTGGAACACCTCTGCAGAATAACCTATCAGAGCTCTGGTCGCTACTTAATTTTCTACTTCCTGACATCTTTGATGACTTAAAAAGGTTTGTAAATCGTCTTGAATTTGATAGTCATATTTAACATATAAATAGTATTTATCTTACCGCTGTTCAGAGTATTCCAAACAGTATTTAGTATTACATTGGGAATATATTTTCCGTGTACCCTGAGAACAGTGATCTTTTTCAGCCCATCCCAGCCGCAATATAATTCCAGCTAAATAATTTTCCTGTTTCATTTTTGCATGTTTGTTTTTGGTTTGATATTAGCATTCAATATGTGGGCCAGTAATGTTGAGTTTGGCATAACAAATTAAGATTATTGATAATATTGCCTATGAAATTTGGAATGTCAAGCCACCACAGCGGCACCAAGTCAAACGAGATACCCAGTCACACCTTTTGGCTACTAGACTTTTTTACATTCACGCCGCTTTCTATTCGCACAGAGAATGCTTTTGTCGTTTGCTTGCCAGATGGATTGTCACAGAACTGTCTGAACTTCGAAATTGTAAAGTATAGATAGCATTCGTTTAGCAACACTTCTGGATCACTAGCCATTTCATATTGTTCTAAATACATTTGCACTCACTTTTAACCTTTCTTCATTCTAGTTTCGAAGAGTGGTTTGATTTCAGTGCCATTGGTGAAGATGATGGGGACGAAAAGCTCATTGCACAGGAGCAGGAAGCGCACGTCCTTGAAACTCTTCACGCTGTATGCTTCTTTCATCTTTGATTTACTATTGTTATTCTGTGCATATTTATAGCCTGGGAGTGCATTGCCAAGGGGCAAGGGCTGGGGATAAAGAGGGCTTTGTAGGCATAGCTTTCTAAATTTCCCTCGAAATAGACCAGTTTTGCCACTTGCTTTTCATCTTTCCGAAATATTCATTGTAAGAGCCCCTTTGCTGTTTTCTTAGCACCCCACCCATCAGCGAACCCATTCCTCATAGCACTACAGTTCAAGTTAAACTCCCCCCCCCCCCTCAGTCAAAATTTGTCTGAAGAGATCGGATTCTTTAAACGTGTTCTTCTAACTCTGGAATTTTGTGTTGCTATGAAGCACAAGAACTTAACCTCCAACCCTCAATGATTCTTTAATAACTGTCTGTAATGCTCCACTAGTATGTACTGTTTAGTGATAACCACAGTTTGTTTCAATAAAGTATGCCATTTATATTTTAATGGATCCAAGATTTATGAACAGGTCTTTTCATGCCTCCCTGAATCTTATTATCTTTTTCAGATACTCACACCGTTTCTGTTGCGAAGACTCAAAACTGACGTTGACTTAACGATTCCACCAAAACGAGAGCTCATTGTTTACGCGCCGTTAACTGCTGAACAAGAAGAGTTCTATAAAGGAACTCTGGATAAGACCATTTTGGACAAATTGCGAAAAAAACAGGTAACCATGTGTTATTTTCTGCTGAGTTCCCTGTTCTCATTCCCACCTCTTTTTTCACAATCAACAAAATCTCTCTGCCTGGTTACTTGTAGCATTTTTCTGTGAAGACAAGTAAAAAAAGCAGTCCTGCAGAATTCCTTTCGAAAGATGGATTGTCATTTACATGGGGGCTTTCATGGGGGCTTTTTAAACTTCCTCTAGTCATCATTCTACTTCTGGTTTGTTGATTTTCTGAGTTTTTTTATGAAGAAAACTAATTATAATATGATGTCAGGTGGTGGTGAAATTGTAGTAAGTTATGAAGCTAGCATAGTTTATTTCTGTAATGGCATCAAGACCAAAATATTTATCTTTCAAGCTAGAATTGCATAATTTCATCGTCCTACTCTTTTATTACTTCATACTCTCAATTATTGAGATGCAGGTTAGTGTTTTTGGTTTCCTATTTACAACCGTATTTTCCATTGAAAGCCCCCTTTCCCCCTAGAAAATCTGCATTTATGTGAATGACCTCCTTTTACCCTACAGGAACCCGAGCCTCAGGTAGTCTACACGCCAACAGGTAGACCGAAGAGGAGGTCCACAAAAAATGTTAATTATCAATCGATGCTAGCTCAGGATTCTGAAAGTTTTGATTTTGACGAGCTACTGGAGAAAATGACTGCTGATGAGGAATCGTAAGTCTGCTCTTATTGTATTCTCAATCATTGCCATTCACGTTAAAGTGGCATCTCATTAAAAGACTTACGAATTGTCGATGCAATATTGTGATGAAAACGCCTAACCCATTTTATTGTTTTGCTTTCTCTTAGTGCTGCAGTGTGCATATGAAACCTAGATTTACTTTTCGTGCTCTACCCAGCATGTATTCAAATTTTAAGCTGCAAAGTTTGTTGCAAAATTTTCACTTACACCTGAGGCACATGTCCTGATTTGTACAGATGATAATCTGTGACATTTTTGAAGATTAAAGCAGTAGCATTTTGCCAAAATTTTTGTCACGGTCTACGCCTTTTCCGCTTCACAGTGTATATTTTTTCGAATATCTTTTTTATCTTCTTTCAAACCTGAATGGTCTTCTTTTTAAATATAAAACTGAATAAAAATTATTGAATTTCTTTGACTAACAACGGGTCAAGCCTAAAGCGTTGATGAAATGAGTAGGCAGTTTTTGATAAATAGGGGACATCAGTTCAGTTCACGTCATTTAGAAACCAATTTGAAGTAATGCATGAAAGCTCAACGCGTCATATTAATAACATTTTCGAGAATCAGAACAAACCTTTTGTTTCTTGCAAAAGGCAGACTGAATTAAGGATCAAGAGTTGATTTTTTTTGCTTGTTATCTGTAAAGTATTTTTCTGATAACACTAATTTTCTTACCTCATTTTTACAGCAAAATGGCTGAAGCAAGACAAAAAGCCAAAGCAGCCGAGAAAAAAACGTCTGTGGTATCCATAAAATTACAAAACATTTTGATGCAGTTGCGCAAATGCTGCAACCATCCTTATTTACTCGAACACCCGCTTGACCCTGAAACCAATGAATATGTTGTGAATGAAAGCATTGTTAAAGTCAGTGGTAAAATGAAGCTGCTTGACAAAATGCTTCCTGAACTGAAGAAACGAGGACACAAGGTATGTTGTGCACATTTTTTGTTCGAAGGGGCTAAGTAAGTTAAGCAATGCCTTTTTGTGAGTTGATGAAACATCTCGCTAGATGAAACATTCTGCTATTGATAGGTAGCATTAACCAAGAATATACAAGTATAAGCAGAACACCCAAACATTTTCACACTACTTGAATCTTGGTCTACGAAATCTGACTGAGTGGGTTCTACAGGGCCCTGGAAGGGGGGGGGAGCAATCCTTTATAAAGCCCTTAACGTGTTTTATGCGTGTGGAGAAATTTGCATTCCTCTACTTGATTTTGAAGACATCAAGCTTACACCAAAACCAAGTCAATTTAAGTAGGGTTTCGATTTTTAATCCAAAACGAATAGTGCGTGATCATTTCTAGTTTTTTCAATTACTACTTTGTCATCTGTAAATATCACTTTTTTATTATTTCAATCAAAGAAAATTGAATCCACTTCGGAACTGACCAATTGACCAGAAATTGTCATCGAAAACTTTTGTTTATGTTTATTTTTAGAGTGGGGAGTATTACTCACAAGTTATTAACTTCTTCCTTCCAGGTGCTGATCTTCTCCCAAATGACCAGAATGCTTGACCTCATAGAAGACTTCTGTCACCTCCGCGATTACGATTATTCAAGAATAGATGGAACAATGTCGATTCCTGATCGACAGGAAATGGCAAGTGTCTCATATTGTTCATCTATTGTAATTCAATGATACGGATAAAGGAGATCAAACCTAGATTTATCGAATCAACATTGCAATAGTTTTGATACAGTATCGCATAAAGTAGCTGTGGGATGCATTTCTTTTTCTTCAGAAGCATCCTCATTACCAGGAGTAGAAAGACGCCGCTACTGCGACTAGCAGTTGGTAGCATATGTCCACATTTGTACGCTCTTAGTCCACTTCGCACCGCCTCATTGCTCAATTTGGTGTTCTGCAAGCCTCCCATCGAAGATCTCCTTTTTCATAACGGCGAAATTTTCCTGTTTTGTTAGTTATAAAAGTAATAATATTGCTTGTAAGCTTTTTATGGCAAAAAAATGAATCCAAGATTTCAAACACAATTTTTGACTGTTATCTGTACACATTTTTCATTAGAGATAAAGCAAATTAGTCGAGGGTTTTGCTATTTACAACAGATCTCCCTTACGCAGAGATATAACTTTTGAAAGGTTGTACGCAGAGAAAAAGCTCAGCAGAGGAGCGGCTCCATATTGGACGGTGACTCGAGGGAAATTGGCCGTTCCAAAGTTGGGGGGGGGGGTGAGGAAGTAATATATAATGATAGTAGCATTGATTAATTAAGGTTCTTTATGAAAGAATATTAAGCAGATATATCTAAGGACTAGATGTTGATTCTCTGATGATTAGCGAAATGTTTGACATTCAATGTCATGTCGTGTGCTGTATTATATTTTCATTTGTATCCAGTTGTGGCTGATTGACCTGGTTAATCACCCTAGTTCAATCTGGTTGGTCATCGTGTACAATTGATTTGTTGGGATACTTGAATGATGCGAAAGAGAAAGGGACAAACTGTTGCTAGCGCTCTATCGAAATAACATTCATTTGCCATTCAGTATTGACATTTTAAAGTTCCTACTTCACGACACTGAACTCGCCTTTTTAACTTTTTAATCAACTTTTGTAGATTGAAAGATTTAACAATGACTCGGGAGTGTTCCTCTTTTTGCTAAGCACCAGAGCTGGTGGCCTGGGACTTAATCTGTCAGCCGCTGATACCTGTATTATTTATGACAGTGATTGGGTAAGCAAAAAATTTCGCTGTATGTTAGAGCTAATTATATAACCCACTTGATTTTTTTCCGTATTCAGGTTTATAGAAATATATATATTTTAGTCATCAATTTAAATCAACGATATAAAGCAGTAGCCCATATTTATACTTATTTACAGGGGCTATATATTTATATATTTGAAGTAAATTTTAACATATAGAGCAAATAGGTTAAATTGAAATGCATGCAATAAAAGTAAAATATTTTTTTTAAGTGACAGGTAACATCTTTCAGTTGTGCGTTTATCTAAATTTATAACAAATATCGACAAATATGAAAATACCAAAACCGTTCTCATATTTTAAATTACCAACTTGAATGTTGGAGCTGAGCAATTATGATAGCAGACCTGATTTCCCGTTGGTTCCGTACAGAAATATTTGGTCATTGATCCTTCAATTAATGTGATTTAGTTTATTTATTGAAAGTATGTCCGCTCATACCTTTTTTGTACTGTTCAAAATAATTACACCAAGCGAGTGAAAATTAAGACAATCGTGAATGGTGATCGGTGACTGATTCTTTGAAATCCAATCGGTGATTGGAAAACTCGATCCTATCCAAAACATTTGTAGCTAAAACTCAATTTTAGTACAGAGCTCTATGCATTTGGATCAACAACAATGTTTGTTCATGCTTATGTTCATACTACGCCTTTAATTCCTGACAGTCCCCAATAGCTTTTTGACTAATGCTTACTTTGTATATTAAGGTGTACTGGTCTTTGCTATGTAGATTTATCCAATGCCAGTTTTGATTGCGTTTTTATTCGTCTTGTAGAATCCACAGGTTGACCTTCAGGCTCAAGACAGATGTCATCGTATCGGCCAAACGAAGCCCGTGTTGATATTTCGATACGTAACTGCAAACAGTGTTGACGAAAAAGTAGTCGAAAGAGCAGCGTCGAAACGTAAGTTGGAAAAGATGGTCATTCATAAAGGTAAGTGAAATCGTTGAGAATCTCAGAGTTATTGTATTGTCGTCAGAAATCTCTACGTGAAAAAACATTATATTATATTCTCTTAATACACCTTTCACTGCGCACCTCCAAAAAAACTTAACTTTTTTGTGTGAACTTGTTAAGTTTTGTTTTGTTTAAGTTTTGCATCTTCTCGCAATGATAAGAATGCTAACCAGAAATAAGAGCATTTGTTTTGTTTACAACCAAGCTGTAACACGTTGTATCCAACGGCCCTAATCCTGCTTTTGCTAAATTTCCGTTCTATATACGCATTTTATCAACAGCATTTTTGTATTACAAGACACTTTTAGTAATTTAATTCTGCTGTTGATTGCTTCAGCATAGATTAAGGTTTAGTCAGTGCTCATCTTTAAGAAACTTGCCAATTAATCTATTATTTCTTAAGGCGGATAAGTCTCTTGATTTGTTCGTTTTGTTATTCGAACTAAAATGGTTTTTATATCTAAACTATTTATATCATTAAGCTAAAGTTCGTGTTTTTTCAAGGTCGTTTCAAAGGACGACAGACGTCACACAAACTATCGCCTGAAGAGCTGTTGGAACTCTTGAAATCGAACGATCATAGTCACGTGTCAGATATAGGAGATGATCTTGTAATTAGTGACGAATGTCTTAATCGATTGCTGGATCGCAGTGCCTTAGAAGTGCGCCCTGAAGCTAGAACTAAGGAGGATAGTACAGTTGAATCAGACTTATTTAAAATTGTTGAGCAATCACAGGAAGATGTTTTATTTTGAATGTGGAAATAAAGACTTATTCTTGAAGCAAGAATAGGTTATGAAGATAAAGTTCTGGAGAACGAGTTCTCCTTTGAGTTCGTTAGTCTCAATGACTTTGTAATCATTGCTAGTCGCTATTGAAATTACATAATAAGCCAAGAAACTTGGTACAAAAAATGTATAAACTTTACTGGTTTAATAATCGTTTTGAAAGATGCATTTTGTATTTAAAGTTTAAAAGTTTGTAAAGGAAACGAATTTTTGCAAATCGGTGATGCCATGTACCAATAATAATGTCTTTAAACTGCTCAATGTTAGAACGAAAATATTATCCTTGTTTCTAAATATATAACAATCTTAAAACTTTATTGATAAACTTCCTTAACGATGTCTGCAAAGCATGCTATTGTGTACCCGATGTTCTTCAAGACTAGCTTCCACATCCCCTTGCAGGGCACCAGGGCACTACCTTTTGTATTTGTTCTGATTGGATAAGAACTCTTTTCTCTGAACAACTTATTGAGAAATAGGTCACATCTAACGTTCGGCGATAGCCATGTTTTATGTATCGAAGGGGCACCGTGCTCCAGATTCGTAAAACGATGCTATAGCTAGGCCTTCTTTTTAAAAGCAACCAAAGATTGTTATTAACCAATAGACTATTAACTAGTTCTTATGTACCCATATGCATTTCCCAGTTGAAGACAAATTTGCTCGTAAGTGACACAACCCAGTTACTTCGCTTTTTGTCTGCGTATGGTTTTTTAAAAATATTATAAATTTGTGGCTTCGGCTCGCAACCTACAAACTGTTTTAAAATTTTTGTAAATATAAAAAAAATATTGTTTAAGGGAAATATTAAATATCTTGATGATAAGTATTTACATTGTATTTAACGACCGTGTTTTGTTGCTGTCAAATAGCATTTTGTTCAGTCTTGTTCTCAGATCTCTTGTTTTTCTTCAATCCTCTTTGAATCCAACAAATGCATTTACATTTGTATTTTAATAATTTTCCCGTTTAGAGACATTGCTGCTTTTGATAGGCCCTATTCGCACTGCAAATATGATAATGTTTGTCAAATCCGATATTCTCACGCCAATTAAGAAAACTTTTTCAAGATTGACAAAGTTTGTCAGACTTCTTGTTCGCATTAGGCAGTTTTTGAGATGTTGTATTGTTATCTAACACGTTATCAGGTTGCCATTAAGAAATTGTATCTTTTTAAATCGTGATATGATTACAAATAGCACCCTGGGCTTTTTTATTGGTGTTAATATAATTCTGGCATGTCCGTCGAGTCACCCGCTGGTTATCATAGATTTTCACGAGATTGTGATGCTCCAGAGCTCTACGACGGAACCTTTGACCAATTAGTCGAAACGTTACAATTTGTCAGATTTCAGATTTTGCTGTTCGCACTTTATCAATTAAACTACTTCCTGACAAACCATTGCCGCCTTTGAAGATAGAATAATAAGGGATTAGCATTGTCAGGTTTCTAGATGCAGTGCGAATAGGGCCATAGTTTACATTTCATTCCGACTCTTTTTCATGCTTGGCTTGATCTTCCTTTTATATTCTGACTCTCTCAATATTTTTTTTCAATCACTTACCAAAAACCTGGCTGCATTTGCTGATAAACTTTGAACAGCAATTGCACAGCTGCTAAAATATGTTGCCTGGCTAGCTAACTTATGCAATTTGTAACCATTATTGCTATTGAAGGATAGAAACTGGTCTAATGTTCCAACCCATCTGTGGCCATGCTATGTCCTTTGAATTGATGTTCACGGGATATATCCTACACGTGTTTTCTTATAACGCTTGGCTCCAGCTTCGGCCTTGCGTTTCTTATTTTTTCGCATTATTTCAGCCTTGCGTGTTAATTTTTTGTTCCTTATTTTAAACTGATAGCAATGTTGTTGGACTGATTTTGTTATAGTAAGTTTGTTAGTTGATGTTTCAATGCTCAGACTGATTATTCTTATAATAATGTTTTTGTGCCCAATGATCTGTGGTTGTGCTTGTGTTGTTGTTGTCGTTGTTGTTATTTTCAGCCGCCATTATGGCACAAGAAGGACCACAACAACAATTTTTACGACAACTTCCGTGACAAGGCAGAAACTGCGTGTCAGTTATCGAATTCACAAAGTGTGCCAATCAAACTCAAAGCTCTTGTTTCTACAGTAGTTGCCAAAGGAATTTGTTGAGATTCGAGACTGGCTTCATTTCATCTTCATATTTAATCCTAGCAGACCCTGCTTCGAACAGATATGGCTGAGCTGGTAGCAGTTAAATTAGTCTTTGGAGTGGCTTGGAAATTGTTTGCACCCAAAACTGCATCAAAACTTGAGCATGGTGACATTGCTGAGGAAAAACTTCGGCAAATGCTACTGAATGAATTTCAGAAAATTCACGAGCACTTGAATGCTTTGCGAAGGAAAGAGTTGGTTGCAGCCATTTCTTTGCTCGAAACAGGCTACGATTTGGTTTCAAAAGACCCTAAAACTGCCAGAGAAGAGTTTCGAAAAGCAAGGGATGCAGCTTTGATGGCATTTGGTGTAGTCCCAGATATTACTGATAAATTAATGGCTACAAAAATTCTTGTTCTCGCCTCCATCCACGAGTTCAATGACAACATAGAAACAGCAAAGACCCTTGTCCTGAAGTATGTGTCAAGAATGAATGCACTTCCAGAAGTTGTTAAAGTTTGTCAAGTTATATTTGATAGCAGCTCCAACTTAAAAGGAAAGCTACTGAGTTTAACTGGCAAAACTTCACGACGGGATGTAATGGAACTAGTTGCAAATATTAACTACAGTGCCTATGATTTCATCACCAGTTCAGTGCCTGATTTTAATGAAAACTGGCCTAGGGTAGTATGGGAAAAGTCAAATATACATCCTGTTCATGATTTGTGTTTACTCAGAGGAAGTGACTTGCTCTGTACTTTTGATAAAGAATTTGGTTCTCTTATTGCTGCCTCAAATACTTCTTCTTTTATTTTTATGGCCTTTGCATCTAATGGTGTATCAGAGGTGCAGAACAACATAACTGTTTTTCAACATGAAACTGGCACTTTAAGGCATCTGGTCGGACATACTGGTAATGTTCTTTCTCTAGCTTCTAATGATCAATATTTGTTTTCAGCATCTTATGACAAAACAATCATGATATGGGATATAAATTCCCTTGAGTGTATCAGAATATTAAATGAGCATACTGGAGCAGTAAGGACTCTTTGCATTTCAGAACAATATCTATTCACAGGCTCAACTGATTCTTTGATTTGTGTTTGGTCTTTGAATGACCTTAGCCTGTGCAAGAAACTATCAGTTGGAAGTCCAGTTGCATTTCTTACATGCTCGACAAAGAAGTTCTTGTATTGTCTAACTGCATTTTTCAAAGTACAAATTTGGGATGTTGTGAAACTAATGAAAGAAGGCATAGAAGAACCTACCTGTATTATTCCAGTTGAAACCACTGTTAAAAAGCTAATGATATCAGATAATTTGATGTTTGCTTGTGGGAAGGAATCAGTGTACATAATAAAACTTGGAAGTTTGAGACAAGAAGGAGTGTTGTTGAATGCATCAGGGTATGAGGCAGCACTTCTACCTTCAAACAAGTTTCTCATATCAAGAGGTCAGGACCTAGATTTATGGAGTACTAGAAGTGGCAAGAAGGTCATGAGTGAAAGTTTTGCACAAGAGGGTAATATAATTATAGACTTTATGTGGATGAACAAAAGCAATTTATTTGTTGCATATAATGATACAGATGTTCATCGTCTTGTATTAAGAAGATTTTAAAGAATTGCAATTCTGGTTTAATGAAGGTAAAAGAATTTAATTCTTTTCAAACATCTCTTTGAACAGTAACTAAAGGTTTTTGCATTTAAGCCTTAGTTAAACTATGTCATTCAGACTGCAGCAAGTAGGCCTTAATTTTCCCTTGGAGGGTGTGGAGGGGCGCAAGGGACAAGCCATCATAAAATGTTTTCAGAATTTATTACATTGTTGGTTACTTTGAATCACAATTAGGTGCATTGCAAATATGACATCCAGCAAATATGCTAGTTTTTCATGGTAGTCTCACAGAAAAAATAAGTATATTGTAGTGTAACCAGAAATAAAACAGCTTTATTTTATCCATGGGCTACCAACTTAGAGATGGGTGCAATCTAAATATCATGTCTTCTAAATTCTTGTCAAAATTCCACGGATCCAAAAACAAAACTCCAGTTTTCATGATTGAAAAGATTTATACTCTTGAGAGACTTGTGAGTCAGTTTTAAATTAAAGGACTAATCAAAACTTTAGTTATGATTGGCTATCTTGTTTCTTTGAATCTATCTTTCCTTTAACCGTTTTGATTCAATAAAGATAAAAGTTTTTGTCCAAAAATTTCACTTTCTAGAATAAGATTGTAAAAAGACCAGAAGATGACAAAATCCATACCAAGAAATGGATCAGCCAACATGATTGATAAACCTTTTTGTAAATCATTGGCTGGTTATGAATCACTAGCCCCTGATACAAAAAGCAAATTTTTCCCTTAAGTAAACGAATGTAAAAAAAAGACAAAGTTTGTTCTATGGCTGCTCATGTTTTTAGAATGATTTGTTCTTCGCAAATATTTGTTTGAAAAACTATATGCACTTGGCTCAAGTTTGCCCACTGTGCCAAAAAAATTGTGCTGTATCAAATTTTATACACAATGCTTAAATTTAAATATTTACCAAAGACACTGTCTTTGTTGCAAACAAGCCCAGGCAAATAGTGCACTGGAATCTAAAAAATGGGGGTGTTAAGAAATTTTGCCAGTGCTTTGAAGTAAGAAAACTTTTCTTAGACCTAGTATTTAAAAATTTAAAAACGTTTACCTAACATCTTCAAAGAAATGATGAATCAAACATGCGCTAAAGGAAAGCAGGAGGTCATACTTCAAATTTTAAAATCTGAAGTTAAATGGCTAGGTAGGACTGATTGTTTTGGTTGGCATTCCCTTATTTGACATAGCAGATCTGCAATTTGTAAACTGATCATATCATTTAAGGGTCATGACCAAATTAAACCAGCAAAAATGTCTGCAGGAGACAAAGAAGGAGAAGCATAGAACATATATGATACGCTTTTAGTGCCCATAACAGAACGATGCTAAGTCGGTACTTCGAGTTTCATGCTTAGTGCGAGCATCAAGCAACGGTTCTGTAAATTGCCCTTCATCAGTGCTGTAAATTTTCATTTTAGCAAAAGTTTCTGCGCATGTTGACTATCATTTAAAACCCTAAGTTGACGACTATCATCCTACCTTGAAAATACTACTGACGTTACCATCGAACTAAACACCATGAATGCAGTTCCAAATAATACATTTTTAATGTTCACAATAATATAAATTTAACACCATTATTCCAATAAACGAATGCATACTAGCAGTGAAAGGAGAAGGAATCATTTCATCATTGTGACGAGAAACAACTCGCTTTTGACGTCTAACAGACACAAAGGCCAAAAATATTTCGATTCCATGCATACATCACATTGCACCCCAAATATTTTCATATAATACTATGCAAACATGCGAAACATTTCAATCTGAAAATTACATTACCCTACAGAATCTAAACAACTTGATTCCTAGTCTAGTTAGATGGAAATTGAATTTGCCAATGATGCTTGGTGTAGTTCGACACAGAAAAGAGTCAAACAAAGTAAACAGAGAGAATGAGCTGATCAAGCCAATCAAATTGTAGTTATAGCTGTAGCGATCATTTAAAATGTCCTTTTTCTTTTGTTAGTTTTCAAGTGTCCTTTCACAACAAATATATATCTCATCTATTACCTTGATAACAAGAAATTTCTATATTTTGCAAAATATTTTGCAGCATTTTTGGCAAAAAGGGACCTGCATTTTCTTTGGCCCTTCCTTCTTTGGCATTGAGGTTATTCTTTCCACCTTTGTAAAAGCCAGAAATTGCAGTTTGAACTTCTTCTTGGTCAGCCTGCACCAGTTTCTTTGATGTGTTTTCCCAATGTCTTTCGGTATGTAGCATCATAACTCTATGCAAAAAAGGAGGATGAGAACATTAGGACTCAGGACTCAATCAGAATACAATTATCAAGCCTTGAGGTTTACGGAAAGGTCGCTATGGACATATTGTCGTCCTTTTCTTCTACTTGTTTCTTGTTAACGCTGCAAGCAACTGGAGTAAATCACAGCCAAACAGTCACTTCAAGACAAATCCAAAGCTTCAAAGGAAAGCTTTATAAATTTCATCAAAATCTTGCATTCAGAATATTGTTCAGAATATTTTTACTTCAAAGGCCTCTTTTTCAACCAACTCGTTGAAATAGAAGATAAAACATTGTTTTTAAAATTTACGGAAGCGACGTCACTAATAGTTGGAGGATTATCGATAGCAGAAAGTTGACAGCAAAAGCTAGCAGTTTTAAAATTGAAAGGCAGTCATTATATGCTCTAGGAATTTTCAGACATTTCTATCTACACAATTTTCACTTGTTCTCTGCATATTATTGCTTGGAGGTACCGGAGTAATTTCTAATCACAGGAAAGGCTTCAAAAATCTTATTGCATCAGGGCTCATGTTAGAGCAAGATTATACTTCGGAGCAAAATTTGTTGACCCTTTGTGTTAAACTTGCAGGTGCCTATGTCTATCAATGGTTGTGTTTGCTTGGGGCGTCGAAGCCACTGCGTTAAAGTCATTATTTTGGTAAATTTTGTAAACAGCCGATTTTATTCATATCACTCCAACCCCAAACTGCGCTGCAAAATACACAATGGAGCCTATATTTAAGATTTTTATTGTACTTCTTGACCTCCTGTGTTCTTCTCTAGTCCCTTAAGCTGCAGTGATGTATCTCAGCTTAAAGGGACTTTGTGAATCACAGTCTGCACTTGCTAGCGTCATCGTACACATTTAAAACCGGCTGAGAATTTTTATTCCAGATAAATCCTTTAATGCTTCTGTGCATAGACCCTTGAAATGAAATGAGATGTTCTAGAAATTCCAGTAATCTGCAACTTAAGTCAAAAAACGATCCAATCATCCAATCAAATCAAATCAGCATGTTCTTCAGGCCTACCCCAAAAATATTTATGCACTGATGTTCGATTCTTTGTTTAGAGCAAGGTTGACTACATTTATTCATAGTAAAGGCCAAAACGTGAAGGATTTTCGGGACCAATACTTATTGAACAAATCTAGCTAACTTTTCATCAGGGGCTGGATGTGGCAGGCGAACATTGTGTTTGATAGCCCTTTACCCCTGTATTAGAGATACTGGGTACCCATGAATTTTTTAGCGTATTCTCAGCCAGAATTTTTTGTTGAACCATTGTTGTTAACAGCTTCAAGAAGAACTCATTTTGGCTGTATATCATGGTGTTTAATTTCAGTATGGAAAGTTGATCTGTCTGCTGCAAAAGGCTCTTAATAATCGAATTTTGCATTAAATTAGCTTTTCAGCAAATTATGTTCCAATCTCCGTTGATTTAAGTATCAATCGACATGAAGAAAATTGTATGCAATCGAAAGAGTGCTGGTAATTTATTCGTAGAAAAAGTCCTTCTGTTTACTCAAAATAGTTCAAACATCGATTGCGTATTTCTGGAAAGCAAAATTGCTTTTTTTGCAAATAGCCAGTATTATGGCAATTCAGCCATTCATACTCATATTTTTTTGTGATTTTTTCTTGTAGTTTGACCTTGCTATTCTGCAACACCTTTCAAATGTTGAGAATAAATCTCCATTGATCTACAGCTTGGGTAAACATGCTGTTAATCATTCTGATTAAAACGCTACATACGATACAGTTTGAACTACAGAAGGCCAACGAAACGAAGGCTCTAGAATGACTCACACAAAGTACAAAATATGCAAAATCTGCATCTTAAATTTTACAAAGCACAAAGTACAAAGCACATCAATTCCACCAGCAGAGCAGAGCGACAGAACATAGAATGTGCAGTGGGTCATGGCACTACCAAACAGTTTATGGTAAGGAAATATATATATAGTTAAGGGGCAAACGACTTAAAAACGATAATTGATGTTTTTTATTCACTAAAATTTTTCAACACAATAGAAAATATTTACAGATATTCCTTAGTTCCTTTTTTGTAGTTGGATGGATTAAATTTTTTTTATTCATTAGGGGTCAATTTATGAAAGATCTACAGGTAGAGGACCGAAAAATTAAAGAACTTATGCTGCCAAAGACAAAACCTTTTCAATTTTGAATATTTTTATGACGCCAGTGCCATTCAATTGTGTAGTCAAAACTCGCATCGGGTCTGCTATGCATCCGTCAGATTTTCTTTTGAGTAGTCTCCGGCTTTGCTGTCTCTGTTTTTAATACATTTTTAAAGAATAATGTTTATATAAAAATTGTTTACAAGAATATTCAGGCTCAAAATTATCCACACTCTTGGCAAAAAATGCTGAGATACTTGCAAAAAAGGAAGCTACTTACAAATTGTGGTCGGATTGGTAACCAATGTAGTAATCCCTACTTATTCCGTAACCATCTTAACCAACATTGATTTTTAGGTCACCAGCGCATTTAATGCGAAGATATAGCACGCGAATGCCTTTTTCATTCACTTTCTCAGTTATAATTTTTTCATGAAAAAGAAGCTTTAATTGCTTCAAATTTCAACATTTTCCGTTAATTTTTCTTTAAAAAAGCGACACTTCATTGTCATCTTTCATGAATACTTTGGAATTATTTTACAGAATTGCTTTGATGCAATGCTTCAAAGTTTTCCTGAATTTTTTCTCTCAAAACAGCAGACCAATCATTAAATTATCTTTGACTCGAAAGTCGAAAGAATGGCGATTGCATATTACCGCCTCAAACTATCGTTTTTAAGCCCCTTCGCCTCATAATTCTGGTTTTGAAACTGGTTGGCTTAGGCCCGTGGTCACTGTGAGCCGCCATTTTGACCTACCGTTACCATACTTTTGTGATCCCTGTGTTTGTAGTTGAGCAGAATGATCTTCAAATAGTTTTACATAGAACATTTGAATTCACATCTTATGTTATGAGATATCATGGATATAAAGATCGTTGGACGCCAGTGAAGAGTGAAATGTTGAAAACGGTTATGGAGCCAAAAAACAAAACAGACAAATTTGCTGTTGCAGTCATGAAAAATGACTTTTTGGTCGGACATCTACTAAAGGAAAAACAGGAAGACTTGCAAAAATGGTTTTCTACTTCCTACGAGCCTGTGACTCAAACACTTGCTCTGTCGAAATTGTTGGACAAGCGATCAATCAAGGAGATGGAAATAAATGAAGGTGCCTTACAAGTTATATTTTGTGGCTGAGGATAGTTTTTTAAACATTCTGAAAGAACAACTTCCAAAGGCTCTATGAATATACAATAAATATGTATATGTAATACAAATATATTTAGTTACCTGAAACAGTTTTGAAACTGACATTGAATCGTTTCTTCCATCGTCTCACCCATCCATCGGAAGCATGAAAGTCATTGAGTTCTAATGATTTGCGAACTTTAAAGCTTTTTATTTAAATATACTACAGCTGATAAGAATATTGCTGTATCCAGCAGTTTTCAGCCATTTATAAACGGCAGAGTCCAACTTCTCGTATGCCGCAGTCTTCATTCTTTTTCTCTTTTTAGAAGAAGTGTTTCCTTCAACTGCTTCAAATATTTCAGCTTTCCTTTTTACCAAGTGTGAAACGGTGTTTTTAGCAACACCATATTTCTTTGCTGTAGCTATACAGCTTTGGCATGCATCAATTTCTTTTAAAGCCTTGTATTTGTTGACTATAGTTAAACAGGCAAGCATTCGTTTCGAAGACTGCACAGCTGCCATTTTTTAAATGTGACTGCTGATATCTATTTTTTGTTTTCATTACTTGATAGCAATCTAATGTTTGTAACAATATTCGAATAAAGAATGTATTGATTAAAGGCAATCTGTCACGACGTTGATTGATTATAAGAACAAACAGATCTTTTATTGTTTCCAGTCCCCCTTTAATTTATCGCATTGTAAAAAATATGGCGGAGCGCTGGAATCATGTTTAAGCTATTGTTCCACCTATTGTTCTCGTTAACCAATCCACAACGAGACAGATTGCCTTTAAAATGATTCGAACGTACTTAAGATGATTTTTTTCGGAAAAGTTCCACTTATGTGAATAACTGTTGCTCATGGAACCAAAAATGTGGTTCCATTTATCGAAAGTTCCACTGATCGAAGGTTCCACTTATGTGAATAAAATAAGAAAGGTTTGTTAATGTAAATCCAAGGAACCGGCGAAATTGGTTCCACTAGAAGAAAATTCCACTTATCCGGGTTTCCACTTATCGAGAGCTGATTGTATGTAGATCTGTAAAACTATTTTAGGCTCGGTAAAAATAATATAAGAATATTTTCAGGCTAAAAGCGAGAATTTCTCAAGAATATCGTGGCTGGACCAAATCTATAAAAAAGAGTGTAGTCATTGCCTCTCTCTATGGGGCTGTGCATATAACTTGTAAGTTTACAAGTTGGTTTTTAATTTCTTTATTTTCGGGTTTGTAGGCAGGGTTGCCAGGTGGTATGGGTACTAAATAGCCAAATCGTTTATGAAAATAGGCCAAATCACATCAAAATAGGCCAAATTTATCTATAACACAATGACGTCATAATGCACAGGCGCAGTAAAAAACAGGCTTAGTTTGCAGTATATCCGTTGCCCTTTCCATCAGCAGCCAAACATATTGCGCTTCCTAAAACTTCTTGTACTTCCTTGCACTATCTACCTTGCCACTTGGTCGACAGAGATTAGAAACTCGAGAACATAAAGGATCATTCACTATTTATTGTTACTTTTCACAAATTTACAAATGGGAAATGTGTAAATCAATCTCTGCAATTATGTGTGTTATTGATTACTGAAAAATTGCTAATTCTTCTTCAAAATGGGATTGAAAAGAGCAAACATTTTGAGTCAAAGTAAAGCTTCTAGCCAAGCACTCTTCACAGTATAAAACGTTAGAACATAGATCGAAAACGTTTAAAGTTTTGGACCATCAAAAGATTGTTTGCAAATTCTATTTAAATAAATTATCCATGGGCACCGACACAGGTTGAAAAAGGGGAGGAGGGGGAGCCAGGGGAAACTTTAACAGCCATGACAGGAGATTTTGAAAAAAGATCTATTGTTTTGAAGGAAAGTGGGGGGCATGGCCACTCGGCCCCCCTCATTCGTCGAAGGCCCAGTTATGAAAGGTAATGCTAAAAAAAGTTAGTCAATCAAATGTTGAAAGCTATAGCAATGAATTCTTCAATCTTCAATCGTTAACTCCTAAAGGCTATACAACCAATCTGGAGTAAAAAAAAAAAAAAAAATTGGAAAAGGAAAATTAACTTAGGAGTAGGATTAATACCATTTCCACCCAGCGCTCCAGTTTGTTAATTTCTACAAAATGTTGCAAAATTCACGTCATTATATGAGAAATTCAGAAACTGATCCATTTGGATTAAAGCAATATGATTCATTTTGATTAAATCAATGCCACCTCAAGTGTCTGTCTGGTTCATGAACATATTATGATTATCTATTTTAGGATTTTATGGGGTTTTAACCTCATTTTCCAGGCCAAAGTAGCCAAAATGAGGCAGGAGGCCAAAGGTTAAATTTCGTAGCCAAACATTCTTAAAAAAGGCCAGATTTATCAAATTTGGCCTCCCAGTAGGCCAGTTGGCAACCCTGTTTTGTTTGTTGATCTCCCCGTATCTTTTCTTTAGGGGGATTACACAACACAATGAACTTAACAATGCTTCCGTTCCTGATGTTTGTTCGTTTGTAATGCAAGCTGCCCCGTCACTCTCTTGTGGCAATATAGTGCTGGGCATGCCGTTAGATTGAAAGCGCGAAACAGCCGACCAGAAAACATCAACCTAATTTAGCCAAAATTACATGCTGGCTCTGACTATCTGCTGAAGGTAAGCCAAGTTTAAATAAAATTTAGCGTGATAACATGAATTTTAGGTTCATTTATTTGTCAGTTGAAAGATGTATTTATTTGTCAGTATTTGGGACCTCGAATGCGGAAGAAGACCTGTCAAAGTTATCGGCTAATAATCTTAAAGTAAAGAAAGAATTCCAGTTTAATAGAGAAATAATCAAACACCCTTTCAGTCAGTGCTCAACTCATCAAGCTTAGTTGTCATTCACTAATATCTTTACTTATCAGAACATTGGGAAGTCAGAAACACATGGTCGGTCATAACTTAGGTTTGATTCTTCACCTGTTATGGTTTTGACTGAAAGGATGTCGAAATCATTTGAACGTTTGCAGGCACTGAAACCAAACTGGAACAGAAAGTAAACATAAATTACACAAGGTTTAGATAGTAAAATTTCAGGCCCTCCCCCTTTCAGTGAAGATTATTATCCTGAAAGGAAGCAGGCATCCTCTGATCAGCGAAAAATTGGGAGGGGCACATAGCCCAAGCCGTGAAATTTGACGACAGTGTGAATAAAAAGTGTTGACTTTTACGCGTGCCAACATGAAATTTGTGGATGATTGTTTTTCTTTTGGCTGAGTAAACCACTCTCGAAACTTTGCTTGCTAGCGCGTTAACAAGTTTGCACACTCCCTTTTCAAGTGCACTCTTGTTGAACTAAAGACTCTAATTGCATTAACAACAACGTAATTGCAATATGAAAACTCCGTTTCAAAATTTTCCGAATGTGCCTGTAAAACATGCGATAGAGGGGACAGAGGGGGCAGAGGGGGGCGACAGCCCCCTTCGGAGGTGGTTAGCCAAGGTGGCTGGTGCTCATAATCAGGAATTAAAAAAATTCGTTTAAATTACTTGCATTTAGCTGAAAGTATACCA